CTTTCAGTCCACCTCTGCCTCTTTTCCAACTTTCCCCCTGTTATGTTGTACTCCAGTTTTTTCCTTCAACCAGTTTCTTTTGAGACATCTTCATTACTATCCATCCAAGATATTCTCATTATTCGTCTATAAAACTTTATCTCTGCCACTTCCAAATCCAAATAATTTTGTCATAATCGTCCTTACATTTCCCCATATCTGAGACTGACTTTAAGTGCTTAGCATGACACTGTTGTGAATTTCATGTGAAATGTTTCTTTCTCTGTTGTGCTCACAGCTTTGTGTTGTGAATTTCATGTGCAATGTTTCTTTCTCTGTTGTGCTCACAGCTTTGTGTTGTGAATTTCATGTGCAATGTTTCTTTCTCTGTTGTGCTCGCAGCTTTGTGTTGTGAATTTCATGTGGAATGTTTCTTTCTCTGTTGTGCTCACAGCTTTGTGTTGTGAATTTCATGTGAAATGTTTCTTTCTCTGTTGTGCTCGCAGCTTTGTGTTGTGAATTTCATGTGCAATGTTTCTTTCTCTGTTGTGCTCGCAGCTTTGTGTTGTGAATTTCATGTGTCATGTTTCTTTCTCTGTTGTGCTCGCAGCTTTGTGTTGTGAATTTCATGTGAAATGTTTCTTTCTCTGTTGTGCTCGCAGCTTTGTGTTGTGAATTTCATGTGAAATGTTTCTTTCTGTTGTGCTCGCAGCTTTGTGTTGTGAATTTCATGTGAAATGTTTTTTTCTGTTGTACTCGCAGCTTTGTGTTGTGAATTTCATGTGAAATGTTTTTTTTCTGTTGTGCTCGCAGCTTTGTGTTGTGAATTTCATGTGAAATGTTTCTTTCTCTGTTGTGCTCGCAGCTTTGTGTTGTGAATTTCATGTGAAATGTTTCTTTCTCTGTTGTGCTCACAGCTTTGTGTTGTGAATTTCATGTGCAATGTTTCTTTCTCTGTTGTGCTCGCAGCTTTGTGTTGTGAATTTCATGTGAAATGTTTCTTTCTCTGTTGTGCTCACAGCTTTGTGTTGTGAATTTCATGTGAAATGTTTCTTTCTCTGTTGTGCTCACAGCTTTGTGTTGTGAATTTCATGTGGAATGTTTCTTTCTCTGTTGTGCTCGCAGCTTTGTGTTGTGAATTTCATGTGAAATGTTTTTTTTCTGTTGTGCTCGCAGCTTTGTGTTGTGAATTTCATGTGAAATGTTTCTTTCTCTGTTGTGCTCGCAGCTTTGTGTTGTGAATTTCATGTGAAATGTTTCTTTCTCTGTTGTGCTCACAGCTTTGTGTTGTGAATTTCATGTGAAATGTTTCTTTCTCTGTTGTGCTCGCAGCTTTGTGTTGTGAATTTCATGTGAAATGTTTCTTTCTCTGTTGTGCTCACAGCTTTGTGTTGTGAATTTCATGTGAAATGTTTCTTTCTCTGTTGTGCTCACAGCTTTGTGTTGTGAATTTCATGTGGAATGTTTCTTTCTCTGTTGTGCTCGCAGCTTTGTGTTGTGAATTTCATGTGAAATGTTTTTTTTCTGTTGTGCTCGCAGCTTTGTGTTGTGAATTTCATGTGAAATGTTTCTTTCTCTGTTGTGCTCACAGCTTTGTGTTGTGAATTTCATGTGCAATGTTTCTTTCTCTGTTGTGCTCACAGCTTTGTGTTGTGAATTTCATGTGAAATGTTTCTTTCTCTGTTGTGCTCACAGCTTTGTGTTGTGAATTTCATGTGGAATGTTTCTTTCTCTGTTGTGCTCGCAGCTTTGTGTTGTGAATTTCATGTGTAATGTTTTTTTCTCTGTTGTGCTCGCGGATTTGTGTTGTGAATTTCATGTGCAATGTTTCTTTCTGTTGTGCTCTCAGCTTTGTGTTGTGAATTTCATGTGAAATGTTTCTTTCTCTGTTGTGCTCGCGGCTTTGTGTTGTGAATTGGATTAAAATTGGCGGGCGGCTAATTATGTTCTGAATGATGTCTACTTATGCAGTATTGCGTGTATACTGCCGGCTTTCATAAATGGCCGCTGAAGTCAACAGTGAACTGCAATTCTAGTGTGGGACGGTTAACGCTGGCACATTTGACGGCTGCACATTTAGTTTGGGTGAGTGAGCTTCAAGATTTTGCTGGGATTGACTTGACATGTTTTTACTAGTTTTCAAATATTACAGCAAAGGACTTAGTGTGTGATTTCTACTGGTCAAGCTACAAAGCAGTTATGGGGCAATCCGCCTGCAGTAAAGTCAGAACCTCGAGTAACAACCAATGACTTGAGATTCAGTACTTCACAATCCTATGGTACGTAAAGGTAAAAGAGGCAAGAGGCACAGATTGGGTTAACGTATCATTTTAATGGGACAGAAAACACTGAAAAGCAAATCATGCATGATTTTTTTAAAATTAACCCATGGAGCATTACTTAGTACAGGAAATAGATGAGGCTCAGGCAACCTGAACATCATTCAGCGCACCTAACAGTCTCAAATGGTCTTGGATTCATTGCCTTCAGAAAGAGATACATTGTTGCTTCCACTACACAAGTTTGCAATCAAATAAAATCCATTTGTGAGATGGCAGACTCCACAACTACTCGTATTTATATTTTATATTTTTTCGTACAGGAAGAGATGAGGCTCAGGCAACCTGAATATCATTCAGCGGACCTTAACAGTCTCAAATGGTCTTGGACTCATTGCCTTCACAAAGAGATACATTGTTGCTTTCACTACACAAGTTTGCAATCAAATAAAATCCATTTGTGAGATGGCAGACTCCACAACTACTCGTATTTATATTTTATATTTTTTCGTACAGGAAGAGATGAGGCTCAGGCAACCTGAATATCATTCAGCGGACCTTAACAGTCTCAAATGGTCTTGGACTCATTGCCTTCACAAAGAGATACATTGTTGCTTTCACTACACAAGTTTGCAATCAAATAAAATCCATTTGTGAGATGGCAGACTCCACAACTACTCGTATTTATATTTTATATTTTTTAGTACAGGAAGAGATGAGGCTCAGGCAACCTGAATATCATTCAGCGGACCTTAACAGTCTCAAATGGTCTTGGACTCATTGCCTTCACAAAGAGATACATTGTTGCTTTCACTACACAAGTTTGCAATCAAATAAAATCCATTTGTGAGATGATGAGACTCCACAACTACTCAAATATTTTTTTTTAACAAGAAGAGATAAGGCTTAGGCAACCTGAGCACCATTCAGCGGACCTAAAGAGTCTCAAATGGTCTTGGATTCATTGCCTTCACAAAGAGATACATTGTTGCTTTCACTACACAAGTTTGCAATAGAAAAAAAATCTATTTGTGAGATGGCAGACTCCACAACTACTTGCATTTATATCTGCCATAAAATAGTTAAGGCCTTATGTATTGTTACCTTTCAAAAAACCAGTGGCTTGTATTACATAAACTTATACATATGCTCTCTCACTGTGTTGTGAAATAATCACACAATCATTTATTTACAATGAACTAATTATACAATACTTACACATATATGAGGAAATAAAACATCCAATCACTGGCTCTATATTTCACAAACTTATCATACCATCACTTATTTATGTATAATGAAATCACATTTAACTGATCATACAACTATCATTTATCTATGATAATATAATAATTCAATAACAGGTCCATATTTCACAAACTTATATAATCACTCATTCCTCTATAACAATATGATAATCACATAACTATTCTTTACAATTAACTAATTATACATCTGCAACCATCTATGACAAAATAACTAATACAATTTTTATTCATCCATGATGAAATAATTACATCCATTCATTTTCAATGCACTAACCATACTCTTTTTCAAATATGATGAAATAATCGTACAATCACTGGCTCAATTTGATAAACCAATTATATTTACCATGAACTAATCGTCCAATCACTTATTTATTCATGATAAACTAAGGACTCCATCACACATTCATGAAACAACAAAACTTTACTAATTAGGAAATCGAAGGCCGAAAAATACAATAATTACTAATCTATCATGGACTATTTATAATCAATCTCCTCCTCACTCATGAATTGACATACATTCATATGTTTACCAGGAAATATCAATTGCTTTCTATTATGGAAAGCATCAGAATTCCAAACAACCTCAACAAAAAATGCTAAGGTAACAGAGAGTTCTTAGTAATAAAATAGCGATTTCTCAAACCCAGAGTTTCATTTTCATTCTGCATCTATTTGTCAGGTAAAAAACTTTTGTTTTAAGATCTTCCTTCTAAATTATTATATCAGAAAAGGTGTATCTATTTTTGAAGTAAAAATATTATATCTGAGCTCTATTCTCAATGACTGCATCAGATAGGGGACTACCAAATAAAAATATATAAAAATGAATCATCGCCTCTAATGTGTTTCAAATCTCATTTCTTAAAATTAAAAATGGTATTTTTGTTCAGTTTTATAGTTTATACACATTGATCTGATGGACTACATATGGAGGGATCGAGTGTGAGAGATAAACAGTGAGAGTCAGAGAAAGAGAGAGAAATTGGGGAGAAGAGATAACAGGATATAGAGAGAGGGAGGGAAATAGAGAGACTGGAGAAGAAGAGACCATAAGAGAAAGACAGAAAGACAGAGATGGTAGAGTGAGAGAGAGAGTGAGAGAGGGAGGAAAAGAGAGAGACTGGAGAAGAGACCATAAGAGAAAGACAGAGAATGGTAAAGAGTGATGCAAATGGGAGATGGAAAGAAAGCAAGATAAATGGGGGAATGGGAGAAATACAGACACAGAAAACAGGAGAAAGATTGAGACAGACAATGGCAGATGGGGAAGAAATAGATGGACAACATGAGACCTAGACAGACAATATGAGGAAAAGAGAAAGATCTTTATCTGCTCAATCACAACTCACCAGAACAGACTGTATCCACCAAGACAAACTGTATGTACCATGTGTTACATTTCATTGATACCTTATTGTTGAAAATTGGCATGATGATCACATCCAGAACTACATCTGACTGATTCCTGTCACTCATGCCCTTCGATGACTGACATGTCATCCTCGTCTTCAATTTTCAGCCTCTTGGTGCCGACACCATCAGATTCATAACCTCCATCGTCCGTCTCTCTTTTGCCTACACCACTGAGAGTCTGTGGAACCTGCATCATAATCAACACAGTAAAGGGTAAATATAAACCATGTAATAGCTCTGCAGGAACATCAAGTAAGTTCAAGACTCTTTTCCATGCTCTTGGGTATACTGGGCATTCAGTGCTAGAACTATATTTTATAGAACAACCGGCGCTCTGGGGCTGATGTGGTCAACATCATCCTATCCACCTTTCTTTCCTAGGTAACCATTTTAGGATGGGTTAGCAGGGCAGCCAAGGTAATTTTTGGAGAAAACATCCAAAGTGTTAGGATTTATATGTACTAGACACATTTTACACATCATGTTGTTACATTTCAATGATATCTTATGGTGGAAAACTGTAGGAGTTGCGCTGACCGGTCATCATGGTCATATCAAGGAAAGACCACATAAAAAACAAACAAGAGCTTTAGGGAGCACATATAGTGCACTCTCTCAAGCACAGACGTCTTAGTTATCTCAAACGAAGGATAGACACATTCCAAAATATCTCCTTTATGGAGAACTAGCAACCAGGAAGAGGCCAACTTGTTCTCGTGTTGCTTAAATAGCCTTAAGGTTCCCCCAAAATGTGATATCTGTGACAAGTATATTTAGCTGCTATAAATCCACTTCTCCCCATCACTTACCTCCATGTGACTCATTTTTGGGAAACATAAAACCAGATTCACTGCCCTTTAAGAAGCGTGGCATAAAAGGTGACAAAGGATTTGCTAAAACTGGATGTGTTGGGCTGAAATATGCACGCATCACAAGCTAAGCAGCAAATCCCAACACAGCACACCAACAGCCCTTTGAAGGGCAAATGCAAAAGAAGAAATCATTTACCATAACCCTCAGTGTGGATACCGGGGCTCTATTGTGGGGGGGGGGGGGGGCCGCCACAAGAATAGACCCTTTGCCTCCCTGACCAGCACATCACAGGAGTCGACTAATTAGGGGATTCCTTTGCCTTCGAAGTCAAAAGTGCATCTGCCTGAGAGGCAAGGAACCAAAAGTCTGCAGATAATTAGGCTAGATCTGCAAAACGAGTGCACACGCAAATATCAGGTCCTTAAATAAAGCCAAAGTCTAGAAATGGACGAACAACCAGGACTTTCTGCTGGGGAATGCAAACAACAACTTACCAGAACATGAAGTGTGGCTTTGTTCTCTTGAGAATTCCAACTATCTTTCCCATGCTGAAGCTGCTGATCAGAGCCAGCTGACCTCTGCAGAATCACCTGCTGGAACGTCGGTTGCTGGATTAGATGCACAGACTGAGATGACTGAGGAGTAAGGGCCCTGTGGATGACACTAGCTTGACCTGACTGACCACCAGGTGAGGACTGGTGAAGCAGCTGGACAGACTGTGGGATAAGGGTCAACTGGCCAGATTCTCCACTGGAGCCCGTGGTCACCACAACTTGCTGAGTACCATGTGAGTTCCTGACCAGTGTCACGGGATGGAGGGCTTGGCCCTGGAACTGAGGCTGACTGGCTGTCGTTACCAGCGAGGAAAATTTCTGTGGCATGCCAGTTAAACCCAGACTCACAGCTGAAGATTTAAAGGAAAAGGAATCAATTACAAATTTATGCCACAAACTAGAGGTTAGTGAATGCATTTAACTTCTTCTTCTTCAGCGATCTCTGGTCATTTGCTGAATCCACTGTGGAACATGAACTTGGGTGTAATTTCAAGGTCTCTTAGGTTTCTAAAGTCAGGTCAACTGGATGTGGTCACATGTTGCTTCACAGTTCCTCCAGGGAAGGACAGTCTTGTAAGACATGCTCTGAAGTCTGTTCAGCACAAAGACACTGGCAGAAAGCTCTTTGGATCATACCTGATTTATATGAGTGTTTGTTGAGTCTGCAGTGTCCAGTGTGTAAGCAAAAAACTGTCACTTGCCCTGATCTGTTCAGGTGATTGAGCAAATCCTTTTAACGTGTAATAATTCCATGATGTTGAATTACTAGGGTTTATTCAATTTATACAGCGGACATTTAATTTTTTGTTAAAAAAAAAAAAAAATTTTGACGAGGGATGCATCATAAAAGAAACTGAGCCTTACCACATACAATTTATAAAGACAGCAGTGAGCGAACTGTAATCAACCGTCGTTTGTGGAGATGGCGCCGGTTTAATAATTTTAACAAAGGCATTCCACATATGCTTTTACTATAACTTATGACAGGGGTGATCAATAGAGGTCTGTGTCAAACTTTCAATAGAAAACTGTCACTGCTTTTCTGGACCCCCCCCCCCCCCCCCCCAGTAATAGATAGCATGGTTTCTGACAGAAGAGGCATGGGTCGACACGGGACATTAAAGACAAATAGGTTTGCAAATACAATATAGAGGAAGTGACGATGATCAGGTTTTCCAAGGAACTCATAACAGATATAGTAATGGTTGGTTAAAACACTTAGCTCTCACGTAGGAGACCTGGATTAAAATTCCTGGCATGATGGCGTACATTTTTTCACATTTTCATTGGGGTGGGGTGGTGTTTAACCAAAAATAGACACTCTAACCTGCAAAGTTCATGACAACAGTTCTAGCCATGCAGCCCTACATTGCTCTAACATTGGTAAATCATCATCCCGTATCACTTCGTGTCCTTGGGTCACCAGTTTCTGTTGGCGATCTAATCAGCTCTTTCCGCCTTTGGCGGTTAGCTGCGATGGACTTCATGGTTGCATCCCTGAGGCCTGTCCAGTCAATCAGGTTCTGTAACCAGGTTTTTCTTGGTATGCCTCTTTTCCTTTTCCCCTCTACTAAGCCCTGCAGTACTGTATTTGAGAGGCCGTTAGATCTTTTTACATGTCCATACCATTACATTTGTCGCCTTTTCACATTGGCAAACACAGGCAGTAAATGATAGTATTTTATTTTACTGATCTTCAAAAGATCTGAAATATGAAACAAGTCATTAAACGAAAGAGCTGCTTGTACAGAACTGAATTTCAACATTATCACGAACTCTATAAGCAGACAGCGATAATAAGCATGCCCGACACACACATTTTTAAAATAAAGTGCAAATAGTTATTTTTTTTTTTTTTTTTAAACTCAGTGCATGTTATCTGAGCAGGTTGAGAGAAGAGGAAAAATAGAGTACGTTTAACAACTGGAAAATTCAAGGATAGGAGGGAAGTGGGAAAACAAGCGATACCTGACACTTCTGCATCACGGCCGGCATGAAGGAAAATCCATTTCAAAAATGATCTGCAGTACATTTCTTCTTCTTCTGCATTTGTCTTGAAAAGGGCAATCATGTTGTGGTCTACTGCTAAGCTGAGGTATCTGTTCCTTTCGGCTAACACAACCAGTTTCAGCAAACCCTTAATTACTTGTCCTTTACAGTAGGCTCGTTGCAAAGCAGGAAGAGGCCGCAGGATTATTTCCTCAGATATGGAGATCTGGCCAGAATGCACTTTGCAGAGTGCAGTTCACGAGACGGACACACATGACGACCAAATTACATGGCATCAACTTTCAGAAAAAGTCTAATTAACAATTTTGCTAAAAACATGAGATAAAGCTTCTGGAGGATCTTAAAAATTACCTTCTCCATTTTCTCTTTTGATCTCAAAGTGAGTGCCATTTGTAACTGGCTTCAGGGAAGGACCATTGATTAGGACCTGGCTAGGTGTGGTCATAAATATCTTGGGCTTGCTTATCACTGTGGGCAGCTGATGGACTGCGGCCTGCACAGTTGTGGAAGTGACCGTCACAGGGGACATTACACGAGAACCTATTGAAGAAGGAACTTATTATCCAACCAGCACAACAATGGAATGGCTATAAGTTGCTGAAACATGATAAACAAGATAAGAAATAATAGCAAACAAGTTAATGTAATGTCAATGTTAGGATTTAGCAAAAGATAGTAATTGAAATCGTTAAAAGGTTAAAGCAATGCGTCCCCATTTATAAACTGTAACAAATAGGACACAAACAATAGACTGCTTGTGAAGGATGATTTATTTTTCTTTAATTTTAATCAACTGTTATTGTAGTGTGCAGCTAACAAGATGCAGCAAAATATACCCAGCAATTAACAATGCAATTTATTGTCTGTGTCTTCTTTGTTGAAATTCAGAAGGTTAAAAGCAGGAGGATCAATTTATTTTTGTGTTCATTTGCTGTAAACACCTGTGGAAAGTTCTGGTTGTTTGTACTATTCTAGACTTGTGTCTTGTTCCAGAATTTGAGTTTTGCATACACATCCATTCTTGCTTTTCTGTATGCAGACTGTTGGGTACAGACATATGCACTCCATTTTTGAAGAAGGAACCACTAATCAGTTGGATTTTAAAACATGGATGAGTCTATCCCCCCTCCTATAACTGTGCCCTGGAACCCACGCGAGATCAATTTCATTGTGCTAAATGGCACACTGAGTTGTGGTTTACAGGTAGGACATGTGATATTTAGGCCCAAAACATCTGATTTTATTTAGTCACCCTCTACATTTTTGTCAGGGAGCCACCATGGTAAAGTAGCTAATGCTCGCCTGCGAATTAGAAGGTCATGGGTTCAAATTCTAACAGAGCCTGACTTTTTTAAAACGACCTCAGCTCCCAGGTCAATCCAGCCTAAAATGGGCACTAGGTAAAGTCCTGGGAAGTAAAGGTCGCTGGCGTGGTGGTGACCATACTATCCAACAAGTCCAATTTGGTTTCAAAATACAGGTTTAGCCTTGTATAACCAATACACTTAAAAGCGTGGGGGGAAAAAGTCCTTTACACATGTGTTACCAAGCAGTGGGTCTGTTCTTTAGTCACACACACACACAAAATGGCCATGGGATAATGGGGATTGTAGTTTTCAAGAACTGTCTTATATGCTGGTATATACGGTCATTATCCTTTACACAGGTGACACCCATCACAGACAACACAAAACAAACCAGAAGGAGATCCAGGAGCCGACTGGGAAAAACGTAGATCTGCCAGACTCGGGTGGGCATGCTGCAGCTGTCCCTGCTGAAGAACAATCTGGGTTGATGACGATTGAGACACCTCAGTCTCCATTCCGGTCTCAGGTACAGGACTGCCATCTCGAGACAAGCTGTCTGGTGTGAAGGACCCTGCCATGTGACTGGGACTAGCCGGGGCAGACCTGGAGACAAGACATTGGTAAAGAATTGTCATGTCCTCACTGATCTAAGATCAGGCTTCACAAAATAGTGACAGAAAGTATAAAGGCTCTCATCACACTAGGCATGTGATACTCAGCTCATATATTTTTAGACCAATATGCACTCAATGGGTGTTTTGGTCAACATCCCGTTGGCTGCCTTTACTTCCCAAAATATTATCTAATACACATTTGACAAAGGTTTTTTTTTTCAAATCTGCCTCAAAGTAGAATCAAACCCAATGCCTTCAGGCCAACAGGTTAGCATCTAGCCAGTACACTACCATAGCTTGCATCTAATTAAATGGGCACCAGTCAATACAGGGTAGGTAAAGTGGTTCATGTAGTACCAACAACATCGCTCTCCTTGTATAGTTTGAGGAAGAGCCTGTTGGCCGAACACTGTTATCTCCGACATGCCATATTGGTACGTTTTTAGCTCAATCAATCAGTTTTTGGTTTTGTAGCGGAAAGTTGCGGATAGAAGTCTCATTACCGCTCACACCAAATTTAAACTTTTTTTTTTCTTCTTGGCATTCACTGGCTGTAAACTCTCGACGTTCACCCACTTCTGGACTTTGGTCTTGTTCTAGAACCTAGGTTATAGGCATATATTCGTTTCACAGATCCAGTTTATCTGTATGCAGACTGTTGCTTCAATGCCCTCTTAGGCTCAGAATTCAAAGGGAACGTACCTAATTAGTTTACTCTTATGACATGCTTGTTAGGGAGCAGCGGGTCTATTATTTTTCCCAACAACAGGGCCCCCCAGAAGGCATATGGGAATGCCCAATTTAAACCTCAAATGATTATATTTTCATTCTTTACCATAATTTCAAGGTTAACTTAATATAGCAAAAACAAGAAACTAATTTCACAATTTGTCTAGTGCCATTAAAAAAATAAACACAAAAAATCAACACTGCTTACACAAAAATTGTTTTTAAAAACTATCTTGATATACTGTCTCAAGATTATTCAGCAGTCACAAAACACAATTAAAATGCCAATTTTTGAATCTGTTAGTAACAGTTTTTCCTTCTTTCTAATGATTTTTTTGATGGTACATCTCCATAAACACTGGTCTTCTCTAACAAATCAGCACAATGCATAAACTTTATAACACAGACAAGGCTCCAAATATGTGTACATTAGAATTATACTCTATATAATATTTTTGAAGGCATATGTTCTACATATTAGCCTGGGCAACGTTTTCAAGGTGCTTATTTTAATTTCCAACAACTGAGGGAGTTTCAACTTGCAGAGGTATTTCATTCCTGTTCAACAGGGCTAGACATCCTTCTTCTGCTAAAAATTCACTGATTACAAACTCCGGTGGAAAGTCCTGCCTGTCTACCCACTTGTGGACTTCAGCACATCTGTTTTACAGACCCAGCATGTCTGTTTGCAGACTTGGTTCCTTGCCTCTCAGGTAGATTCCCTCCGACTTCATTGAAATGTTCTTGATATCTAAGCTCCTGGATGGGAACTAATTTCTAGGATGACTAGAGAGAGGAGTACTGATATTGGGACCTTTGTGTTTCTTGGCAGTCTATTAATCTATAGAGACTCAGCCAGATTGTATAAAAGGAATACCACTAGGAGAATCTGGTCCTGGTGCATAACAGCACATAACTCAGCACCTCTGCGAGGCATCCAATCCACCATCCCAGGACCATATCCTGCCCACACCATGAGTTAAACAAGATTTAATCAAGTCAGAGGCGGTATTTTATAACCTGCAATTCAATCCACTCATAAATAATGCATAGACCTTAAATTTACACAGAAAAAGTGATACAGGGTGGCGGTGACAGTCCCACTATGCCAGTGACTCTCAACCTTCCTAATGCGGCAAACCTTTAATAGTTTCTCATGCTGTGGAAACTCCCAACCTTACAATTATTTTCGTTGCTACTTCATATCTTTATTTAATGTGTTTTCCGGCGGTCTTTTCGACCCCTGTGAAAGGGCCACGACCCACAAGTTGAGAACCGCTGCGCTATGCCAAAAGATAGAGTAAAAAATGTCATCAAGACATGTTTTACTAAAGGTAAAAACAAAGAAGTGTCCATAAGCTATCATACAAATTTATAAACTATTCAAACCTGGAAGATAATCCATCATAAGGTGGCCTGAAACAAGCCACGCCTCGCTGACGCCGGCGTCTGAATGCCTGAGCTGTTAATTTAGCCTCAGACGCTGGGTCAATACGCCAGAAAGAACCTTTACCAGGCTCTTCTTGCGACCGGGGAACTTTGATGAAGTATCGATTCAATGATAAGTTATGTCGGATTGAATTCTGCAGATGAAAAATAAAGGATTACATTTAATGTGCAAAGTGGTACTGAAAATAAATTAAGTGTGGAATAGCAAACGAACAAACGATAACATAATCAGCTCCCCAGCACCAGCTTTTATACAATCTGGCTCAGTCTCTATAGATTGGTAGACTGCCGAAAAACATAAAAGGTCACAATTCTTTACTCCAGTGACTATCCCCACGGGTTACTAAAACCGTGAAACAAACACCACAGTTTAAAGATGATCCCAGATAATCTTCAGAACATGAGGCAAACAGTTTGGCCACTTAATTGAAAAGAACACATTCTAGTTATATTGTTCTCAGCTTTTTTTTTATTGCGTGTCCTCAGGTTTTCTCAATGTGGGTCCTATCCAATGCCAGCATCTTTTCTTCACCTCTTGGTCCACTGGAACTTGCTTAGTCCTCTCCCAAAGCTCTACATTAGTGATTTTATCACGCAATTTAATTCTCTATTCTGCACAGGCAGAATTACAAATTTTAAGTTCAGTATTAGTTTTAATTTCTTTTGACCTCATATCCTTATTAGGCTTAAACTCGGGACCCCGTTACATGCCACTGCTACAAATTGCATGATCGGTTACAGTGTTACTTGGACTCCCTTATAAACAGCAGCAACATTCCGAAAATTCTGATGGTTGCTAGTGCTTATATCTGAAATACAGGACAAAGTAAAACATCCAAACAGAAGAGCCTGAGCCCACAAACATGGCACTTTGACCCATTTGCGCCAAGATGTTTGTATTCCAGCACCTACGCCCATTACAAATCCCAGAGCAGCCGATATTTTGGCAAATGGCACTGGTCAGTCTTTGCTCTACCCATAAATAAGGGAGGGCGTCAATTATTTAGTGATATATTTTTTTATTAATCATAACATAATTCCCTGCCTTTAATGATCAGCATAGCGATGAAGTCATATTAATTTCTGTTTAGACCCAAGGAAACGTTGCACTTAATATTGATTACTCTCCCTATTTATTTTAAAATGTACATAAATACATTTTTTTAAAAACTATTAGTAACATGTATAACATGTTTTAAGGATTCTTTTACAGGAAATTCCCATCTTCTGGCTATTTTTCCAGAGAGCTTATGGAGAAGGGGTGGGGCAAAGCCCACTGACATAAGGACCATCACTACAACAACAATCACAACTCACCTGCCACCCCTTATCAGCAGTTCTGTAGTAGGGATAGTTCTTGGTGATGTAGGCATAAATACCACTGAGAGTTAGCTGTCTGTCTGGAGCGGAGGTGATTGCCTGGACAATCAGCTGAGCGTATGAGTATGGAGGCTTGGACTCGTCTCTAGGCATGTCCCCTGAAGGTGTGGCCACTGAAGGCACTGTGCTGCTGTCCCGTGGATGAGCAGCTGTATAGGCAGCAACAGCCAGCTCCGGGATGAGGCTGAATCTTGAATTATAGGCTGAGCCACTGCGTGGACTTGTGGGGCAGGAGTTGGCAGCACTGAGACAGCACAATAAGAAACTCTCAGAAATGGTGACATAACTTGTCTAATTGGCAAAGTAATGGACCCCTTTCCACGCCTTCAGGTGTATTGGGCATATAGGGCTATATCTATATTTTTATAGACCAATCGGCACTTCGCTGACGGGGTCAACATCACGCCAGCTGCCTTTACTTCCCAGGACTACACCTGGTACCCACTCAAAGCTGTATTGACCGGGAAACCAAGGTCACTTTTGAGGAAAACCTGGTTCCATCAGGACCCAAACTCACAACCTTCCGATCTGCAAGCAAGCACATAACTGCTACACCAATCTCGACTCACCAGCCTAATAAGTTTACTATTTTAATATTAATTTAAAAAATAAAAACACTTAAAAGATCCCTTTAAGGCCTTTAACACGTAGGGAATATAGTGTTGGGAGTTTTTACAGACTAATCAGCATTTTGTGGAACATAATGCCAGCCACCATTATTTCTCAGAACAATATTTGGTACCCATCTCAGGCTGAGCCAAGGTTAATTCTCGGGGGGGGGGGGGGGGGGGGGATCCGCCTTGTCAAGGATTTGAATACTAGACCTTCAGGTGTAGCACTCCATGCTAGGGCAGCCTCCTTACTATCTATTCTAATCAAACCATATTTCAAAGCTTGCCAACGCAAGCAAAAAGACAGGTGTACTTTCAATCAAAAGAGCGAGGACCACAAAAAAACCATGGATCAAATTATACTTTCTGTTGGAAAAGAACAATGATTGCAAGATGCCACGCCTCAGTTGACACTTTCTGTTGAAGAAGGACAATGACTGCAAGAAGCCAAGCCTCAGCTAACACTTTCTGTTGGTGATACTGCAAGATGCTTTGCCTCAGGTGACACTTTCTGTTGGTGACACTGCAAGATGCTATGCCTCAGGTGACACTGCAAGAAGCCATGCCTCAGTTGACACTTTCTGTTAGTGACAATGCAAGACGCTATGCCTCAGGTGACACTTTCTGTTGGTGACACTGCAAGATGCTATGCCTCAGGTGACACTTTCTGTTGGTGACACTACAAGATGCTGTGCCTCAGGTGACACTTTCTGTTAGTGACACTGCAAAATGCTGTGCCTCAGGTGACACTTTCTGTTGGTGACACTGCAAGAAGCCATGCCTCAGCTGACACTTTCTGTTGGTGACACTGCAAGAAGCCATGCCTCAGTTGACACTTTCTGTTGGTGACACTGCAAGAAGCCATGCCTCAGTTGACACTTGCTGTTGGTGACACTGCAAGAAGCCATGCCTCAGTTGACACTTGCTGTTGGTGACACTGCAAGAAGCCATGCCTCAGTTGACACTTTCTGTTGGTGACACTGCAAGAAGCCATGCCTCAGTTGACACTTTCTGTTGGTGACACTGCAAGAAGCCATGCCTCAGTTGACACTTTCTGTTAGTGACACTGCAAGAAGCCACGCCTCAGCTAACACTTTCTGTTGGTGACACTGCAAGAAGCCACGCCTCAGCTAACACTTTCTGTTGGTGACACTGCAAGAAGCCATGCCTCAGTTGACATTTTCTGTTGGTGACACTGCAAGAAGCCACGCCTCAGCTGACACTTTCTGTTAGTGACACTGCAAGATGCTATGCCTCAGTTGACACTTTTTTTGCTGAAGAGGGACAAAGACTGAACAAAATCAAGTTTCACCTTGTTTCTGTTGGAGGAAAAACAAGGACTACAGGTAAGCATACCTCAGCTGACACTTTCTGTTAGTGACACTGCAAGATGCTGTGCCTCAGCTGACACTTTCTGTTAGTGACACTGCAAAATGCTATGCCTCAGGTGACACTTTTTGTTGGTGACACTGCAAGATGCTATGCCCCAGGTGACACTGCAAGATGCTATGCCCCAGGTGACACTTTCTGTTGGTGACACTGCAAGATGCTATGCCCCAGGTGACACTGCAAGAAGCCATTCCTCAGCTGACACTTTCTGTTAGTGACACTGCAAGATGCTATGCCCCAGGTGACACTGCAAGAAGCCATTCCTCAGCTGACACTTTCTGTTAGTGACACTGCAAGATGCTATGCCCCAGGTGACACTGCAAGAAGCCATGCCTCAGGTGACACTTTCTGTTGGTGACACTGCAAGATGCTATGCCCCAGGTGACACTTTCTGTTATTGACACTGCAAGAAGCCACGCCTCAGTTGACACTTTCTGTTATTGACACTGCAAGATGCTGTGCCTCAGGCTGACACTTTCTGTTAGTGACACTGCAAGAAGCCACGCCTCAGTTGACACTTTCTGTTGGTGACACTGCAAGAAGCCACGTCTCAGCTAACTCTTTCTGTTAGTGACACTGCAAGATGCTGTGCCTCAGCTGACACTTTCTGTTAGTGACACTGCAAGATGCTGTGCCTCAGCTGACACTTTCTGTTAGTGACACTGCAAGAAGCCATGCCTCAGTTGACATTTTCTGTTGGTGACACTGCAAGAAGCCACGCCTCAGCTGACACTTTCTGTTAGTGACACTGCAAGATGCTATGCCTCAGTTGACACTTTTTTTGCTGAAGAGGGACAAAGACTGAACAAAATCAAGTTTCACCTTGTTTCTGTTGGAGGAAAAACAAGGACTTCAGGTAAGCATACCTCAGCTGACACTTTCTGTTGGAGAGAGTCAAAGACTGCAAAGAATCATATCTCAGCTGACAGTGTCTGTTAAAAATGTCTCACCTGATTGTTTTTGTAGGAGTGGGCCAAAGACTGCAAGAAATCATGTCTCACCTTATGGTTTCTTTATGTTAGAGGAAAAAGAACTGCCAGAAATAATGTCTCACATTATGGTTTCTGTTGGTAAAGGGAAAAGGACTGCCAGAAATCATGTCTCATGTTATGGTTTCTGTTGGAGAGGGACAAGGAATGCAGTGCCCCATGAAGTTTCACCCCATGGTTTCTGTCGGTAGAGGGACAAGGACTGCCAGAAATCACGTCTCACCTTATGGTTTCTGTCAGTAGAGGGACAAGGACGGCCAGAAATCATGTCTCACCTTATGGTTTCTGTTGGAGAGGGACAAGGACTGCAGTGCCCCATGTCCTGCAACTCAGGTATGCTAATCCTCAGAGATTGTACAGGTGTCTTCTTTCTAGGAGTTGTCACAGCAACTGGTGGTGGAGGTGCAACTGCTTCATCAATTAAAGACTGGAACTGAATTTTGATGTTTGTGCTTGGGAATCGTAAAATACACCTGATGGAAAAAAAATCTGGTCATAAATATACAAATTATTTCCTTAAAAAAATACTCTATTTGGTGATTCAATTAATTATCATAAATTTTTTTAAATGCTACTGAAACAAGAGTTCTCATCAATACTGTTGGTTAATCTTTACAGGTTTTTGAAAGACAACCACAGCTGCTTATTTGTAAGTGTTCCACAAATATTTTCTACTGCTCCCAAATCAATTAGGTTACTATGTAGGTTGCCTCTTCTGAAGTTAAAACATTTGTGCTTTGATTCTGCATTACCTCATTATTGAACTTTATATAGAAATGAAGTAAAAGGTACTTACACTTACAGCCCTGTTGCAAGTTAATCAGTTAATGATAATGCTTACCATTTAGGTTACACTAATGATTTCTAATGAACTTTAGCATAGGTTACAATGTGTTAGTACTTAACAGTGAGGTATTATTTGATTCTTTTTTGGGGGCAGGGGGGGGGGGGTGAGTTAAATTATTGCATTTTTTTAAATTTGTATTACAAAAGCCCAAATAATCCATCATTAGTTCACCATCTCTGATGAGAATTACCATACTTGACAAAGAACCTATAAAATTCAAATTTATTGAAGTATTCATTATAAGGATGCATATTCTATTATTATTTAAATTTTATTGTATTTTTAGTACCCTAGTGTGATGTGTGTGAGTACCTCAGTATGTCTAACAGTACTCTACATCATGATCATATAATAATATTAATAACAGTGTGGGTTCCGGGGTCCCATGGTCGTTGTGGGGAAAAACAAGAATAGATCCACTGCTTGCTCAAAAGCATCCGTAAGAGTTGACTAATTAGGTGCTTAATTCAAAGTTTGAGTACATATCAGCCTGAGGTACAGGGAACCAACAGTCTGCAAGCAAATGGGTAAGACATGTGAAACGGATGTACACGCAACACTCAGGTTTTGGAACAGGACTGGAGTCCAGAAGTGGATGAACAACCAGAACTTTTCGCAGGTGAACACGAAGAAGAAGATTAATTATTATTAATAATAGTTAATACATAAATAAGATTAGCAGTCAGTATTTATTAGTATTTTTAAGAGATTAAACAACAGCCCATTTAATAATTATAATGCGTAAACAAATTTATAATTTCTGAAAAATAAATGTAATTAAAGCAAATATTTACGCTGATCTGAGATTTTAAAAATGTTTGATTTTTACAGTTTCAGTGACAATGAAATCAGTTGTTTACATTTCCGCCATTTTGAAAAGACCACATGGTTCCTTTGTACAGAGGTTTTGCAGGGCATTTTAGTTGTCACCTTGCACTTGCGAAGCAATAACTGATGATACTTTCGATCATACATAATTTGTCTTAAACCTCGGCCCAGCAACATGCGAAAGGGCAACAGAATAGAAATATATGATGTAAACAAACAGTACTTCCTCCCGTCTGCAACTGCGTTGCTGCTGCCGTTAGGACGATAGGAATTCAAAACACAACAAAACTTACGTTCTTGGAAGCTGCAAAGGCGGCGCCCCTTTTCTTTGAAAAATCCCGTCTATAAACACTCCATTTTTTCCATTGCACTTCATAAAGAAATTTGGATGTTCCGAAAAGATTTCCAGATGGACTCTAGAAATGAAACTTGAGTGTCCCATGTTGACATCAACGTCCCCTTTGCTGCTGTTTCGGCCGATCGTGATGCGTGGCTTTCTCATGGTAAACTCGAAGTCTCTGCCTTCCAAACGAGCGATGGCTTCACCGTTTGTCTCTGGGCCCCATATTGCTCTTGACGGGCTGGCCGGGGCCGATTTCAGGGCTAATAACGCCAAAGCGTGGTTGTTTGTTGGCTGCTGTTTTGCAGACATATTCCAGAGGTTGCAGCGCTAAAATGGCAGCTGGTGGAGAGGAAAACAAACCCCGTACCTGTGTTTACATCCAAACTATGCCTCCCAGCATGCCCTGCGCCGGCTCGTACGGCGTGTTCCCGGCAGGGCTGTCGAAGTTGGTACTTTCCTGCAAATCTGACACTATTTGACTTTTACTGAGCAAAACTGTACTTTTTCTACCGCGCCCGATATTTTAGTATGTTTTAGAAATTGTAGATCACAATTTTTAATGTAAGCTGGATCAGGTAGATTTTACCGAAGGCAGACCAACGTCAGTTATGCCAATAATCATGGAATTTCCCAACTTTGTTAGAGAAGAGAGATAGAGATGGAAACATCGTATACATGAAACCTGCAAAAAGATGGACAAATCTATCACTGAGAACGCAGGACAAATAGAAAATCACGACAGTGGGCTACAACCTAGTATCAGTTAGACGGGATAAAAAACAAGTTAGAGAAGAATATTATGAACAAACAAATCAAGAATTAAGAGAACTAATAGTGCAAGATCAGCTAGGAACTAATAGTGCAAGATCAGCTATCCAATGCTGAAAAAATACCAACAAAATTTAGTTTACAATTTCAGAAGAATAATGTACATGGAGATGAAATCTCTTTCTAGTAGTACCGAAATTATGCCGTGTCTTTTGGCATTATCTCATTTCTCTGCAGTTGCAGAATGAGTTTTCACTTTGCCTAACCATATAAGGACGGCTTTTCCATGCAGTCTTCAACAATAAATCAACTGATTATATCAAATGTATTACTCCAATACATTAGCTGCACCATATGTAAGCCGCCACAACAGATTTGTAAGAAACTAAGCATGAACAAATAGTTCAGTGATGATGTAATTTCACCTTTGATCACATTAAAGTATATATATATATATATATATATATATATATATATATATATATATATATTGTTTATATACGTTTAAACAGGTTTATTAAATTTAAAATGTGGTACCTTTTAGTGCGTTTTGGTACATTTTCCCAAAAGATTTGGTACAATTCTCAGTGAGTGACGGACATGTAACCCCACCAGGACCACACAACCAGCGATTAACAACCAGTGATACTAAGTGCCACCATTCATATGAGAATCCCTCAGGCGCAAGCCTAAGAAACCCACTTCAACTGTTAGGTTATATTTGGGCCCCCCAAGAGAAGCGAGATTTTAAAAGAATTTTTTTTGAATGTGTTCTTTTTTGGGAGAGGATTAACAACTTTTGTCAAAATAATGTCGGCAGCCCTGTTTCCTGGGCTGGCGGCCTCGACAACTACCCTGACCTACATTACTGGGAACCGGGGAAACAAACCTAAGAGATATAAACATTTGTTCTCTGTTTAGTTTGTATGGGTCTCAGCGGAATTATGCTCAATTTGCAGCAGTGTAGATTATTTTGCGCAGAAATTAGGAACTAAATATTCAAGAATTAGATAACAACAAGAACGCTGACCTTCGTTAGTGTAAGCCGGGAAACAGGCCCCGTTGACAAATACATTTGCCGGCGTTTAGTTGGCATGGGTCTCATTGGAATTAATTACAGTCGCGCCATTGTAGATCATTTTAGGTTAAAGTCAAGAATTAAACTTTAAAAAATACATGATAACAACTGAGTGAATGATGCATGAATCAGGAATTGACTTCACTGCACTTGGGACATTCCCTTGAGTGCTCTGCCCTATATTACTTTTAACGGGCATCAAACCCAACAAAGATAAACAAGTTTCACTGTTGTTGAGTTTTTGTTTGCTTCAGTCAGATTGGAATTATTTATCATTGCACTACTGTAGATAATTTTATGCAGAAATTACGAACTAAACTCTATAGAATAGATTAAGACTACTTCGCTGACTTACATTACTGCTAACCAGGAAACAAGTACTGAAACGAACATATTCTTAATTTTTATTTTTATTGATCTGGTTGGAATTGCTCACAATTAGCATCACTGCCATTTTCTGAAGGTGCTTAGAACGAAACTTTTAAGAGTAGACGACGAAAGCTACATTGTCCCCCATTGCTACTAACCGGAAAACAAATTATAAAGGCATAATCATTTGTCCGTCGTTATTAAAAATGTACGGGTCGACCGAAACTGCTTATTGTTTTTATAAGTAATACTTCAACATTATGCATGAAGTTCACCATCCTCATAGATCGATGGCATTATTAAAGCGCTCCCTATTAGTTAGCTCTTTCAGTTACAGTCAGATGCTATAGTTATTCATGTAGTATCAATACGCGTCTGGAAATTAAGATGTTAAGTTAACAATATGGAAGTATGGCCAGGATTGTAGATATTGCAATAATTATGTTACAGCTGCAAGGAAAGGTTACAGTGACGATCTTCTATATCAAGAGATGATTGAAGGTACATGAGTCAGAAGGTTGTTGTGAGCAGACTTGCCTACCAACGCCACATGGCATGACGTTTAAGAAGGCGGATATCATGTGCATGACCTCATTGGCTTAGAGGTCAATGGTCGTGTTTATCAACAACACACACTCATTCATAACGGGCTTAGTGAAACCATAACCTATTGTCGAACCAGTGGCGCTTCCGGGTTGACCAAACCTTGAACACATTAGAGAAGGCGTTGCCTTGAACAATGGGCGTCGGAAATAAGGGTGGTCGTTGTCGAGCCGATGCGATGAATAGCTTAAAACGACCAAGAAAAGTAACTAGGGAGCTTGGCAAAGGAAAATACACACAAGCAACAAGCGAGTTGACTACAGTCTTATCAGTGAACAAAATACAGGAGTATTTTAATATATAAACAGAAAAAGTATTGTAGTAAAGTGACACGAAATGGCGGGGAAATATTAATAATACGCATGTTAAAGTGCCGGGTGTAGGTATAAGCCACGCCCTTCTCCCCGAGAAGGCGGTGGTATACGCTAAATAAGCCGCAGCTTTGTGCCTCATAATCTGCAGGGACGTCAACAAATTATTTTTTTCACAATTTAATTTCTTTTAATTTATATATTTTATTTATCTAAATGTGTTAAGAGGTAACTTTCCAGAGTTTATTATTATTTTTTTTTTTTTTTTTTTTTGAGGATTATATAATTTCTGTAATTTTGCAAACACATTATCTATTATTCCTGTTAATACAAATTAAACAATATATTTTCATAATCCATATATTTTTATATTTTTATTATAATACTGTGAAATGTTCAGTGGCATTGCAAGGTCAAGTGGTACCCAGTGCGGTACAATTTTGTTTAACCCACCCCCCCCCCCTTTTTTTTTTTTGGCCCATACAAACACATTCAAACTCATTTGTTAATGTAAAAAATAAGTTTTTTGTCACCCCCCCCCCCCTCCTCGCCTTTTCCCCAGTTAATGACACCTGGTGCGGCAGGACGCCCCTCCGTCTGCCGCTGGTTGTGTTATTTCGGAAAATAAATCATTATTAACAACCATCTGTATAGCCCAGACTCAGATTAGAAGCGTATCATGGATTTTCTTTCCAAGATATGCGGGTATGCAAGGCAATGAGCAGCTAATGTATTAGCTGCTGCCGCGCCTCTGGATGTTGACCTATTTTCTGATTAATCGGACGCGACGAAAGGACTCTTGAATTAAATGGACAGTGTAACAGAACAGCGAATTCATACATTGAAAGACCAAGTGGAGGTTCTAGACGATATTCATCACCTGAGGATGGGGTGGAGGTGGCTATAGGTGTGCGGACTGTCAATTAGATTGCAGCTTGTACTGTTTCTTCAGTCATCCATTTCTGTTTAGCTATTTGTCTTCTTTCTGGTAAAATCTCTTTGCTTGATAGATGGAGTCTGAGTGTTGTAATCAACCCGGAAAAGGCAACCGTCCTGTGGTGTTCTTTGGACAAATGGATTGCTAGAGCTGATGTTCCAACTTTCAAAATAAATGGCAGGGACATTAAGAGAGACAGGAGACTGTGGTACCTGGGAATCACATTTGACAGAAGCTTGTCTTTCATAAATCACATAGAGGTGATTGTGTCAAAGGCTCAAAAAAGGTCTTAAAGCACTTAAGATTTATGGCAGCAATGGACATGAAGCAAAGAACGATGTTCACACTATACCAGCAACTAATCATCTCAGTGAATGATTATGGACTAGGTTTGCTCACTGCCTCGAAGAGTCAGCTAGAGAAACTGCAGCGCATACAGAATGAAGCTATGCGGGTGATCTTGGGATGTATAATAGTGACACCCCGAATGTGGGCATGCGATACATCCTTGCATTGTCGACTATTGCAGACAGGCTAAAGGTGCTGCATGCTAAATCATACTTCAGAGTAGCTGCAGATAAAGAGCACCCTCTGTATGAAGCTTTGGGTGAAAAGAGGAAAATCAGGGATGGGCAAAGCAGAGAACACAAGACAAATATGCATGCTGCAAAACATTGGGCGATGAGAGGAGTTGGTCAGAGTACTAGAGGTAAAGTCTGACCTATGTAGGATCATGATCACATTTGGCCCGGAATGCAGAGAATGGCCAGCGGGGGCTACCGGGGTGGAAGTCCAACAGTTGATTCACGACAATTCTCGTCCTGATGATCTGATTACATACACAGATGTTCTGCACTGAGATGAAAGAGAAGTGCCTAGGGTTTCGTAGCGAAAGCCAATAGAAAATTTTTTAGTGCAGGACAGCCAGGTATATGATGTCACAACATCTAGCATGAGAATGGAGGCGGTCACTGCAGCTCTCCGGTGGCTGGAGAACAAGATGCATACACTTGTCGTAATTGTAACGGACTCTGAAAGCATGCTGAAACAGGTGAAGACAGGATTTCTTCGAGAGTGACAAGTTTCACTTGCAAGGTCACGAGTATTGGAGCGTACTTTGAATCTTTTCTCCAGGCTATGCCGGCTTGCTGTGGAATGAACAGCCGGATTGGCTGGATCTGCACCGCTGGGTGGTGAAATGATACATGACCGGGAAAATGTGGTAAGAGCCCTTTGGGAACAAGTAACAAAGTCAGAAGAAAAACTAGATTATTATGGGCTGAAGAGAATGATGCACCTGGGTGTGACCAGCGGGTTCGGCTGGTACACCACGCTCAGAGGAAAGGCAAGACTGACATACAACCAGATTACAACCAGCACCAATAATATTGAAACTGCACTGGCTACTGAGGCTCTGGACGGAGCGCTTATGGAAATGCCTCGAGTGCTGTGATGTCGATTCGTGACTCAGCTCAATTCCCTCTGATAGTTTAGAGTTTGTATTTCTGGTATTGTATTGTACCTAGTTCTCACAATCACTCTATACCGCTCCTGAATTTCTTTATTCTCTCTTTGAATAGCTTTGTTTAGTCTATAGTTTTTCCCCTCTTTTTTTCCCACTCCGGTCGTACATTTAATTTTCCAAATAATAGGACGTGGTCACTGTTACTGTCAGCACTAGGTCTTGTCTTCACATTTGTTAGTGTATTTCTAAATCTTTTGTTAATTAGTAAATAATCAATTTGATTGAATGTTTGCTTATCTGGACTATTCCAAGTGCATAGTCGTCTCTTATGTTGTTTAAACCAGGTGTTTCCAATTATCATATCATTTTTTTTCGACCACTCTACCGCCCACTCATTTGTTGATTCTTCACCATATCTTCTGTTCTCTCTTTCCCAACTTTTGGATTAAAATCTCCCAATATTATTTTAATTTCTTGTGATTTTGTTTGGGGTATTGTAAAATCTAAATCTTTGTAAAATTTGTATATTTCCTCTTCACTGCTAACTGATGTTGGGGCATACACTTGTATTATGTTTATATGTTTTGGGTTGCCTTTGCTGTAACCATAATAACCCTGTCTGATATACTTTTGATGTTCCTTATCAAAAAGTATCCCAGGCTCCTCTTTCATGTTTGTCGCTGCCTGAATATATTATTGTGCACTTATCTTTTCTGTTCTTTCCAACACCCTTCCATCTCATTGTAAAGATGTTTATTTTCAACTATTCGATTTCTTTTATAACATTGTCTGTCTTTCCCAATTCTGACAGCGTTCTCACATTGCAAGTTGCTAGTTTAACTCTTTTAATTTTCATATATAGATTTTTTTAAATTGCTTTCAGTAACCTGATGACAACCTGGTGTCACCTGTGACTGCCCCAACCGGACGAGGCTGTACTTAGATTTCCATTAACGTCGTTTGTGTGATTCAATCTGTTTCTTCATTAGATATCTTGGGAATATAATTTAGTAGTTTCCCGCTGCCTTTCGTGGGGGTATTTTAACCTGCACCTTTGATAATAAATTCCGACTGTCACGTGGGTGCCCTTCTCTGCCCAGCTGCGGAGTGATCCACTTATTCCGGTGGATACTCGGTCCCTAATCCCTATATCTGCGTTTGCCACACCACACCACCACTTTGAGGTTATGTGCGCCGCATGAAATGGCTTAGAATTGCTCACCACCATGAGCCCTGAAAAGAACTCCTGCAGTGTTGATGCGATCAAAGGAAACAGATCCCAATACTGTGCCGACCGGCGCCGAAGTCATCTACCAGCTTGGCAATGGGCGAACCGGTCTGCGCCAAGGGTTACTGCTCCTGCACTTTTACGCCATATTGGTTTCCAATGGCAACGACGTCGCTGATACGCTGTTGTTGTTAGATGATTGCGTCCCTTCGTTGCTATTGCCCTCAGCCGAACGCTGAAATATATTTGATCGCACTTGCTCGGGACAGAACCAAATAAAAGATGTCCACAAAAGGCGATAATGACGAGGTCAGAGATTTAGAACTGGAGAGAATAATTGGTTTTAATGGTAAGTTACACAATTCTATTACAGCTTTTTATTATTTTAAATAATAAATTATGAATCCAATGGTCAAATCAACTACTTCATAGCCCTCGAGCTTCCGTCGATCAGTCGGTCCGGTATGATCTCAAGCGACTCTTAGTGACTCTAGAGAACTGAACAATGAAAGTCTAGCTCTTCTTGTGTTTTTCAGGACTTATTTTGCGTCTGATCTAGTGAAACAAGTGGACAATTTCAGCAAAGTTAAAATCACCAAACTGTTCGCCCTGCCTCACTCCATCTCACCTGGATGTCAGGTCAGAGGTTCCAATATAACCTTATAGTTCAATGGGTGTCCTATATAAAACAAATTTACATGTCATGACCTCATACATTGCTTTCATTAAGTTAATGATCTTCTCCAAGTTTGCCTTTTCCTGATCATGCACAGGGGTGTCAACACCTTTTACAAATATTTTGTTAGGTATCACTGTTTTCAGCAACTACTGCACTACTTAAAAGACACTTTGTGGTGAGTACTGGTGCCTTTTGTGTGTGTGTGTGTGTGTGTAGAAACTTTGTGGTGAGTACTGGTGCCTTTTGTGTGTGTGTGTGTGTGTGTGTGTGTAGAAACTTTGTGGTGAGTACTGGCACCTTTTAGTTCTAGGGAAAAAATGTCCATAGAGATACTGAAAAAAAAATCGTTTCTTAAGTATCTTATTCCTCATCTTTGTGTTCACTGGCTGTAAACTCTGGGAGAAAGTTTTTGTTGTTCATCTGCATCTGGAATCTAATCTAGTTTCAGAACTTGAGATTTTCCTGCTTATCTGCTTTACAGATATTTCTATGTAGCCTGTCAGACAGATGCACTTAGAATTCAAAGGTAACATCAAAATTTTACTTACTCCTTCGGCATGCTTGTTAGGGAGCCGTGGGAGTATTCCCACCCCACCCATACACAATAAAGCCCTAGAACCCACAAGTGGAACAATTTTGTCCTGATTGTGAGTGATTTTAGCTTGACCGATAGAAACGTAACGCTGAGAAAATGTTTATGTCTGTAGTGCTTGCTTCCTGGTTAGCAGTAAGTAAGTAAATATCACCCCACCAGGACATCACACAAGCGATAAACACCTGGTGACACAAAATGCCAACATGAGGATGAGGATCACTTGTGGATAGGTCCCAGAAACCCTGTCCAACCATTAGGTTATATTAGGACCCCCGCCAACAGCCAGGGTGGGGCTTCAAAATAACGAAGAATTGCATCCCACATAGGGACGACTTATATGCTATTAAGGTTAGCAGTAAGTAAATTTTACCATACCAGGACATCACACAGATCGATAAACACCAAGTGGCACAAATTCCCTTATTTGTTTATCAAGGCATTTCTTAATTTCTTATAATGATCTTTGTTAAAATTATCCTTATAACTGACAGCAACATCATTTCTTTAAAATTTCGTTAGCAACTTCACCACATACCATTCTCCAGTCTGCAAGTATTTCTTCAGCTTCCCAGAGACATTATTTGTGCAGTAATTCAGCTATTGTGGTTATATTTACTTCGATAACCAAGATGACCCAAATGCCAGCGCATTGGATTTAAAAGTTAAAATACACAATTTTTCACAGTATTGGAAGCTTACTAGCCAACCATTGTTGTTATTATTCCTTATTAAACATTTGTACATTTATTTAAATGTATTTTTATCTTACTAATTTATTTCAAATTTTTTTAAAGGTAAAGTTCAAGCAGGTCTGATAGTTCACCCAGACAGAGAGCACCTCATATACCCTCTCGGATGCAACATCATTATAGAGGATATCAATAAGGATGCTAAACAGAGCATTTTGTCCAGCCACACCAACAACATAACATGCCTAGCTGTCTCTAATGATGGACGTTACATAGTTTCAGGCCAGCAAACATTCATGGGATTCAAGGTACCGTGCCATCAAATAACTGGGTTTTTTTTACAACTTTGTCATGTGAATATGTGTCATCTTGAGGTTTATTAATGTGCCATTTTAATTTTAAAACTTTATCATCAGTTATTTTCTCTTGCCTGCCATGTTTCAAACTGTATTCTGAAACTTTAGAAATATGTTCTTATTGCTTCTTGATTTCTTTATATCATGCTGTGACAGTTTTGAATACTATGGTAATACATTTCTTTTTTAACTTCTAAGGCCTGCATGACTTTGTGGGACTACGCCAGTAAAACTGTATTCAAGAAATGGGAGCTTCATAAAGTCAAAGTAGAATCCGTGGCATTCTCCAAAAATTCAAAATACATAATCTCTCTAGGAGGGCAGGATGATGGATCGTGAGTCATTTCCCAATTTTGTTACTTGAATGTTCTCTTACTTACAATTTTAAATGTGCAGTCAACAGATTTTTAGTTTGCTCCACCTCTGAAGTTCAGCTCTGTGGCTAAGTCGATGCGAACGCTTTGTAATGCCGGGATGCCAGGTTCGATCCCAGCTGCGGGCCATGTGCCTTGCCTTGGTTTTGACAGTGGTATCAAGAAAATTGACCGTCCAGAAAGTAATGGCAAACTACTGGATGGAAATTTGCCTAGAAAAATCACACAACAGCCAGGGGCTGTTGGGGTTAGTTCTGCAACGTCCTGTAAAGGATACGCTACTAACCTAACCACCTCTGAAGATATAGATATCACTCACACACATGCACACACACACATACACAGATACAAACACACGCACAGGCGAGCATCCCCATACACCCACACACACAGACTGCCTCTCGCTCTCTCTCTCTCTCTTAAAATATTCTTGTGGTGCAGTGATTCAGCTGCTGGTCTGATCTTATGCATACACACACACACAACCACACATACACTATCTTGCTCTTTCTCTCAACCCCACTCTCTCTCTCTCTCTCTCTCTCTCTCTCTCTCTCTCTCTCTCTCTCTCTCTCTCTCTCTCTCTCTCTCTCTCTCTCTCTCTCTTTTAAAACATTCTCATCATGTTTCATCTCCTGGTCTGATCTGAAGCAAACACACATAGATGAAAATGGACAGGTACACAGATAGGACAGGTGCACAGACACAGACTGACAGAGACATGCACACAGATACACACACGTACATACAGACATATACACACACACACACTTTTACAGCATTCTCATCTCCCTCTTCTTCCCAACATTTTCTGCATTAACCCTTAAAAGATTCATTGGCACATTGTGTTGTGGTTTACAGCTAGGCTGTAATAACTGCACTGTTCATTTCAACACACCCAATTTCAGCAGTGTCTCAATTAGTTGTCTTTATGATATTCTTGTCGAGGGTCAGTTAGCCTGTTATTTATTTTTTTCACCCTAAAAGGGAGCTGTAGAATCCAAGTGGTAAGCATTCTCTTCATTAAGCATTTCCTCTCCTTGTCTGGTTAGAAGCTTTTTGCTCATTCCATACCATTGTTATATCCTATACTGCTGTCTTTTATTCCTTACATGTCTGCATTATTACATGTGCTTACCTATTCGATACATGGTTCCCTTATCTAACTCTAGCCTTATGTAAAGCATAATAATGATAAAATTCCATTTATAGATATGTTTTATAATTATGTAATTAAATATGTGCTCCCCGTTTGGGTTCCAGGGCCTCTTTGTGGGGGAAATTAAAATAGACCCACTGACCCCCAACAAACATGTTATAAGAGTCAACTAATTAGAGATGTTTCCTTCAAATTCAGAGTGCATCTGCCTGACAGGCAAGGAACCAACAGTCTGCAAACAAAAAAGCCAGATCTGTAAAATGGATATGTATGCAAAACTCAGGTTCTAGAACATAACAAAGACCAAAAGTGGATGAACAACCAGAACTTCCTGCTGGAATTTACAGCTGTTGAAAACTAAGAAAAAGATTGTTTGGTATACTTTGCTCTAGCTCATCAGATGCCTGCTCCTGAAATTAGATATATTTCTTGATGTTGCTCCTTCTTTTGAAAAAATATTAGAATGTGGTGCTTTTGCTTATTTTTTTATCTCTTCTGCTGGAGTTTATGGCCGGTGAACGTGAATAAGAAGAAGAAGATGAAGAAGAAGAAGCAGAAGAAGAAATATATGAAGTATTATGACATGGAAGTAAGGCATGCATTTGACAGTTTCATGTTCCTTAAGTACTAGGCCTCGTTTCCTGTGTTGGACAGTTTTAAAAAATCCACCGCTCTCCTTGTTTTCAGACAATGGAAGAAGAATTGCACCGTGAAAGAAACTGGGGCTTCACTATGCAATATTTCCAAAGACGACAGTGGTACACTGAAGAGACAGCCTTCATGGTGTAGATGGCACATAACTAATTTTTTAGTTATAAGTAAATAAGTTGTGGTCTACTAAGCTTAATATAAAATGTGTATCATTTAAAATGTCCTAATTCTCTTGGGAATTTTCTGTACTTATTGTTTTAACAGCCTGCTATATTCATTTCCAGTGTTATTGTCTGGGATGTCGCAACTAAAGAGCCCATTTGTGGTTCTCCTGCACAGGGAGAAAGCAGTGGTATAACCACATGTTTGGCAACTTCAAAAGTCAGTGATGACATCTTTGTGACTGGAGGAAAGTATGTGATAAATTTTTTAAATTCCTTATTAGAGCAAAAATGCATATTATATAATAAATACTCATTTTGTAGCTATTCTTGGTAATGATTGACAAGACTGTTGAAAAAAAAAAAGAGTAAGGGAAAGGCAGAGTGATATATGCATGGATGGCTTTTCTGATGGGGTTAGAAAAAAAAAACCCACTGAGACTTGATCTGAGATTGTGGTGATTTTGTGGGTTGCAAAGCTTATCGGCATGGCTGATCCATTGTAGAATATAGCTCTCATAAGGAAAGTAAAGGACCCTTTTCCATGACTTCGTGTATTTAGGGCTAGCCCTATATTTTATAGACTAATAGGCATTCAGTGGGTGATGTGGTTAATATCACACTGGCCGACTTCACTTCCCAGGATTTACCTGGTACCCATTTAAAGATAGGCCGACCTGGGAGCCAGGGTAATGTTTTTTTTTTTTTGAAGTCAGACTCCATCAGGACCTGAACCCACGATCTTCAGACCCGCAAGTAAGCATCTTGCCGCTAGCGGCGAAATAGCTTCCATAGCTCTCATGGGCCACAATAAAGACGCTTGATTGTTTGCCAGTTTTTCTAGCCTTTTAAAGTGAATCATCATCACCAGTTTCCACTGTTGCTGTTAAGCAAGTTGGGGGGGAGCAGTTAGACTGATGGTTAGCAATGGTTATTGTCATTCCATGTTGATTTAAAAGGTCTTTTATTTCATCAGTCCAACTTCTTCTAGGATGACCTCTTGCTTTCACAACAGATATTTTCATGTGTAGACCTCTGTTTCTTAATTAATTTGGTGCATGGTGTTGTTCCCCTAGTTTGTCTGATATTATCATTTCTCACTTTGCCTCGGATGGTTAAGTTGGTGGCTTTTCTGTTAATTTTACATAGTCTTTCATAATGTTCAGGTTTGGCACTGGTAGCAGAGTTTTGGTATGAATATGCTGTATATAATCTGTTACTTGACAGTCATACTCATGTTTGCATGTTTTAAAAATTCAGTTGATATATAAGTGCACTCGTTCTATATATTCTTTAATTTGTCTGCTCAGACTAGTTATTTACAGAAGTCATATTATTGGGGGGGAGGGGGGGGGGGGAGCTTATATAGTAATTTTACACCAGCCTTGCATGTCATTATTAATTGCTCAGTGGGCCAGTCTTGGCCCACGGGCCATAGTTTGCCCACCCATGATCTACAACGTCCTTAGATTGAAGGCTTGGCATGAAATGGTTGATGGCATGTGTTGTACTGGGAAAAAAAACAGATAAGAAGATAGGCAAAAAGAAAATGTAGGAATAATATTTATTTTCATGAATGTGTAGATCACTGGTTCCCAGTTGGTGGCCAGAGCAAATTTAAGGTGCCCGTGATGTAATTTAAATGCAAACACAAAACAAATAACCCCAAAGTGCCTCAATGCGGATGAGGATCACCCACGGAGAGGTCTCAGAAACCACGTTCAACCATTAATCTATATTGCTGCCATACAGCAGAACAGGTTCTATGTAAAATTCAACTTATTCACAGTTTTGTAAAATTGTATGATCTGAGTAATTGAAAAGTTGCATTTCTTTACATAGCAATGTTCTTCGTGTGTGGACAATTGAAAAGGGAAATCGTAAAATTAAATCTTCAGACACAAAATTAGGAGGTTTCAAACGCATCATCAACTGCATTGAGGTTGGTATAATATGTTTTGTTTGTATTTCCTGAAATCTTTACCTTTTTTGGCCTTTTAATACAGTGTAATAATACAGAACATTGTCTACTTGCATTACAGCACTGTAAACATAGAGAAATACAGGACAAAATAGAAACAAATAGTTTGCTAGTGAAATATAATGAGGCAGGATCAAATTCAACTTAACAGTGTGGTTCTTCTTCTTCTTCTTCTTCTTCTTGTTCACCGGCTGGGAATTCCGGCGGTAAGTCGCGGTTGTTCGTCCAAAATGGACTTTTGGCTTTTACCTTGACCTGAGTTTTGCGTGTACATCCGTTTTACTGGCTTATTTGTTTGCAGTACTCGTTCCCCGCCTCTCCGGCAGATGTACTCCGACTTCGGAGGAAGACGTCGAGCCTATTTCTAGGTTGACTGTGGCCATTGTTTTGTGTGGGTCGAGATGTTGCCTCATTTGTGTGGTGTCCTCTTTGACTTTTAACAGGTGTGGCCCCCGGCATGTCGTCCTTAAGGCAGCTCTATGTAGAGTTTTCAGCCCTCAAGGGAAGGCAGGGGCAGATCATAGGCATTCCCCGCCATCCAAGGAGGCTTCCATAAATGCAGAGCCGACACATGATGCTCTGGTTCTGGGCTCACCCAAGGAATTGTCACGTCCTGCCCATGACTGCTTAACCTCACAACCGTGTATTGAGCTTCCCGCGCTACAAGGCTGCGCTCTCCGGAGATCAGCGGGGAGCAGCCCGTAGGTCTAGGACGTTTGTGGCCACACAAATAGGTACATTCTTTTTCATCTTATGTTAGACACCTTTAACGTTGTGTCAGCTGTGCCCTTAGCACGACAAAATTGGGAAGCAAAATGCGTCAGGCGTGGCTTCACCTGTTTGGTCCCAACACTCGGGCGAGTTGGACCAGTGGATACGGACATTCGGACTTTTTCCTGATCGGTACGAATTATGATCGTCGGACTCTGAGCTTGCATGTGTGCCGTGGGGTATAACTTTGTCGGACATTATTTCCAAACCAGCATATGAAAAGTTGCTGCCGTGGTGTACCTCAGCGCGGTGACGACGACACTGAGGATTGACAGAGGATGTACGTAGTTAGGATCTTGCTGCGAGAAGTCGCCCACAAGAGATGTTACTCGTCTTGGCTGCGGGTAAATCTCTCGGTCAGGGTTGAGTCTCAGCAGCACAGTTTTAAATTCCCTCCCGAATTTTAACCAAGAGTTGTCATTTGATGGTACATTTAGCAAGCAATTTTTAGTTTTGTTAGACTTTTCACCCATGCGTTTGGGGCAGGCTGGTGAGAGCCAGAAAGGACACTACACCCCTGGGGGCCGCCAGCTCCGAGATCCCCTGCCAACTCTGTTAATGCTCATTTGAGACATTATCCGTGGCGCACGATGGGGACGTGCAACAGGAGTCTTACATGAGGTTCCGTAAAACCAGAACAGTGAAGGACTGGCGCCCGAGTGGGGTACGGAGTATCTCCTTATACACCTCACATCAGACTTAACTTTGCCTCATGCCTGTGACCGAAATCACCGCGCCACAACTGTTATGTTGAAAACCATTTATATATCTTCTAACTATTTTGATGGATTAAATTACAAAAACAAAACTGAGTGCAGTTCAACTGTTACACTGAAGTAAAGTAAAGTAGAGTAAAGATCCCTTTTATGCCTTAGGTGCATCGGGCATATGGGAAGAGCATTCCATATTTTTACAGACCAATTGGCACTAGGTGGGTAATGTGGTCAGATTTACACCGGCCATCTTTTTTTCCCCAGGACAGCCATCCTGGTATTCATTTTAGGCTGGGTCGAACATAATAAAAATCCACACAGCCAGCAGTGGGTTTTGATCGCGGTACGTTGGAATTACGAGTTGGACTCGCAACGCCTAAGCCATGGACGCGGTTACACTGAAAGTGTTTTGTATATTTTCTTACTGTCTAAAATTGGATATAATACAACAAAGCACAGTGCAGTTCGACTGTTATGTTGAAAGCTAGCTATTTGCATTGTTAGTATCTACAGATGGATGTAATAAATACACACACACAAATGCCATTATGTTGAAAGCCAGTTGTGTATATTCTTATTATCCATAGATGGCAGATGATCAAGATGAAAAAAGACCATATTTTTTCTGTGGAACAACCACTGGGGACATTCTGTGTATCAACAGAAACACAAACATCCTTCAGTTTGAGGTGCCAGAAAAAAATAAATTCAGTCTTGGAGTTACGTGCATTTCATTTGTCAAAATGACGGAAAAAGGCTTCAACTTGATTGTTGGTTCTGGAGCCGGAGTTGTTGGAAATTATGATATTGGCTTTGATGTTGAGAGTGGTAACAAACAAAAAGCATTTTTAAAGCACAGAGCTGATGTGAAGTAAGTATTTTGTTTCTGTCCTTTAGAATGTTATTTGTTATTTTTATTGTACAGTTATCAGTTTTCTTTAGCAGTGGAATTCAAAGTACTAAGAATAACAAATTAAACTATGAATATTTAGTGAACTGGACAACAGACTAAACTAAAATACCATGGTATTATTAAATGCCATAATGGTTTGGGGAGAACTGTAAAGAAGGGTATGGTTCCTGGAGGAAGAGGCAAGATATCAAGGACAGCCTGCTCATAAATCATGAGATGGGAACGCTGTCAAGAGACACATGGCTTTCTAGCATGTTGTGATCAAAGTGACCTTCGCCCTACCTAAATGTTTGGATCCCATTTAAGACAGGTTTTGCTGACTGTCTCTTTTTCTTTACTTCCTCATTAAGCTTCCTAACCATCGTTTGTGTTTGGTGACTCCATACCCCTTGATGTCAACTTCATTACAGTTGCTCCTATTTTCAAAACTTTTGATTGACAATTTTCTGTGATAGTTACATATAATCAAAGCATTTTGAAGCTCTGGCTCAGTGGTTTTCAATCTGTTTCAGGTGGTGCCCACCTTGAATATAGGACAAGACCCCACATCACTCCCCCCCCCCCCCCCCCCCAAATAATGTGATTAAAAATAGCAAGCACTAATAATAAGTACTTGGAGAAAGACATAAACATAAATCAAATAACTTGATGTCCTTGGTTGTTTGTTTTGTTTTATATATAGTTTTTAAAAATGTATTTATATTTAAACTTAAAAAAACAAAGGATATAATAGATTGTTAAAAGTACAAACACACTGAATTTCAAAACTGCTGGACTTCCCCATGAAACTTCTGTGCACCCCAGGTTGGAAACCACTGCTTTAATAAGGTTTTAAGAAATGTTCTTCTTTTATAGGGAGTCCCCGCAGTGTAGCAGCTAGACGCTTGCGTGCGGATCCGAAGGTTGTGGGTTCGCTCTTTGGCAGAGCCTGACTTTCTTTTTGAAAAATAACCTTGACTTCCAGGTCAACCCAGCCTAAAGTGGGTACCGGGTGCAGTCCTGGGAGGTAAAGGCAGCCAACGTGATGCTGGCCACATCACCCACCGATCGGTCTATAAAAAATATAGGTCTAGCCCTATATGCCTAAAGGCATGAAAAAGGGGATATTTACTTTTTTTTAAACTACATCTCACATGTGCGTGCGTGTGAATGTGTGTGTCGTGGTGGTGTGTGTGTGTGGTTGTGGTGGTGGTGGTTGGGTGGTGGTGGGGGAATCGCCAATAAAAGTGTTGTTAGTTGCCTGACAGAAAGAATCAAGAATAAGCTTTGTTTTCAAATTCTCTGTTTGTGTCCCTTGCAGATCATGGAAACACAGAGAAGAAACAAGTGCTGTCACATCCATTGCAAAGAGAGGAGAAGGTCATCAGGTGCTTAAACAAAACATTTCTCTAGAGTAAAGATAAAACTAGTTTCATTAGGAGCCTTGCATAATGACGTGGAGATGACCAGTTTGCCACCTTTTCATCCTAGAAAAATATCTGTTGCACATTTTATGTATCTTCTTCTTTTTCTTCTACTTTTAATCCCCTAATGAAGCATAGGCCCTTAAAAAACTCATGCCAAGTCATTCTATCCTTTGCTATTGCATTTAATCCCCCACCCCCCACCCCCCCTGTCCTCCCAATTAAAATACAACTTTACTCTCTAGCTCCCTTTACTCTCTAGCTCCCTTTTCCATGCATTTTTTAAGTCTGCCTTGATTTCTATGTCCCTGGAGGTTCCAGTGCAAAGACATTCTAGTTATATTGTTTTCGGGTTTTCTCAACGTGTGTCCAGTCCAACGCCAGTATCTTGCCTTCATCTCTTGGTCCACTGGAACTTGTTTAGCTCGCTCCCAAAGCTCAACATTTGTGAATCTATAGGTATAGGGGGGGGGGGGGGGGGGAGTAAACACCCTTTTTACGCCATTAGCTCATGTGAGGCTAGACACATAATTTGTTAGGCCAATCAGCACTCGAAGGGTGATGTGGTCAGCCCTACACTGGCCACTTTTACTTCTCTGGAATTACATGATATCCAATTAAAGTTGGTTTGACCTGAAAGCCTAAGTTTTAAAAACAAAATCATTTTTTTGTGGCTCCATACAGATCTTAACCATAGACCATCAGATGAGTGACTAGCCATTACACTACCCTCGCTACCACACACTGAGGTTGCATTAATCCCAGAGAAGTACTACTAGTCCACAAAAAATAATCCTTTGACTGCTAAGGATTTCCCTTTGTGGGTTCTGAGACCTCAGGGGGGCGGAAGAGGGGGGGGGGGGGGTAGACCCACCGCACGTGAACAAGCATGACACAAAAAGTAGATTAAGTCAGAGAAGATGAAAAAGCAGGTGATTGAACCCAGAGCACTTTCTTAGCAGGTAAATGTGCTAAACCACTAAGAAAGAAAATTTAAACTAACATCCTGTGCATAGTGGCATGTATTTTATTGGATAAAACTCAAATCAGGAGCATACCTTGGTTTTTGGTCCGGGTCATTCATGGGTGGGGGTTAACGAGTAAACTGATAGATTGGCTGCTGCCGCTTCTCCAGGTGGTGAGCCATTTTATGGTAAAGTAGACATGGTGAAAGCTCTCTGGAATCAAATAGACATTACAATGGAACAGATATTGAAATATCAATTCAACAGGGGGTTAGTAGATGTTGTGGAAGATATTCAGCTCTGTGGGGGAGACATAGACAGACTTTTAATCAAGTTGCAACTGGTACTATTAGCATGTCAACACTTCACTGGCTACTGAGGAAGGAGACTAGGCACTTTAGGAATGTCATGAGTGCGGTGATATTAGTTCTTGATTAATTGATTTTCCCTGTTTTGGTTCTGGGGCCCCACTGTGGTAAAAACAAGAATAACCCACTGCCTCTCCAACAAGCATGTCATAAGAATCAACTAGATAAGAACTTCCTTTGAAGTTGAAATGCATCTGCCTGAGAAGTAAAAACCAACTGTCTACAGATTAGTCACATTTGTAAAATGGATGATGTGCCCACAACATTTGGGTTCTGGAACAAGACTAAAGTCTAAAGGTGGGCAAACTTTCCAAACCTTTCTGCCAAAGTTTACAGCCAGTGAATGTGAAAAAGAAGAAGATTGATTGATTAATTCAGGCATTCATTCCTTTGAAGTTTTCTACAGAATGGTGTAGCCGGTCTCACCAACCCTCCTTCAGTCACTTCTTTTGTCACTTCTTATGGCATTCAATGTAGTAGCTATAGTAGTAGTCAATGTTTTGACTTTACTGCAGTCAGGCCACCCCTTATGTGCTCCATTCCTGTGCCAATGAAAACAGAATGTTTCTCACTGTCCCTTTTGAAAACTAGGGAACAAATAATTAGTCCTGGCAAAGTCCAGAAATATGCACATAAAGGAAATGCTTAAGGCAATTGCTAGAGGTGCCAGACCCAACAGTCTCCATGAGAATCACAATCTGACAAGTTGGCCATACACTCATAAAATTATGACACATGATATTTTGCCAGCCTACTTGTAGAATGGCTACCCACCATGCCAAATGCCATGACACAACCGCTGTGTGCACAAATTAAAGACATTCCTCACATAAATTATAGCTCACAGTGCTGCACCAAGCACTTAACTCAGTAGTTTAGGCTGCAGAACTAGAGACTTTTGTCCAAATGTGAAGTTGCACTACCAGAAGCAAAAAAAAAAAAACTTTGAAGCTTAACATTATGCTATGCCTGTTAACCATATTGAACCGGAAGTACTTTGCCCTCATTATTGGTAAGATGAGATGTTCAGTCATTAATTACTGTAAGCCATTTATAATAATTATGTAATCACGAGCCAAATTTAACTTTTATTCTGCTGAACCCAGTTTTTTGTAGGCACAGCTCACTCTCAAGTTTACAAGTTCCAGATTGCAGACTTTACAGCAGAGCTGGTGAAGACTTGCCACTCCTGCCCTGTCAATGATGTCATCTTTCCATTGTAAGATTTTCCTTAATACAGATCTCATGGTCTATAAAATAAAAGTCACCATCCACATATGGGTTCCATGGCCCCATTGTGGGGAGGGGGGGGGGAGAAGGAGTATACCCACTGATTCCCTAACAGGCATCTCATAAGTGTCACCTAATTGGTTCCTTAATTTAAAGTCACAGTGCAGCTGCTTGAGAGACAAGAATTAAGTCAGATCTGTAAAATGGATGTGCAAACAGCACTCATGTGTTTCAGACAAGACTAAAATCCAGAGGTAGATGACAACCAAAACTTTCCACCAAAGTTTACAGCCGGTGAATGCGAACAAGGAGAATTCACCATATCATACATTACCTTTTGCCTTATTTTATGCATTATTTCCCACATGAAATCTAAGGTTTGCAGATGATACTGAATGGCTGGAAAAGGGGGCGGGGAGGGGGGGGGGGGGAGATGATGGACTAGCTGAACTAACTGGTATACTTGATCAAACATCTACAAATTATGGTATAAAAATGTGGAAAACAAAAATGACTTTGGTTCCAAGGTTCCAACTTAAAGTGGGTCCCTGGCAATGTTATGGGAAGTAAACATACTGTTGACCACATCGAGTGCTGATTGGTCCAGAAAAGTGTGAGCATCATGTGTCTGGTGAACCACTGGCCTAAAAAGGGTCTTTCATTTACTATACTTTTTTAAAAGCCAAAAAGCAAAATTTTCAGTGTCTATAGTAACATTTTTGTAGACGGTGTAGGGCAGGGGTTATTTAACCTAGGGAATTAGTGCCACATGGCTGGTGGAGTCACGACAAACTGTGCAGGTTATGATGTTTATTTTTGGTCCTGATAGTATTTAAAACCACAAAGAGTGAATAAATACTGGGTTGGTTTGTGTCTTACACATGTGGGTTCTGGGGCCATTTTGGGAGAAAGAATAGACCCAAAACATGTCATAAAAAGATGACTAATTAAAGATTCTTTCTCTGAAGCTGGAGCACATCTGCCTGAGAGGCAAGGAACCAAGAGTGCATACAAATAAGCCAGATCTGTAAAAGGGATGTGCATACAAAATTCAGGTTCTAGAACAAGTCCAGGAGGGGATGAATAGCCAGAACTTTCCATCAAAGTTTACGGCCACTGAAGAATGTTTGTGTCATCCTGTAAAGGATATGCAACTAACAGTTATTCATTAATTTTTTTCAGCGGTGTAGCTCAGCTAATTTTGACATGCCAGGATGGAGAAATCCGGGTATGGAATCTGTCAACTGGCAAAGAACTACGCAGATTTGTTCTGGCCAACAAGATCTGCAATGTCCTTGCAATTTCACGTGATGGGAAAACTATTGTTTCAGGTGAATAGTTATAATTGCACCAGCTCAAAATGTTTAATGCTTAGAAAATGTATGTAAGATTAGTTTCTTTTATTTAGTGTATATGTTTAAGAAACACTTTGATTATGAAAAGACTTCTTCTTCTTTGTTTTGTTCTCCCTGCCAGTGGTTTCAACTCTTTGAGTCCCAGGGGGTTTAGCATCAGAGGCCCAAGGGGTGGTGATGCATTTTTTAAATTTCACAAGTGTTACACATTAAAACAGACCATACTAATTCAATAGCCGTGCAACATACACATATTATACATCAAAGTGACCAGGGATTGTTGAGAAATAATAATATTTGTACCAGCTGCCTTTACATTAGACATATCCCTTATCAAAGTTTGACTCTATAAATGACTGAAACACGTCTAATTTGCAGCGCTATCTATGTAACTTTGGATAAATCGAATAAACACATACTTTATTTAAATTTGAGGCTTCTAAAGCCGTAAATCATGTTGGCATGCATGTAGAATATTGCTTGGCGGCCATATTCATTTCAAACAAACACTTATTAACTCAGCAAATCAGCCTGAAATCAGACACAAAGAACTCAAAAGGAAGTTGAAATTAAGCGGTCCGCATTTTACAACTGGTCAGTGGTAGATTGTCAGGCGTCGATTGGGCTGCGCGGTTGAAACAAATTAGTGCGTGATGCGCTCCCTGGGACTCAAAGAGTTAAGATGAGAAGGCCTCAGGCCTCTATGAAGTCTGTGTTGCAACACATGTCTTGCAACCGACCAAACCTGTGATCTCTTTATTGCACGTAGAACGCATGTAAAACGTTCAGTATTTTGCTGTGCTCTTGCACATGGGCAGAGTTCTGAATCTCCTAAAAGAGTTTGTTGTGTCCAATACACAATCTAAATATAATGGTCTGTTTCTTTTGTGTGAGGAGGTTAAAAAGTGACATTTAAGTCACATGGAAATGTCAAAGTAGTTTTGTTGAGATATTATCATTGAAGTATTAAATATGAATCCCTAAGGACATTCTCTATGGTGAATTTAAGACTGGTAGAAGGTGTTGAGGCCGACCTCTACTATAATATAAAGATGTGTGCAAATTAATGATACATATATTAAGCTGGACTCAGAACAGAATGCCACGGACCATGTTGTGTCGAGTGGTAGATAAGGAAAGGAGTAAGAATGAAGGAAGAAATAATTGCAGAGAGGATGGGAGCTGAGTATGTGAAAAAACAGACTAAACACAAATGTTGACAACAACTGTCCTGAAATCCCATGCTATAATTGTGGAAGACTTTTTTTAACGTGGACGGGTCTTGCTAGTCACACTAGCTATCGCCATAGGCTTTAAGTCTCATGTCTCCTCATAGCGCAATGAAACACTGTCGTCCGGAAAGACGCAAGGGTGCCAATCATTAAATATTAAAATGCTTTTTAAAAAGTTTTTTCCCCATTGACTCATCAGGCATTTGGTGATAGACCTATATTTTATTTGCCAATCATCACTTGATGGGTGATGTTGTCAGCATCACACCAGGCATCTTTACTTCTCAGGGCATTCTATGTTACCCGATTTTGGCTAGGTCAACATGGGAGCTGAGCTGAATTTGAACTGTTAACTCTGTCTGTCCCAAACAATGCACTGTGCATGACTGGATATCATTCATGTGCACCAATCAACATATTATGAATGTTTTTTCAAATCTTATGTTTAGTGAGGTACTCTGAAGAATATTTGTTTTTTTTGCAAGTATTGTATATTTAGCCCCTTTGGAAGAGGTATACTCGTGAGTTTTGATTGTCCATTCTTAACTCACTTGGGCATAAGCTAGGACTTTATGGGACTGAAAGGGTTAATTAATATTATTATTAATATGTACATACAATTACTTCAAAAGGACCATGATATTTCAGGATGGAATGATGGACGAATGAGAATCTTTGGTTTCAAAACCAAAGATCTCTCACTGGAGCTGAAGCATGTCATCATGGATGCTCACAACAAGGGAGTTACCGCCCTTGCTTTAACATCTGCAGGAAACACTATTATCAGCGGTGGAGGAGAGGGCATGGTAAAATTATATCTTTGCTTTGCATCATAGGCTTATTAAAAATAGGAAAACTCTAAAGACTTACCAAATTAATAATAATCATTTTTAGATTTTTGGTTTACTTATTACAGATTTTAGAAGCAACATCATAGCACATCTAGAATACTCATGCATGCCCTGTCTCCCACAGAAAATATATAATAAACCTTCCCCATGTGGGATGCAATTTGTTGTTATTTTGAAGCCCCACTCTGGCTTTTACCGGGGGCCCTAAATATGGCCTAATGGCTGAACAGGGTTTCCGGGACCTCTTCACAGGTGATCCTCATCTGCTTGGTGGCACATTGCGTCACCAAGAGTTTATCGCTTGTGTGATGTCCTGGTGGGGTACAACTTATCTACCTACCTACCGACACAAAAAATATCTTAAGGTGTAAATGCTAATTGTTCCAATAGCATACTGATTATACACACGCTATTCTCCTCCTCTTATACATCTCTCCCAAGCAGATACACTTCTAATTCGATGTTCACACATTCTTACACATGTTATTTAATCCTACTCAGGTCTTCTATCAGCATTTGTTCATAAATAGTCTTCAGAATGTCTTCTTTGACCAGTTTGAGGGTTCTTCTAGCTATCGCATTTGCAGCCAAAAATATATGTTCTTTCATTCTCTCACACTCCTGCATGTCTCTGACATTAAATAAACGTGACCCCTGTGTGGGTTCTGTGGCCCTATTGTGGGGAAAACAAGAATAGACCCACTGCCTCCCCAAGAAGCATGTCCTAAGAGTCGACTAACTGGAAGTTTCCTTTGAAGTTGGAGTGCATCTGCCTGAGAGGCAAGGAACCAACAGTCTGCACACAAATAAGTCACATCTGTCAAACGGATGCACACGCAACACTCAGGTTCTGAAACAGGGCTGCAGTCCAAAAGTGGATGAACAACCAGAACTTTCCACTGGACTTTACAGCCGGTGAACGCAAAGAAGAAGAAGATATAGATATAGTGCTAACACTCCTCCTGATAATATCATTTATAACTGAAACAAGGAAATGTTGACTTAGAAACAATGATCTCAGGAGGAGAATAGACACACAACAAGATTCAATGGTTTGGCCAGGTAACACGACTGGCAACAGACAGGGCACCACAGAGAGCATTGTTATACAGGTACAGTGCTAACAGAGCTAGAAGTCAACCATGCAAGTTATACAGGTACAGTGCTAACAGAGCTAGAAGTCAACCATGCAATAGATGGACTGCATAAATATCAGAGACACTAAAGATGACCTTAATGCGAAGCAAATAGAAGGGCCTGTTCCAGAGATCTCTTCCTGCCCTGATGTTGCGAGGCATTCCAAGTATTTGAGAAACATGAAGAAGGTAAAGATGAAGACTCAACACTTCACACCCCAGCTGAAATATTTGCTACAGGATTACTTTTATCTCTTGTGTAAACTCAGAATAGTGATTTGTGACAGTAAAGTGTAGTAAGTTCACTTGCCTGTGGATCTTAAGGTCGTGGGTTAAGGTCCTGATGAAGTCACACATGTTTCAAAAATGACCTTGGCTCCCTTGTTGACCCAGCCTCAAATCGATACCAGGTAAAGTCCTGGGAAGTAATGGTGGCTGGTGTAATGTTGACAACATCACTCACCAAGTTCTGATTGGTCTATAAAATATAGGTTCAACCCTATATACCAAGTACACCTGAAGGCGCGGAAAGAAGTCCTTTACTTTACTTTTTACTTCAAAGTGTAGTAAGTGTCTTTATGCCACTTATGTCTGTTACAAATGGGGCACAAAGTGAGAGTAATTTTAGAACTAATGAAAGATAAATTATAGCTCACAACAAGTCTTACTGTGTGGGGTTGGCAGAAGAAAACATATAAACAAGAACACACTGGGATTTTTAACATGGACTTCTAGTAATTTCCCCTGATCTCTGGGTATTAAGACCAGACACTCGTGTGTATTGTGCATATAAAAAATCCCTTGGCAGCTGGAAATCGAAAATAGTAGCCTAACGGTGCTGTCCGGGCAAAATTTTGAGTTGAAAATCTACTCAAAAAGTATTTCAGGATCCTCACTGGTGCAACAGAGTTTGTGCACTGCGCTGAGATTCTTCAGACTCAGGCTTAAGTTAGAAGAAAAACTGAGCACTTAAGGGTTACACCCATGTGCCTTGATGTTGATTCGTTGAATAAACATAAATTACAATTATTGTTAATGGAGCGTCTTGAATTTTACTGTCCTGTATGTCAGGTACATAAAAATAATGAACATTATTTACTATATTTACTGCAAGAAATTTGAACTCCAAAGGACTCTCCTTAATGAATATGATCCACTGCAATTAAAAACATGCTGGGAGTAGATGGCACTTGACAACTACAGGGAAGGATTTAACAGTACATCACAAGAACAGAAGCTAGTATATGAGCTGTTAACATTTCTTAAGACGAATTATGGTATCCCACATCACTTTAAATATCCACAAAGATAGACTGCACAACATAATTATTATAATTGTTTTCAAGTACACTTAAAAATATATTGAACTTGTCAATCTGTACTTCTACAGTCGCATACAGTTGATAAATAAGCTATACAATATTAAATGCCCAAATCTAAATAAAAGGCAAAATATCCATTGTTGAAATATAAAAAAAAATCCCTGTGTGGGTTTGGGGGCCCCGTTGTGGGGAAAACAAGAATAGACCCACTCCTACTCCACAAGCCTGTTGTAGGAGTCAACTAATTGGGGGACTTCCTTCGAAGTTAGAGTGCATCTGCCCGAGTGGCGTAGAGCAACCAGCTGCACCCAAATAAGCCAGTAAAATGGATATGGATGCAAAACTCAGGCCCTGGCATAAAGCCAAAGTACAAATGGATGAACAACCAGGAATTTTTGGCTGGAGCTTACAACCAGTGAACATAGAAGTAAAGGAAAAAGAAATATTAAAAAAAAAAAAACTTTGCCTCCGAATAACGGGCACAAAAGATGGCGGCCGCAAAAACACCCTAACAGAGCCTTAGTCACGTGTCAATTGCGCACTTCCATCGACTTAATTTGCGGTTTTCCGGTGACTACAGCCACTGCCGAGAGTATCCCCCACGCCGCTCACGCGGTGTGGATTGGGGCTAAACTAGATGGCTGGGACTCACAAGCAGCAGCTTCCGCATCTCCTGCAGCTTTGCTCGTTATTCTGAGGATAGCCAAAGTTTTATGTATCCCAGCTATAACTCAGATGGGTTGAACAATATATTTTAAATTACTACTACTATTATTGAATGTTTCACCTTTAACCCCCACTGACAAGATTTTATTTCTTACATCCACAGATACGAGTGTGGGATATTGTTAGTGCAACTGATCACACTGGTAAAAAGGAAATAAGAGCTGAATTGCGACACAGCTTTAAAGAGCACAAAAATTTTGTATCTGAAATTATCATGCGCTCCAATGACAAGGAGTTTGCCTCTGCGGGTGGTGATGGGGCAACAATCATTTGGGATTTGGTGTAAGTTTACATCAAACATCTGCCTGATAAGTCTGTTGCTCACAAAACTGGTTTCTGTAGACAGTTTAATTTATTTTAATTCTTCTTCTTCTTCTGAATACACCTGAAGATGTAAATGCTTTGTGCTCGTTTACAGCCTGACTGCGATATCTGCACCTTTCGACCGGCACATCTGACATCTGTAGACATTTGTTGACCAGATTAGCCTTTCTGGATTTATTTAAATTGAAACATGCTCATACTTATTTGTATGACTGAAACAATTTTGGCGATTCTTCTTCTTTTTCTTTCATCCACGAATGTTAATGTGTTGTATCTGCTTACAACGTGGCTGCAATATTTGTGTCTTTCAACTAGCACATCCAACTTCTGCATGCATTTGTTCCCGAGATTAGCTTTCCCAGTATGTTCTTAGAACATACACACTGTTGTGTGGTCATCTCTGCTTCCTAGCTGACATATGGTGCTGCCCATCAGGCTGGTCAAAAGCAGCTACGTAATGATTGTCAACCCTCAAGATACGACAGCGGCAGAACATGATAATTCCCTGCCATGCAAATGCAGAGCCAATATATGGTCTTTTGGTGATTTATAATGACGTAATTATAATTTTTTGATTGCTCATTTACTGTTTGTTTTTGAATATACCATGCTGAAAGGACTTTTTTTGCCACATAGACCAGCAAACAACTACACCCGTTCTTATTTTATTACACAGCTGGATTTTTCTTCTCCATTAAAAGTGTACAATATCTGCACCGTTCAGCAAAACAAATCCAATTTCAGCACACTCCTAGTTTGTCGCCTTTTACAATATGCTTGTTAGTGGAGTCCACGACCCATGTGGGGAACAAGATACAGTAATTTTGGGAGTTGCGATAGTGTACTTCCTGGCATATTTGCCTGTTGACTTATAAGTAATGTGTTCACTTCCCATTCTGGGCAAAGTTTTTTAAAATTATATCAAAATTTTTGGAAAATAAAGGCAATAAGTTTGAAATTGAAAACATCACCTACCGATTTCCATTTGTTCTTTAAAAAAAATGAAGTTAGCACCATTTACCAGTATATCTCAGAGTAAAAGTTGGGATTCTTTATTTTTTTTTACTTACTTATAGAATATATTTTTTCACACTTTAGCTACAAGTTTTTCAAATAGTTATTTAAAGTAATTGTTTGATATTACCTTTGACATGACTACTACTTACTTTTAAATGCTGATTTTTTCCATGTGGCTTCCGGGGCTTCATTGTGGAGAAAACAAGAATAAGCTCACTGCCTCCCCAACAAGCATGTCTAAGAAGTGGGAGTGCATCTGCCTGAGAGTCTATGAACCAACAGTCTGCATACAAATAAATCAGATCTATAAAACAGATGTGCACACAACACTCAAGTTCTGGAACAAGACCAAAGTCCAGAGGTGGATCAAAAACCAGAACTTTCAGCAGGAGTTTACAGCCAGTGAATGCGAAGAAGGAAAGGAGAATGCTGCTTTGGTGCATTTAAAAAAAAGATATATTCATTTTTCGTGTTTCATGCAGAAAGGACATTTTGAAAAATGCTGTGTTTGCCAACGACATGTTTATACAAAATATATCTTCTCTTTTGTGCATCCTACAGGAAAGGAACTCGGAAGAATGCTGTTTTTGCCAACACACTTTTTAAAAGTGTGGCATTTGGTGAGGAAGAACTTCAGATACTTACCTGCGGCACAGACCACAAGCTTGGATACTGGGAAACATACGATGGATCCTTGATTCGAGAGCTGGAAGGTTCCAAGTCTGGAGCAATCAACTCTCTAGATATAACGACTGACCAACGTTACTTTGTCACTGGTGGAGAAGATAAGCTTGTCAAAGTAAGTCATGGGGGAATAGGGGTGGGAGTGGTGGGGTTGGGTTGGGTGTTGGTTTAGAAGTTTCTGTATGAGCTGTCACGGATTCCTATGTCTGAGCAGAAACATGAAGTAAGAGTCCCCTTGCCTTGATTTTAAGTATTAATGGCAATTCACTGTCTCTTCAGTTTGTTTAAATACCAGTTAACATTAGATGGGTGATTAGGGAAGATTTTCATCACAGCGCTCTGGTTAGATCAATAGGTGCTTTGATATGTCTTCCTCAGTAGCTCTGCAGTGTTAAACAACTGATGACACCTGTTCTATGTTGATTAATTAGACTTTTTATTCCCTGTTAAATGTTAATTTCTTGCAGCTGCAGGTTACACCATTCCCCCACCCCTCCACATCCATCAGCATGCTCTTTGCAAAATTCAGCAGTAGTGCTGCACATGACATTGATATCCCTTCTGTCCATTATTAGACTGCCACAGGAACCACAGTATCTGCGAGATAATCTGCATGCTTATTGCCTTGAACACTGGCACAACCCAGCACAAAAATGAAAGTGGTCACAGAAGTCTGCTGCAATAAAAGTCTACATGCACAGAATGTAAAATACTCAATTTTGTAGAGGTAATTTAATTCCTACGTCTGCAGACTTCCTCCTGCTGGCTTCTAAAGACATAGCTGGTGATGAATGACAAATATATTGAGCAGTGACAGCTCATGAGTAGACGCTGGGAACTGCAGCTTCTTATATGTATGCATACAACCTCCAGACATTAAGTTTAACCTGTTGTGTGCATACGCGCCAGTCCACTTCTAATGAGGAAGGGAACTGGCCATTCTACCTTGTATGGCATATATTACATCTTAGAATATGTGAAATTCAAACGCTTCTCACCTCAAAGAATTAACTTATTTTTTTTTCTTTATCAAAATGCTTGGGGGGAGATGTAAAATTCGTTGATGAGCTCTGTTAAGAGCACTATTAAGATTGATGTTCATTTCTGTAAGGTTGTTCTTAATGCCATCACTCCATATTTCCAAGGTCTTCCGCTCACTCTATACCCGTTGTAACTTTCAGTGATGCTCGCTGTGGTATAGTACCAGGGCATTCTTGTTAGGTATCCAAACCACTTCATTTGTTGTTTTTTGATGACCTGTAAGACTGGCTTTATTCCTAGCATTCGTCTGATTTCGTGATTTTGTATTCTGTCTCTCCTCGAAACTCCAGCAGCTCTTCTAAGGCATTTCATCTCTGTTGTCACAATTTTATGCTCATTAGAGGATGTAAGTGTCCACGTTTGGCACTGGTAGCATAGTTTTGGCCACAATTTAGTTCTGATAAGATTCACTTTAGTAAAAATAGTTCTGATAAGATTCACTTTAGTAAAAATAGTTCTGATAAGATTCACTTTAGTACTCCAAGGTATCTGCTTGTGTGTCAATGGTAGAAATAATTGCCCCATTACTTGATGAGCTTTACAGCTTGATTAGCTTTAGTGTAGGTGTTCAGATGAAGAGGAATTTGCAACAGCCCCGGCTGGGGATTCAGCGGTTTAAACAGAAATGCACAAGATAAAAATAGAAGATGTTTTATAAATAGAAAAAATAGAGGCCAGCAGAAGGTTAAAACCAGGATAGGGACACTCAATATATGTGGAGGGGGCAATAAAGCAGAACAGGTGATAAAATCAATGGAGAAATATAATGTCAAAGTATTAGGCTTATCAGAAGTGAGAATAAAAGGACAAGGAATGAAAAAAATTACATAAAAATTATGTTTTGATTCAGTCGGGAGTAGAGGAAATCCAACATGCAAAGCATGGAGTCGGATTTATCATCAATTAAATATTACAGAATTAACTACTGCAACAAATTATGGAGGAGCGGCTGGCCGAACAGTTAGGACGCTGGCCTCTGAAGCAGGAGACCCGGGTTTGAATCCTCTGTTAGGCTGGGGATTTTTTCTGTCGGGGGCAAAATAAAATCCTCACCTGCATAGTCGTGGTGACAGCATTAGCCATGCAGCCTTAAATCCTCAGGCTTAAAGATCCCCCCTGCCTACATCCCAAGTAATTGGCGGCAGTATTTGGCAGTATTTTTTTTTTTTTTACAAATAATGGGACTATACTAATTTTTTTTATTGCCAGTCATCTTCCGTTAAAAGATCATTTGTTATTATTTGATTTGAAATTATTGTTTTTAAACATTCTGGAAGCAAATAAACCTGCTTAGTGGTTATATATATGTGTGTGTGTGTATATATATATATATATACATACATATGTATATATATATATATATATATATATATGTATGTATATATATACACACACACACACACTGTAAATAGTTACAGAAATGTTGCCAGTATTAAAATGCTCAACTTCATGAAAGCTTTAAATATTGTAATGAATAACAAATTAACTACTATAATATTTTTGTCTATAGCTTTGGCTCTACAGAGAGGGAGAAGTCACACATGTTGGTAAAGGTCACAGTGCCAGCATCCTGAGAGTCCGCATTGCACCAGACATAAAGAGTATAGTTAGTGTCAGTGAAGATGGAGCCATTTTGCAGTGGAAGTTTCCAAATTTGTAGTTTTCTATTACCACTCTGAGTGTCTTTACTAACAGGAAGTTTGTCAGTAGCAATGATCTTTAATTAGTGCCGCTAAACTTTTAGTAGTAAGTACTTGATGTATATTGACATCTGTAAAGATTCTGTTTCAATGCAGTTGTTAAGGCTCCATCATTAGGATTTGTACCAATCAGATGGTAGAAGAAATTTATTGAAATAGGATATCTTCTTGAACCCACCTAGATTATAATTGAAATATATAGATTTTTTCTTCATATTTCGATATTGGATATGTGGGCTTGTCATTACTTTTGGTTATTAAATATTTAATAGATTGAGCACTAATTTTAACAGATTGTAGGAGTATCTGTTGTTATATTTAATATAGTTTAAGTTATGGCATAAAACAGGGATGTGTGCTCACACCAACCTTGTTCATTATAATATTTGCTACAATGCTTCTCAATGCCTTTGATGAGGCCAATCAAGGAATTGCTTTAAATTACCGTACAGATAACAACTTGTTTAATTTGAGGAGGCTACAAGCTGAAACAAAATCAAAACAACTACAATTAGGGACCTTTCATTTGCTGATGATTGTGCTCTAACTCCAGCTTATATTAGACAGGACTTTTTTAATGGTGGTTTGTAAGACCGGCCCTTTTTGTTAGGTATAATCCTTTTGGCACTGCTGAAATAGGAACATTATGATGAGTTCCAGCAATTTGTTGGCAGTTTGTGGCATGTTCCGGCACCTTATTTCTAGAAAATAAAGTGCTGATAATAGAGACTAGTTATGGTGCTTAGTAGATGCTGCTATGCATGGAACATGATAGTACTCTCTGCTGATAACTATGGCTATATTTACAAATGCTTTTATCCACACACAAAAAAGACAGAATAATGTTTTAGTAATTTCATTTCTTTGATGTCTTGTCCTTTATATAATTATCTTATTTTTTCAGTTCACTCAGTTCCATGCAAACTTTTAGATTAGTGTTTTACCAAAGCACATAATGTTTCCACTATGCTGCTCATAGTTTTCAATACAAATGTGAGACACTTTATAAATTATTATTACACACGTCTTGCTTGCAGTATTTTACTTCCCCAATTTATACTTACTGAACTTCCATTTACTAAGTATCTTTTATTTTAGTATCCAAGCAGCATGTTTTACTGTTATATTTCAGTCAGAATTAATCTGTTAAATTAGTATCATATAATCTAACTTCCTGTTTCAAAGGAAGCCCCCAGTTAGTCGACTCTTATGACATGCCTGTTGGAAAGGCAGTGGATCTATTCTTGTTTTCCTCACAATAGGGCCACAGAATCCATACAGGGAATCAGATGATAGTACAGTGGAACCTCAGGAAACAAGTGTTCCTATATACAAGTTTTTAAGGATACAATGTCAGGCTGACGGTATCTTGATAACTTTTAAATGAATTAGGTCAGGTTAACATTGTTTTAGTTAAAGGTAGTTTCAGATTCATTTTCTGCACAGCCTGCTGAAGAGGGGGGGGGGGGGTGGAGTGGTAATGGAAATATCACGAGTACTATGGTGTTGATTCCTAGCCAAACTCAGCTTCAGATTCATTGTCTAATTATTTATTCCTCTTTTTCTTTCATTTCACAACAAATGTGTCCATGCCTCCTAGATTTAAATAAAGAAGTAGAGGAAGACAATGCGAGAACATTCTTGATAGCCTTTTGTCATGATACAGAAGTTTGTCAGCAATGAGCTGACACATGCTGTAGAAGAAAGGTAAATTGTGGAAAGGTATGATCACCTACACCCTGTAAACAATGCACTCCATGATGATGAACTATAGCATCATGGTCTGAAGTAACCCGTTTCTATGCTAGCACAAACAAATAATCAGTGTCAAACATTTTTTCCCCTGCTAACGAAAGGAAAAACTTCATTTTGTTTTATATGTACAACATCTGAAACTAAAACAGTGACTTTTGGTGGGCTGGAATGAATAATAATTATTTACATTAATTTTAATGGGGAAAATCTGTTCTGACTGCACTCAGCATAAATGACATTGTAATTATTTTACTTTTGGCTTTCAATGTTTTTCAACATTCATGTGTACGTTGACAGATAGATAATTAACTGTTAATACATGTACTGTGAGGTTTATCTACAAATCATTTATGTATTTGATTGCAAAATTGTTGTACCAGTGTATATGTAATGTTAAAATAAAACCCTTATAATTGTATTATATCTACAGTTAACACAGCTTAAAACAATTCTGAGTCTGCTATTATATTAAGTATACTGCTAACACAACTTAACATAAACAGAAAGAACATGTCACATTTTATTAATTGTTTTGTCAAAGTTTTTATCATATCTGGAAATCTGCTGTTATGCTCAGTTTGTCCTTAAATAATGCGACAAAAACTACTAACATTTGAAATGTGTTTATTATCAGTTCCAAATTAGTACTATTTCATATCATAGAAAAACCATAAAGTAAATACCATCAGTTATCTTGTTTTTTTTTTTTTCGTGTTGTTCTTGTATTTTTTTGTTGAATATACTTTGCATGTATTTATTTATTAACTAGTGTGTTTTTCTTACATTGTTGATTTCTATCTTTTATTATCATTTCAAAAGTTTCTTGCTTGCAAAAGCAAGGTGTGAATAACAGATGGGATGTGCGCCAGTAGTAAATAAAATTATTTGTACTCTTAGAATCTGTGTTAATTTTATGGGTCGTTTAAAATCAACTGGTAAAACACATTAGAAATAGCACCAACGAGATACCCATATGTCCCCCAACACTTCACTGAGATAAATGGAGGAAAGAAGAAGAATTTGTTATTTCTGTTTTATTAATGCTATCAATTCAGCGTTTCAGTAAAGGGAAGGAACCTTTTTATGACAAAGGCGCATCAGACATACAATGCTAGACTCATATATTTATAGACTAATTAGCATTTGGTCAGTGATGTGATCAACTTCACGCCGGCTACCTTTACTTTCCAGGACCTTGCCTTTGACCCATGCTAGGCTGGGTCCACCTGTGAGTCAAGATCATTTAAAAAACAAAAATCCCACTTGGTGCAGGTTCCAACCTCAAGATCTTTAAGCTGGTAGGCAAGTGTCTAGCTCGTACGCTACCATGGTTAACAGCATTGCTTGGCTCATATCTTTTGGCCTAGTGACAGTGCAAACAAGTGTTGATTAACTGTTGCTCAGGTCCATTTATTTGGCTTTAGTGAATGTTTAAACAGGCAGATATTAACACTAGCTGGACAAAAAGGTGATGTGTTTGAGTTCTGTAGAGGAGTTTGTTCGAAGTCAGAAAATTGTGTTCTTGTCCTTCTTCACTTTATACCCCACTAGAGCATAGCCCTCAACCAATTCACACTTTTTCTTTCTTGTGCATTCTCCTGCAGCTTCATCCATATCCTCCTTAAATTATTCATCTGCGCTTCTATTTAATTTCTGTTGCAGGGATTTCCTCTATTACTATTGGGCTGTGGGTTCCAGAGAAATAATGTTCTAGTGTTACTAATAACACCCTTTTATTTTTTTTAATGTGTGTCTCTTTAGTATATGCTCTCTGTGGTGCCCTGTATGATGCCAATTTTGTTACATGGCCAAACCATTTGATTTGTTGTCTACCCATAAAGTTCAGTATTGGTTCTGTGCTGACTCTCCTTCTGATATATCCTGATATCCTAAGTTGATCTTTCCTCGTTCCACCTAGCATAGCATGTAAACATTTCATTAATTTCATGACTATTTTCCTATTGTTTTCTGAATAGTGTTCATATTTGACATGACTGAAGATGCATTGGCTATGAAAGCACACAGGGCTGGAAAATTGGTTAGAGATAGACTTTCAGAGATTGGCAAGCAGGTGCCACGGAGGCGGAAATTCAGCAATTAATTCAGGATATTGCTCGCTATGATTATTTATACAGACAGTTCAATGTCAATGGGCAAAATAAGTGTGTGAGGGGTCTTAGCAAAACCACTGGTCGACATTTGGTGCAGAAGAACCTAAAAATTGATACCACAACATCCAGCATAAGAATGGAGGTGGAGGTAGTCACTGCAGCGTTCCACTGGCTTAACACAATAAAAATGACATCCGTCAGTCCCGGGGGACTATGGAAATGTGCCGCTGGCTTTGGGAACAGCATATGCTGTGACTGTAAAGTCCGATGCGGGAATGGCAGCCTTTGCCACACAGGATACACACAAAAGCAGATACTCCCTCGTTGTGAGACAGTTTTACTCTCCGGTGTCTCCTCTCCACAGCTCGTGTTCGGTTTCTTTCAAAATGTGACATCCGTCTTTCACTTTCTGTCTCCATAGTAGTCGATCTGCAGCTGATTTTTCCCATGTCTCTGTGCCAATGTTGGGTATCTATTAGGTCACGTTTGCATACATCTTTATAGCGCAGCTTTGGCCTTCCTGTAGGTCTATTCCCAGTTACCAATTCACCATTAACACAATTCACACACATATATCATGACTGTAACTGATTCAGAAAACATGCTGAGGAAGGTACGAACAGGCATGCTTTGTGCAGAGTGGCATGCTTTACTTAGGAGGTCACGGGTGAGGAGCATTGTCTGGATCTTTTCTCCTGGGAACTCTGGTGTACTGGGAAATGAACAGATGGACAGACTGCCTGGCGTTGCACAACTTGGTGGAATATTGATGCACAATAAGGCAGACGTGTTTAAGGCTTATGGAAGTACGTGTACAATTTGGAGAACCAAATGGATTATCACAGTCTGGTGAGAGGGATTCACCCAGGAGTGATGAGGGGATCTGGCCAACACTCGACACTCACAGGAAAGGCAAGACGGACGTATAATCAGACTGCTGTTGCTACCAATGATGTTGGAACTCTGCGCTGGCTGCTGAAGATGGGGGTGGAGCGCTTATGTGAATGCCTGAGTGCTGTGATGTCTGTTCTTAAATCAACTCAGCTCTCCTTTCGTCATTTAATTTTATTTTGATGTTTAGTTGAAAAGAAATGCAGGTCAGTAGAATTCCTAGACTGCTACAAATAGAATTGGTTGGGAGGCTACTTGTCTGAAACAAGGTAACGAATTCAAATATCTAGGAAGTACATTCTTGGATGACAGGAAACACAAACAAGATGCCAATGAGCCAGTGCACTTATATACCAACTGACATCGTCATTAAGACATCCAAAACTAAGTATGAGCGCCAAGACATATTGTAAACAACATATTCATACCAACACTGTGCTACCAGGGCCAGACTTGGGCATTACGTAAAATTAACACCTATGAAATCAGATGCCTGAAAAAAGCCGTGACGTTAACCATCCACCAGAAAGTTAGAAATCATATTTTCAGACAGACTGTAGGAAAAACACTATGCAGCAAATTCGTTGAGAAACAGAAAAACAAATGGTTTAGTAATCTAGAATAAAAGCAACCAGAGCAACTACAAACGAAGGCGCTATATGTGAAAAGATCAGATGTGAGAGCAAGAGGTTATCCTAGAAGAAATGGATTGAGTCGCGTCGAGTCCAGTCAAGAATTGACATCACAGCACACAGGGTATTCCCATGTGTGCTCCGTCCTCATCTTCAGCAACCAGTGCAGAGTTCCAATACTAATCATACCAGTCGTAATCTGGTTATATGTCCGTCCTGCTTTTCCTCTCAGTGCAGTGAGCCAGTGAAACGTGCGTCCCCCACCGATGCTGAATGGCGTAAGTCCCATTTGCCACGTGCGGTCAGGTAAAAGACGGGTGCAGCATACAAGACACTACATTCCACAAGCCCAGTGTGGTAGAACGGTCAAAGATTAATTCCAATAATGAAACAGGAAACCTCTAACAATAACAATCAACTCCAATGTATCCAACGTACAGTAAATGACGAAAGTCAGGTACGAAGCACAACATCGGTGTACTACATACACTATGACCCGAATGAAAAAATGTGCACAACTTGATACGGGGTTAAAACTCACCCAAATACTCCAAGCACACTCACACTCTTGCAACATTATAATTCATGGTAGATCTCCTATTCTAACAACTCCCTAGGGGTCAACAGTACGACCTTGAGAGTCTAAACGGTTACTTCGATCTCTTCATCTGCAGTCTAATACTAGATAACAGAGCAATGTCCCTTCTTCTTGATTCCGCCAGCTTTCCTGCTGAGTGATTCAATAGTTTAATTATCACTGCTTCCTGCAGAACGCAATAATGTACCAGCTCTCGGCTGAGATTTCTACGTGGAATTCCGGGGTATAACTTCCTCAAGGATCCACCAAGGCCCGACCAGACGTCTGCCTTCTTCAAACTTTTAACTGCGACTCCTCTAGATTTCAATTTCCTAACAACACTGTTTTGACATCCTATATGCTCAGTCAGTATCAGTGTGTTTTGCTGGTCAGACCTTCTGGTTACACCCAGGTGCCTCATTCTCTGCAGGCCATAATAATCTTGTTTCGCTTCTGACTCCGTTGCTTGTTCCCATAGGGCCCTGACCTAATCTGCACTGTCATGCATCAATTCATCACCCAGTGGTGCAGATCCAGCCAGTCTGTCTACATGTACATTCCACACCACGCTGGCATGGTATGGAGAAAAGATCGTAAGTATGCTCCCTACCCTTGACCTTACCGGTGAAGCTTGCCACTCTGCTTGAAGCATCCCTGTCTTCCCCTTTCTCAGCATGCTTTCAGAGTCTGTTACAATTATGACAGTTACCGCCTCCATCTCCATTCTCATGCTAGATGTTAGTATTGTTTTGTGTATGCGAGTCTGTTCTGCACTAAAGATTTTCAATTGCTTTTGCTACGAATCCTCAGTCGCTTCTCTCCCCTCTCAATATCGAACCATCTGTACAGATAATCAGATCATCTGGGCGATAAGCGTTGTAAATCAACTGTTGGAACAGCACCGTGGGGCAAATTTAATGAGAAACAGAATATCAAATGATTTAGAAATTTAGAAGAAAAAAAAGCAACCAGAGCAACTACAAACGAAGGCGCTGCACGTGAGAAGAGCACAATCTAAATGGATTGATGATATTAAAGAACTTCTACATCAACATGGAATGACAATAGCTACTCCTGCCTATCAAGCAATGAATCGCAAACTGTTCCACCCCACGCCGCATATCTACAGAAGGGGAAACTGATGATGATTTAATAGAAAAATGTAGAAGACGGGCGGGAGAGGAGCGATAGTTAAAATATATTAATGTTAAAAAGTCCACTCGTTTTTCCCCCCGGAACGAATGTAAACAAAGCAAACGCATAACTTAGAGATGGAAACTTTCCTATGTGAATGGTTTCATGCGATAATTTGCTTTCTTGAATAACTGAAAGTAAGCGAGCTATGATATATTCGTAGTATAACGTTTATCTAGGAAAGGAGCATTATATATATTTGCCATAAGAAGGTCAGAGGACCCAGTTTGTTGATATCAATGATGATGATAGCCCCCATTCCCCGCTGCCTCCTGTTTAAGTGTGATTGTTTCAGTTTAGTTTCCTTTACAGGACGTTGCAGAACCAACCCCAGCATATTTCGGCTGTTACGGTTTTTCAAGGCAAATATTACATTCAGTAGTTTGCTGTTGCCTCTGAACGGTCAGCGCTCGGTACCACCGTCGAAACCAACGCAAGACACATCGTCCGCGGCTTGGATCGACTCGGCTGCACAAAAGACATTAGACACCTCCTGCAACGCCATGCGTCCTGGGTTTGCCGACGATGACTAGCAGATACAAAGTCCCACAGGTCAAGGCATACATGAAGGTATAGGCAAACGTTAACCACCCACTGCACAAAGCTATACACGACACAAAAGGAACGCGTCTCAAAAATAGGCCACTCCTGGATGGCAAAGGCTGAGGGGCTATCCTCCGATTAACGGCCACATATCCTTTACAGGACGTTGCAGAACCAGCCACAGCAAATTTTAGCTGTTGTGGTTTTTCTAGTCAACTTTATGTCCAGTAGTTTGCCATTGCTTTCTTGTCGGTCGGCTTCTCTATACCACTGTCGAGACCAGCGCAAGGTCTGCAGCTGGGATTAAACCCAGCACCCCAGCATTACAAAGCTCGTTCGCAATGCCTAAGCCACAAACACAGGCAATATTACTATTAGTAATTTTATTACCGATGGGCCCCATCCTAGGTCTTTTCAGGGCTGATATGAATTTAAAGTCAACAACAACATCAAACTCAAAAGTTAGAATATGTACAATTCACGGTCTTAACCAGCCAGTCGGGGGAAAAAGAAAACTCTTATTCTAAATTGCAGGCAGTTATTTCTGCAAAATAGGTATTGCTGTTAAATCTCTCAAATTTATCAAACATTGATGGGAGCAGGTTGAGATAGGAATATTATGCTTTTTTTTTCTTTAGAAATAAAAACGTGAAATCCAATAGTACATCATAAAAGTCTCTTTGTCAGTTATATAAGTGAAGATATTAATATATTTTTATTTTTTTGCAGTGCAGTTTGATTCTGATAGCACAATATTCTTTATTTGTGCCTTTTCAGCAAAGTGAATATTATCAAAGCAGCTACTGTGCTTGATGGCAGCATTGATTCTGTACCTGCTAGTGATGTCATCGATACAGACTTTACAGATGTTAAACATGGCTGCAGTATTTGCCAGTGGTGACCTACTTCTGGCCAGACAGTTGACAGGTTCAGGTTTTCATAGGTAAATGATTGTTGTATGTCACTCATGCTAGTTCATTGCAGACTGCTCAAGTTGGTATCAGATGTGGAAAATTTATGTTGTGAAAAACAACTAGTTAAAACCCAGAAATTTTTCTTGCTGGAACTCTGAAGTGGATAAGAAGAATTTCTGATAAGAAGAAACACTTCTTGGATCCCTGGTGAGTTCTGTATACCAATAAGCCAGTATGTCACAAGTGCATAAGAGTAGCTGAGACTTCATATGAATATTCATGAACTGGTTGACAGAGATTAGTGCAAGTACCCTAGCCACATTAATTTTATGGAGCAAGTTTTTTTTAAAGAGAAATTGCAGACACCACAAAGATTGAGTGTGAAAATTGTTTTCCATGTATGAGAAAAGGCACTTGCTGAAATTATGGAAAACAGTTGAAGTTCTTAAAAGTGAGTGGACATGTTTTTAAGTACTTTTAACTCATCAAAGTGAATGGCTGTGTAAAAATTATTCAGCCCTTTGAACTGAATGTGTCTAGGCTGTTGAAGTTTTATTGACACAGGCAGATATTAGCAATGCAGGCGGATAGAGCCGGTAGGACAGGGGATCATCTGTCATTACACCACAAATGAGAAGGATGATGAGGCAGACAGTTGAGAGAATTCAGGAGGGCTGTCCAGCAGAGCAGTGGGCTGCCAGTAGAATTCAGTCCTTTAAATCCTCAGACCCATTGCTCCCTACCATGCATGTTGAAGAAAAAAGGCACCCCCTTCGTCTTTTTAGCATTCACCGGATGTAAACTCAAGCTTAAAGTTCTTGTTGTGGTCATGATCCAGATCTTTGGTTTTGCATGTAAATCACTTTTACAGATCTGACATATTTATACACAGACTGTTGGGTCCTTGCCTATCAGGTAGATGCATTCTGACTTTGAAGGACACACCCCTAATTCATTGTCTCCTACAACTTGCTTTTTATTTTAGAGGAGCAGTGGGTCTTCTTTCTTCTTTGCATACACTGGTTGTATACTCTGACAGAAAGTTCTGGTTAATTGTACACTTCTGGACTCTAGTCTTGTCCCAGAAGCTGAGTGTTGCGTGCATTTCCAATTTACAGGTCTGAGTCATTTGCATGCAGACTGTTGGTTCCTTGCCTCTCAGCCAGATGTACTCCGACTTCGAATGAAGCTCCTAATTAGTGTCTCTTGCGGCATGCTTTTAACCAGGCAGTGGGTCTATTCTTGTTTTCTCCACACTGGGGCCCCGGAACCCACCCATGTCTGTTCTTTGTTCTCCAAAATAGGCCATGGAACCCACATAGGGAAAAGGTGACTATTTATGGGTGTTTTCTTCAGTCAGTGCATCTGCCCGAGAAATGAGGAACCAATAGTCTGCATACAAATAAGGGATATCTGAAAAATGGATGTGCATTCAACTCAAAGTCTAGAACAAGACTGTTCACTTTAAAGATCATCTTCATCGCATATCGGACATGACCGTAAGTCCCCTGATCTTCTTCTGAGTATGTCTCCAGATTTATTTTGGTTAACAACTCATATTCTGTTCTGGCTGATGTAACGATGGGTGGCTCCTGCATGGTTTTGCCACTCGAATTGGTAAACCTAGGTTATGCAGCCCATTCAGTGAAAAATCATGTTCCACAAAACTGAAAGCCTCACAGCATTTAGTCTATCATACAGCATTGATGATGTCGTTTTTGTTCATTGATGACCCATTCCTGATAGTCATACTGCCATCCAAAGCATCTGCTCTCACATTGCCCTTCACACCAGGGGACTAAAATAAAGGTGATTATGCAAAACACTGCGTGATGTATCAGATAGAGCCACTGTTTCCATATGTACTCTGCCTTGGTCTTCTGTGGCATGCTCGTTGAGTTGCTGAGCAAACATCCATTGGTAAATTCCGGAGTTTTTAGCCATTCTGGAGCCCTTGTCACAGCCATGACGTCCATTGTCATGCTGCTGGTGATAGAAGCAAAGGCTCCCCTGTCTTCTTTAATGACTTTCCCTTTGTTTCTTGCTGTGAAAGCCTGTGCACTTTGCTTCTCACGAATCACAGAACCATCTATATATATAACAGCATCTTCTGATGGCGTGTGTTCCTCTACCATGCTTTCACTTCTGCATCAACTATTGGTGGTGCCAGAGAACAAGATTAAAGACCAGGAGTTGAACAACCAGAACTTTCCGTAGGAGTTTTCAGTTGGTGAATACTAAGAAGAAGAGCTACCATTGTGGGCCTAGGTAATGCATGTGTGAATTCCAACTTACAGTACACAATGTCGAGCATCTGTCATTATGATTATTTGTTCCTCACAGAAACTTGGAGACATTACTCACTCTACCAGAGAGTATCATTCTTCAACACAAGTCCCCTGAGTGTTCACTTCTTCTGTTTGAGACATTGCCTCCTGGTGCTTATGCCGATCCATTCCAGATTAATTCCCTAAAGCCGTTTGGTGGACCTCAGGTAGTAATCAGTGAAGTTGTTTGATAACCTATGATTTTGTTGCATTTTTATATTTAATGTGAATAAATTTATAATTAAAAATTTCATCATTTTTGAATTAATTTGTACTAATTTTAGAAAAATGAAATCAACACTTTAATGACTCCTTTTTCATCAACAGTTTATGAATACTGCTCGAATTCCCTGCAGAAGTGGCTTTATAAATATTGCTCTAATTCCCTGCAGAAGTGGCTCCGTTAGCATTCTGTGTCAATTTTATTATTATTTATCTTTATCTTGCTAGAAAAACTTGCTTCATTTTGTCACAGGAATTGACATTAAGGTCATTCCTCTATAACTTTAGCTCTCCCGCAGGTCCCTTTTCTTTGCCACCACACTAGCTATCTATATCTTAGAAATAGACACCAACATCAGCATGCTACAAGAGTCTTATAAATAATTATAGAGGGAAAAATCACCATCGGTTACACAGTCTGATGACAACAAGACCCAATGGAATCACAGGAAACATTATCTAAAAAAGTTCTACACAATAAAGATTGCAAATATAAGCAAATGCTCTAAGGAGCTGAAATGCTTGATTGCAATCAAATTATTATTTTTGTTCTTCAAATGGATTGGATTGAATTAGATATCCAGTCTGTTGGTACTTGTGTAGTCTCCTAAATTTGATAATTGAATATTTACACAGTTTTAACATTGGGAAATTGATACATGACACTAAATTTCCATTAATTAACAGTCAAGTGTTCATGTCAGTAGAACGTTTAGACACAGCATACTTTAACTGCACTGCTGACAATTTTATTCTTCCAATTATAGGTACTTTTTGACAGAATTGTGAACATCGAAGCAGCTGAGTTTTCATCAAAGCCTCATGAGCTCTTCATTTTTCTAAGTTTATATAAACATGTAGCAGCTGAAAGGTCGTCAGAAAAAACTCTGGAAGTTTCCCTACCAATACATGCTCGTTACCACAAGCCATCTGTTGATGCTAAAATATCACACTCATTTGTGACTATTTTACCTCCGGGGCTGTACTCAAATTGTACACCTTCAGGTAAATGTGAAGTTTTTTTGGTGTATTTATATTTTTGCTTTTTGTTGTTATTTATCAGTTCAATAAACATCATATACTTTCACACAGTCTGCCTTAGAAAACTAATGCAGATCAGATGGCAAGACAAAGTACCTGATACTGTAGTCCTTGAGAAAGCAGCCATGCCCAGCAGCCACACTCTACTTATGCAGTATCAAACTCGTTGGGCTGGTCATGTCCCACGCATGCCAGATCACAGGCTCCCAAAAAAACTTTTCTATGGTGAGCTGCAAAATGGGAAACGTTTCCAAGGCGGGCAAAAGAAAAGCTTTAAGGACACCTTGAAGTCTTCATTCAAAGCATTTGGGATAAATGACACCAACTGGGAGGCTGCCTCTCAAGACCGAAATGCATGGCGGGCAACTCTTCACAAGGGCGCGGCTACATGTGAAGCAAACACAACAGCAAGACCGATTAAGAAAAGGATGGACAGAAGGGCATTGCAGGAAATCCTTTCCCTGGCACAACACTCATTCCCTGTCCTCACTGTCCAAGAACTTTTTGGGCCTCATCAGTCATCTTCGTACTCATACTTGATGAAAAATAGTGGTCATCATCATCTTGATGGACAACACACACACACAAACATATAAATAGAGAGTTATTAGAACAAGTAAAATGTTTCTCCTGTTTTAGACACATAATAAAAGATGATGGTAGAACTGGAACAGATCAAAAAGAGAATTGGAATAGCTGAAGCTGTCCAGTAAAATGTGAAAATTATTGACATCTAGGGATATAAACAACACATTAAAAATGAGAATCATCAGATGTTGTGTATACTCAACACCATTGTATGGGGTCTTCAGTAAAATGTGAAAATTATTGACATCTAGGGAGTTAAACAACACATTAAAAATGAGAATCAATAAATGTTATGTATACTCAACACTGCTGTATGGTGCAGGTACTTAGACAATCAACAGGCAACTAGAAAATCGTATTGAGTCTCTGAAGATGAAGAATAGGTCGTATTTCATGGAAACAAAAACATTCAAATACAGAGGTTCTGGAAAGACTGAAAAAAAAATTAATTATTGAAAGAAATATAAAAAGAGACAATTGAAATATTTTGGCCACATTAAAAGACATAACACTCATCAGCCAGGTACTCTGATCACTCCTTGCTGCACCATTCTCTTTGCACTGTGATGATTTTTTGGGGTCCTATTATAGAAAGTGTATACCAGAGATGCTTCTTTCATTATCAAGAACGTTGGAATAAATATATACAATTACCCGTATGGGTTCCGGAGCCCTGTTATAGGGAAAACACTGCCTACCCAAAAGCATGTCGTAAGAGTCAACTAATTGGGAGCTTCCTTAAAAATTGAAGTGCATCTGCCTAAGAGGCAAGGAACCAGCAGTCTGCATACAGATGAGTCAGATCTTTAAAACGGATGCACGTGCAACACTCAGGTTCTGTAACAAGACTGCAGTCCAGAAGAAGATGAACAACCAGAACTTTCTACCAGAGTTTACAGCTGGTGTACACTCAAGAAAAGAATATATACAATTAGAAGAGAAACCATGACACAGAGCTACATACAACCTGGTATCAGTGAGAGGGCAAAAGAAGAAGAAAAGAACCTCTTTGAAGGAGGTAAAAACCCACTATCCAGTAGGTCTACCAACTTAATCAACAACAAAACTCACTACTGGAACTGAATGATCAGCCCTCATATTTGAAATTTGTTTTCCTTTTGTGGGTTCCAGGGCTTCATTTTTAGAAGACAAATAATAAACCCACTGCCCTCTGAAAGTCATATTGTAAGAGATAACTAGGGTATTTCTAAAACCAGATGTGTTTGGCTGAAAGGTGAAGATATTGCAGCCTAGCTGTGAACCACAACACAACATACCAACTGCTGTTTTAAGAGTGAAGGCAGAAGAAGGGGAAGAATGTTGTATTACAGTGACATCGGAACATGTCTGGCCAATTTCATTCCTCCTCCACAATTAAGTTACAAATTGTTGAGGCAGTGTAACAGTCATGCTAGCTTTAATATTCCACAGACGCAGCTGATACTATCATGGCTCCATGTGATGTGAACAATTCTTCCATGTGTCTCTGGACTCATCTTCCTTATAAAAGTGTAAGTTCCTTGTCAGAACACACAAAAACTACACTTGCCTTACATGAAACTTATTGTATACAAATGGTTTAATCTAGATCCAGCAAGCTTGTACATTTTGGTCAAACAAGATCACAGATATAGAAAAAGGAGGGAAAAAATGTTCATCACTGGTGAACATTATCAAAAGAAGATGAAGATGGCTTGGACGTTTGCAGAATGCCTAATGGTACATTGGCAAGATCAGCTCTCTGGCTGATGCCAGGTGGAAAAAGGCGTGGTTGGTGAGCTAGGAAAACCTGGAAGAAGGAGAGTAAAAAGGGAAATGGAGTCCAGACTGACATGGGATTCCATGGGCAGAAAAGCAGCAATGGAGATCTACTTGTGAATACTGATGTGTCAACAGTGACATGTAAAAGATATGGGTAGAAAGTTGCTTATACGTTAACATTAAGTTACTTGTCTCAGTCTATATTTAGAACAAGCCAATGGGATAATGTTAAAATAGGTAAGAATATTCAACTGTGTAGGGTTAATGGTAATAATATGTGAGACGTGGCTTTCTCATACAAATCTTAGAATTCCATATATGGTTAAGAATTCAGTTGACCACATGGACTTCCGTTTTCAAAATGGCAGATAGGAGCAGTGGTTTTTTTAAAGCTGACTGTGATTCTCAGATTGTTCTGTTCTCATATCATGGAATGCTATTGTGTGTGCATTTTTAACGCAGAATACTATGTGTTTTTCATGGGAGCAGAGTGTCTTGTGTTTGTGCTATGTCGGGGGAGCGGGGGGGGGGGGGGGGGGGGGGGGGGGGGATTTTGACTGATAGTTTTAGCAGCCTTAACCATGCTTCTTTCGCAATGTTTTGATCGCAGTGGGCCACTCGGGAAGACAGAATCTCCTCAGCAGGGGACTGCAACTGTCTAGAGAACAAACTCGATGAAAACTGTCCCCAGAAGCGGAATGTGTCAACCATTTTTTTGGTGGGGAGAAATCAACGCATTTGGTTAATTTAATGGCCATGCGCAAATATTTATCCAACTGTGGTACTACCGTGTTGGTAACAAACCAAGTGAAAGCGGGACTCGCTCTCACACCTCAGACAGGTTTACCCTTAGCCACCGACACCCTGCGGCTTCCAGTGTTGCTAGGGGAGGACTAAGCTTTGGGGAACCTAAGAAACCTTGAGATAACATGCCACGTTATGGCCCACAGTGGATGACCAGAGATCGCTAAAGAAGGACAAAAAGAAGTTAACCAGGTATTTCAGAATGGCACATTCACAAAGAAAGATTAGTACCTGCGTCAGGACAAAACAGTTTTCTACACACACACACAAATTGTAAAACAAATTACACTTTTATTAACAGTTTATTTATGTAATTCTTAGTTTCCTAACTGGAGTTTACAAGAGGCTTGATTATTTTTTTTAAATGTACATTTTTTACTTTGGTCACAAAGTGAAGACATCTAACTAAGAAATTATTTGTATTTTCCAGAATTTTCCTGTAGTTCAGCTCAGTGTTCCTGTTGGCCAGCAGAGTGACATCCCTTTGGTTGTTGTGGCAACTCTATTCATCACTGTGACTGTGTGTGCTGTTTTGGTGAGGTTCCTTTGGACATCACAGCAAGAGACACACAATAAACATTTATAATATGACTTCTTATTGTTGTCAGTTTGCTATTTCTTTAAAGCTGTTGTCATAAATTTTGTCAATATCCCCTATCCACCTCGACCAACAGGGTTGTGGATCGTGCCTGGAGGTACAAAGTTCAAACTTGGTCAGGTGGTCTTGACAGGTGACTAGCCATTCTGCTGAGAAAGACCAAGCTGTTTGAGATATCCCTGTACAGTGCAATCAGTCCTCTCAACTCTAACACATATGGGTAAACCAGGATATTACTTGCTATAGCCATTACGGAATACTTAATTATAACTTCTGTGGAGGTTGAATGGAATATCTAAGATTTATCTTGTTGGACTGGTATCCAGGATGCAACTTCTTGAATCACAAAGGTGTCAGATCTTTAGTTAGCACATCTGAGGCCCCCCCCCCCCCCCCCCCCCCCCCCCCCCCTTTCCCCCGCCAAATAGTAATGTCTGCTGATTTTAATTTATAACTGATGTTGCGCTCTTACGTTAAATATCACCTGGGGGTCCCGCTGACCATCAACGGGGAACCACTGATCTGAAGCCAAGCAGTTGTGGGCTATCCTCCGAATAACGGTTCTAAATTATATAGGCCGGAAATATACCCTAACAGGGCCTCTGTCATATGTAAATTGCGGACCTCTTTCCAGTGACTATATTGCCACCGCCGAGAGAATCCCCCCGCGCCGCTACGCGTGAAGGGGTGCTAAACTAGATGGCTGGGACTCACTAGCAAATAAAATAGAGGAAGCTGCAGGAGATGGGGTAGCTGCTGCTCGTGAGTCCCAGCCATCTAGTTTAGCACCGCGGGGGGTGGGGGGGGGGGACTCTCGGTGGTGACTTTAACTTGCCAGAAGATTTTCTGCGGTATGCGGTTTAGTCACTGAAAAGAGGTCCGCAGTTTACATAACAGGCTCAGTTAGGGTATTTTCTTAGCCTCGATAATTTAGGACTGTTATTCGGAGGATAGCCCAGTTGTGTAAAGCAAGGGGAGACACATCACACAGGGACAGTATCTCTCCTCCCCTCACTCACCTTTTCAATATGTATACAGAAAGCATATTACAAATCAGACATGTGAAAGTTATGATCCACTTGTAGTGGAAATCAAGCTCTAGAACTTTTCAGTGCAGACAACATGCTCTATTCAAACAGTGTGATGCACTATTTCCCAACGTGGGGTCTCCGCCCCAAGGGGACAGTTTAATCGTTAATTGTGGGGAAATATCAATAACGGTGCAAATGCTGATTGACACATCTTTTGAGGAGGGGATTAGCTCTCACAGAACCTGAGTGTTGCGTGTGCATCAGTTTGACAGATCTGTATGCAGGCTGTTGGTTCCTTGCCTCTCAGGCAGATGCACTCCGACTTCAAAGGAAGCTCCCAATTAGTCGACTCTTACGACATGCTTTTGGGTAGGCAGTGGGTCTATTCTTGTTTTTCCCATAGTAGGGCCCAGGAACCCACACGGGGACCACATGTTCCATTTTCCCTCTTCTCATAACATTGCCGAAAAATGATGACTGTCTCCTTTTGATGTCTGTGATTAGTTGTCTTCGGGCTCCCGCCCCTATCAAAACCTCTTGGTTGCTTTTTTTGGCTGTCCAAGGTATTTTAAGCATTGTTCTGTGAAACTACATCTCTGAAGCCTCAAGAAATTGTTTGGCCTGCCTACCGATTGTCCAGGACTCACAGCCATATGGTAAAACTGGATGGTGTACCACGCAACCGGGTCACAGTTGTCCCAGGTACGACAGACTTAGGCAACAGCAACTATTGTGTTAATGAGAGAGTTATTTCAGTCTATCGCAGTGTATGCAGAAACAGGTGTAAGGTAACCACAATTTGTATTTGGCCCGAATAGTTATTAGGTCCACTATTCGGCCCCGAAGCAAATATTTTGTACAGCCCAAATATATATATATATATATATATATATATATATATATATATATAGATATATATATACATAATGGGGGCAATTCGAAAATGGACTCGTCCAGAGTTTAAATAATATGTATATGTTACATAGGGGCGCATACATATTTTAGAAATTCTTGATTGGTGGGGGGGGGGGGGGCAATGGCACAAAATAGTTGGAAAAGGCTGGTGTAAACAGGCTAGGACATTTAAGTATGCTCGCCCAAAGACAATAGAGATTAAAACCTATTCTTGAACTTAAAAAAAAAGGGTTTGCAAAAATAAGTACAGGTCACCTACAAAATATCAGTAAATAATGAAGAAATTGACAATATCATACACTAAATTTCTATGCTTATAATCAATGGCAATGGAGACAGTTCAGAAGAAGATAAAACAAGATGGCTTAGAAATGCAAAGAGTAAACAGCGTTAAAAATCATAGCAACATGTGGTTGTGGGTCGTGGACTATCTCGCAACCAGTAAGGATAAAATCGAGGGCTTTTTGAGTAAAAATGACATAGAAAGATTCATAGAATTCCATGCCTCAAGACTGCCATTTTATAAGAACCGAATAACAAGGAAAAATGCCTCGTAAACAGCATTATGTCTCTGAAGCAGTGATACTTTAGCCATATCAAGAACATGGCGAACTGGAAGGAACAGTAGCGAGGGGCATAGTACCATGTCAGAGAAGAAGGGACCGACCAGAACGAATATGGACACAAGAGAAAAAACATTTGGCCGGATCATGCTCAAAGAATCACTCAGCACACATACGCGGGAATAATCCTGTGATCCCAGCCACATGAAAGCCTGTGTCACCGCCATCACCTCCATCGTCATGCTGCTGGTGGTCATGGAGAAGGCACCGCTGGCTTCTTGAACTGTTCTGCCTGAAGAGCGAGCTGTAAATGCCCATGCATTCTTATGTCCTCGTATAACGGACCCGTCTGCGAAGATCACGACATCTGTCTCATCTGACTTGTCACTGATAAGCACGGATGCCTAGGCTTTAATAGCAGCTGGGTTCTGCTCCCGACAATTCATATCGAGCGTGAGACACAGGAGTATGTGAGATAGGACACTTTAGACGCTGTTATCCACTCCTCACCTGGATGGATATATGATTATATGTAAGGCTGCAAACCTGCATGATATCATCCTCTGCTCTACCAAGCCATGATTTTGCCCCTTTTAAGCTTATTGCCCTTTTTTTCTTGAAGAGATGTGGTGCAAAGGGTGCTTCAGATCTGAGCTTATCTTGAGGTATGCACAAGCCCTCCAGATCTTGGTCCTGTAGTTTATGGTAGGGAAGTCAAGAAGGTACCTCACTGCTACACAAGAGGTGTCTCCAGTGCACCCTAGAATAATGCGCATTGCTTCATTTTGCACCTTCTCAAGTTTTTCAACCCGAGTAGAGCTGACAGTGAGGATGGCAAGAGCATATTCGATGGGAGAAAGTACAAGTCCCTGGAACAGAAACAGAAGCAGTCTCTGCTCAGTGTTGGCGACAGCAATGACCCTTATTGCTGACAGGCCTTTGCGTGATTTTGTTATGACATGGTCAACATGTTCTTTAAAGGATAAGCTGCGATCAAACCTCACTCCAAAGTATGTCATCAGATTTATTCTCGTCAAAATGTCCTCGCTGCTTTCCACTGCTGGTAAATCTGCCTTCACTATATGCGTGTTGAAGGAGAATCACGTTACTGAGGCATTCGAAGTGTTGACATGAGCATTAGAATCTGCACACCAGGAGGAGATGCGATTAAGTTCACTCTGCATTGACTTGGCAATCTCTTGACGATCTCTTCCACGTCAATATACCAAGAGATCATCCGCAAATGACAAGGTCCTGCCACTCCCGTGCAACTGCTACTCAGTTATCAGCACTGTGTACACGTTGAATAGCACTGGAGACAGCGGAGAACCTTGAGGCAATGCTGGGCCGATGGTTATCGGTTCTGAGGACCAACAACCACACCTGAGTATCACCCGTCTCTGAAACAGTGCTGCGGCTACCCAGCGGGTGATAAAAGGAGATACTTGCAGTTGGAGAAGTATGTGCAACAAGTTTTCAAATGGTACTCTGTTGTACGCATCCTCTAAGTCTAGTGCAGCAGCACATGTTTCTTCTCTCATCTGAAAACCTTTATAGACATCACAGGCGAAGACCGCTGTATTGGACCATGTCTCTTTGTTTCGTCTGTACCCCCCAAGAGTTGATGGTAAGCGGTTATGCTTTTACAAATCATCAGCGAGTCTACGTGCTACAACTTTCGCCAGAAACTTGCCCTTAGTGTTCTGCATGGTAATGATTCTGTAGCCACTGATCTTGGAATGGTCTTTATTTGGTTTAGGTAGCTGTGTAGCCACTCCTCTTTGATTTGACCACTTCTGATTGACCTGTTACATGGTGACGATACGTTTCTGAACCTGTAGAGAGGTAAAAATCTCTTTAGATACTGAGGAGATGCTGCCAGGTTGGGAGGGTTGTCTCACTACATCAACCTAATAGATTAAAACCCTTTTAGTGAACTGAATTAGTTGAAAAATAGTCTTTCCAGTGATTTACCAAACTGCGCAGAGGCGCCATACAGACACGAAGCTTTGTTTAAGCTATAGCCTACGTATTTTTTACTTCTGCAGTTATTTCACCGACAGCAGTGCTGGATTTATAAATAAGCTACAGCTTAGGGCATCACAATCTGTCGGGGCTTCAATTCTTATTGTGTTTCCAGTTTTCCTAAAGGCAGTCTTCTTGTAATATATTTTTAATGTAGTTTCGTTTTATGTAACCTTTCCGAGGATTATATAATATATTTGCTGTTGATTTTGCGGACATTATTTAAACTAAAAGTGAAGCTACCATGTATTTCCATTATCCATATATATTTTTCAGAAGAAAAACAGAAAAAGTGGGGGGGGGGGGGGGGGGGGGGGGGGGGGGGGTTGGTCGTAAGGATCTTTTGAGTGCTTTTTCCGGTGCAGTTTATAAGTTGGTCTCCATTTCTTTAAGGCTGTTATTTATACCGTTGTTCCAGTTTCTGGGTGGGCTTCCCCTTGATCTGTGTCAATTATATCTATTAACGTGGCAGCTGTTTATCGGGACATTCTCGACAGATCGCCAAAACCATCTGCCTTTTTAAAATAAACCTTATAACTACTTTCAATGCTCAACTGTATGACTGGTTAAAGCTATATACGCCACATGAATGTACTGGTGTGTTTGATTTCACTTAATCGGTATCATGGCGACACGACGCCCTGCAACTTGGCGGACTGAAAGGAAGTAACACACATCTGTGTTTCTGAGGTAGATTGAGAATACAAAAAAATTTTTTTTTTCCGAGTCTGGTAATGGTATTCATTTATTGGTAATCTAACATAAATTTATATTTTATTAATAATATTACTTTCATTACTTTGCTAGCTGGAAAATTACGATGTTGCTATCACAATTCACGACGGCCACATATTATCATGAAGGCCAAAAACACACCCTGACAGGGCCTCATTAGGTCGTGTGTTGTAAACATTCAAATACTTGAACTCGAAAATAATGGGGAATGAAAAAAAGGAAAATGACAAAATCGACGGCTCTCCTCAGAACGGCATCATAATATGGCGGCCATAATATGATGCCGTTCGGAGGAGAGCCATTCTGGCCATAAAATATCCAAAAATATCAGAACAGTGTTCAGGCATTTCTAAAATATGGACTTTCTGCCAAGGAACAAATCGCGACAAAACTAGGATTACTTGACAATATCAACATTGCACACGGTAGTAGCAGACGATAAATACCGTTGACAATTTTGAGCATTTCTGCAGACGATATTAGCGACCGTTGACAATTTCGAGACATTACAGACGATGAAAGCGATTAGCAATACTGTTCTTCCTATTGAGGATTTAGCAGCACTAAGTGTCAGACTTGTCGGCATGCACAAAACACGATTAAACTCATTGCTGAGCATATCCCCTGCGTCGCTACGTGCGGCGCGGATGGGGGGCTAAACTAGGTGCCTGGGACTCACGAGCAAAGTAATTGGAGAAAGTTGCAGTAGATGCGGTAGCTGCCGCTCGTGAGTCCCAGCCATCTAGTTTAGCCCCCATCCGCGCCACTGCACGCGGCGCGGGGGATACTCTCGGCAGTGAAGCATAGTCACAGAAACAGGTCCGCAAGTAAGATATCACTGAGACCCTGTTGGAGCATTTGTTTCGTTTTTCCGAGCCGATCCTAGATTTGCCGCGATTTGTTCATCGGCAGAAAGTTCGACAATGGAAAGTGTCAGTGGTCGCTATTATTATCGTCTGCTACTATCGTCTGCAGTGTTGCGTGCGTCTCTTAGAATTGTCAGGTAATCAGAAACAATAAGAAACAGGTCCGCAAGTAACATATCGCTGAGACCCTGTTAGAGCATTTGTTTCGTTATACGGAGCCGGCATATTTTTAATATAACTGAGCCCCATTAGGATATTTTTGGATATTTTTTGATGCCGTTCGGAGGAGAGCAAAATCAACTACTTAGGGATAATTGAGGCCTTTATATCTGAAAATAGTGGCACAGAACTTGCAAATAGTGCCAGAAAATCTGCTCTTTGTGGCTGTGGCGCTTTTAAAACTGGGCTAAATATGATCGGTGCCGCATTGGTAACACAGTTTTTACCACCTAGAGTATCTCCCGTGCCGCTACGCGCGGTGCGGATGGGGGGGGGGGGGGGGGCGGACTAGATGGCTAGGACTCATGAGCAAATAAATTGGAGAAAGTTGCATGAGATGCGGTAGCTGCTGCTCGTGAGTCCCAGCCATCTAGTTTAGCCCCCCACCCGCGCCGCACGTAGCTGCGCGGGGGATACACTCAGCGGTGAGTTTAATCGGAAGAACACTATTTCTAACCTTTGTCACAGCGCGTGGTCTCCCCGTCATGTCGCTATTATTGTGTGTATTGTTGCCTTTCTTGAAATTGTCAACAGACAGTAATCCTAGTTTTGCTGCAATGTGTTCGTCAGAGGAAGTCCGCAATTTGCATGTGATTGAGGCCCTGTCAGGGTGTGTTTTTGGCCGCCATAATATGTGGCTGTTATTCGGAGGAAAGCCCAATTCACTAGTTAAAAGTTTGGCTCTCCTCTGAACTTCGTCCGAACACTGGCCATGGGCTGCAGTGAGTTGCATCTGGATTTTAAAGCAAGTCTTCTATCAACTGCATTGTTCACTGTTTTTTCGCCCGACACTCCACACTCAGAGGAAAGGCAAGACGAAACTATAATCAAACTGCTACTGACATCATCAGAATCAGAACTCTTTGTTGGCTGTTGAAGAGGAAGACACTTATAGGAATGTTCCATGTGTTTTGATGTCAGTACTTAGCCTGAGCACTGAACACTTTTTATTTTAATAGAATCTACATGAAAAATGCTAATAAACAGCATCCTTTCTCGAAAGCTGAAATATTTTTGTCATATCAAGCGTCACGAAGGATTGGAAAAAATTATAGCAGAAGGCATGACACCAGGAAGGAGGGGCAGAGGCCGACCGACATGAAGATGGGCACAGGATATAAGTGACTCCTTGAGTGTGAAAGTTCATGAGGCGGGGGAACTGGCAAGAGACCGAGTTTCTTACAGGCAGACTGTGATGAGAGCGACGTTCTGCAAAGGACCTGCTACATGATGATGATGATGATGACATGAAAAATCTGGGTTGCTAAATATTTGTTTCCTTAACTGATATTTCATCGCGAGTCTAATTAAAACTTTATAGTCTAACAGAAAATGCACTGAAATTACATTTCAGCTTTTCATTCTTTTGTCAGTTTCCAATATATTATAAAATGCTTTCATTTAACCTGTAGAATGGAGGACTTCTTGAATCATCAGATAAGTGAAGTCAGTAGACAACATCAGGCACTGGAGAATGAATGTAGACTTCTGAGAGAGCTTTTGAAGCCCTGGTATGTGCAGTTCACCTCTGATTTTATTGTTTTTGAAATTCTGACCCAATATAGTGGACAGGCAAGCTGACCATCTTTAGTTGTGGCTTCTAACTGTGGTTAGCCTATTTATTTTTCCTCCATATTTAGTCTGAAAGTATAAAGTTCCATTTTCCAGCTACTGCATTAACTGCGTAGTGCGACACTATGAGCTGCACATTTCATTTAGAGTACTTTTTTGACTGTGTGAAATGGGGTTTATGTTGTGAACTGCAGATTCAGAAAATGGCAAGTGGCCTGTTGCCACAGAACTCATGGTGCCTTATGTCATCAGTTGCATACTCAAATACTGATTTGTTTAACTGCTGCTTTCATCTAGGGCTGTTTTTAATTGCACTTCTGAAAGCTGCCTTATGCATTTATTGTGTGTGTATACTGTTGGCTTTGTCGAGACTACAGTCTATGTCAGTTAGTTCAAGGGACTGATCCCGTATGGTTTTAGTTGGCACAGGAATGGACCAACTATGGGCTGACCCGTTTGCTGTGATGCTGGAATTGCTATTATCTGATTACTGTTTTGTCTTGTAAAGCCTTGGCTTGTGACACTATTGTAGTTGATCTTTTGAAGTTGTGGTATGTTGTTATTTTTGCATTTGAAATTCAAAATGATAGCTTCAGAATGAAAGTGTTAATGACAATTATACTTTGAGTTAACTACAGAGGAATTTTAAAAAAAAATGCTGTCTTTATTCCATTTTTGGGGGTTTAGATAGATTAAAAATGTGGTGAATAAAACCACCATTTTTAAGGAGTGTCTACTCGACCATGCATTGAAGTACACTTATTCCTTCAATGAGATGCTGACTGCAGGTTCATATTTTAGTGTGGCCCCAAAATCTTTCAAATGTAGTATTGCTTAGTGTGTTTTCTAATCTGTTCCTCTTTCCTGTGCTCATATAAATATGTACATATATACATGTATATGTACATCTCAAGCTAGTCCAGTGATATACAGTCATTAACCACTAATTTGTGTGCATTACTTCGAAGAATAGAAGGGAATTGGCCAAGAACATTAGACTAATCAAGACCAGCTCCAGCTGACGGGCCATGCTGCTGACATCACAAAACCGGGCTAACGTTATGTTAACGCAGCGTTTCTCAAACTTTTCTCATCAGGCAAAAAAAATTTTCGCAGTACACCCACCCTTAAAGCGGTGTGAATACTTTAGAAAAGAAAATAAGCAGTGCAGATTTAATATCAAGCGGATTTAGAAAAATTCTTGATTATTGCCACGGCACCTGTGACAAACGCTCGCGGCACCCCTGGAAAACTCGGTCCCCAGTTTGAGAATCGCTTCGTTTATGTATCATTAGCCCGGTTTAGTGATGTCAGCAGCATGGCCCGTCAGCTGTAGCTGGTCTTGGACTGATGCAGGGGAACATGGGTTTGGTAAAGTGAAGAACAGTGCTTTTTTCTTTCACTGGCAAAAATAAAAATCTCCAGACAGATCCATAGGTGCTCCAGCCTCCTTTTCACTAGCTCCACAAGTGTAAAACAGCTGATCAGACCCATTTTGAGTTGATTAATCAGATGTCTGGCTGCTCCGGGCTGCAGTCCCATATCCATGTCCTGCTTGTTGTTGTGATCTTCTTCGCAGCTTGCAGCTCACGTGGCATTAATAAGATCACTCCTGTTTAGTACTGGACCAGTCATAGTAACCACCATGTCCACCAGATAATCTGTTTATTCGTTACCTCAACCACCTGCATTGCCTGGTAGAAATGTAAAGGTTAGGCGAGTGATACATTGAATGAGAGAATCCATTCTTGCCTAATGAAGTCAGCCTGGATTTTCTTGGGTATATTAATTGCATCCCTTAGTATTCATGCATATTTGTATTCTTGAGTACCCAGGCATGCCGCTGCCCTTGTTGCAGTCAAGGTCTCCATTTTAAGGCTGCTGGTTATTAGTGTTATAGTTTTACTTTGATGCAAAATGTCCTACTTTTATATTCTGTGATAAACTGGTGGCTAAGTATTTTGAAAGTATTGAAGCTTTTTAATCTTCCTTGACGTTCATTATTATTGTAATTTTTTTTTTAACTTTATGAGGCCAAAAAAGAAGAGACTGGTAGAGGAAGTTGACAATGCAGGAATACAATCAGTCCCAGGTAAGATTCATTAGCATCAGCTTAGTAAACCCAAAGACTGGTACTGATCATGTTACTTAATTGCCCTCCAGTCTCAGCAGTTCTTTTGAGCTCTGCATAAATCTGAATCTCAGTGGGTTTTTCTAAATGTACAATGTATTTTCTTTGGAAAAGGGGGTGGGGGGTGGGGGGGGGGGCAGTGTTAGCAATGTAACATTAAAAAAAAAGACTTATTAATAGTGCACTAAAACTTTGTTAACAAAGGTCCTTTTTCCAGTCCAATAGGCTTATTAGCCATTTAGGGCTAGATGTATAATTTGATAAATCATTCTACACTGGGTTGATTATGTGGTCATCATCAGGCTAGCCACCTTTACTTCAAAAGACTATGCCTAGTACCCACTCAAAGTTAAGTCAACCTGGGAGCCAAGGTCATTTATTTTTAAAGTCCGGCTCCATCAGGACCCATGACCTTTTAATCCGCAGTTGAGGTTCTAGCCGCTACACCATGGTGGCTTCCTAGTTTCTTGTATATATGTGTATATATATATATTATAAATAGCCCGGCTCTCTAGCGGAATTGGCTAAACCGGATTTCGCGGAGACCGGGTGACGTACTCCTTGTGGTCCGGGTTCAATCCCGGGGGTAGGCAGGAAAGCCACATTTTCTCCCAGATTTACGGTATTTACAATGGAATCAAGGCCGAAAGGTTGCGATATCCATAATACCGAGCCTAAGGGTTAACAACTCAGGGCTTCTGGATATTAAAACAAAACAAACAATATATTATAAATGAGCCTAGTGACTTAACTGATTTCTTAGTCTTGTATGTTTGCAGCGACACATCTTTGTATGAGTGTAAATTTCAATTCACAGAAGCACAAGCTCCTGAGATCATTAGTTATGCTGAACAACAAGTTGACGAACTGCTGCGAAAGGCTGAGAAGGCTCGTCACTTGAAGTCAAAGGTCTGGATTCTTATTTTGTTAGCTCAGTGCTTTAACTGTTCTAATTGCTAAGCTGCTACTAGACTTGTGTGACCTTCGTAGCTTTGAAAGAAACTTGTGTCCTTCTCCACAATGAACGTTGGCTTCTTCTTCGTCTTCTTCAGTGGGCTCATTATCATGTAGCAGGTCCTGTGCAGAGCGTTGCTCTCATCCCAGCCTGCCTGAAAGAAACCCAGCCTCTCGCAAGATCTCCCTTGCCTAACCAAGGTGTCGCTTATATCCTATGCCCATCTTCCTGCTGGTTGGCCCTTGCCCAATCAGCCGTGGTGCTTGATATGGCTGAATTTTTTTCATTTGTAAGAGAAGATGCTGTTTACTAGCCAGTCTACAAGTCTCTTTTATGACAGTATTTCTTTTTTTTTTCTTGGTCAATGGTATTCTGAGAATCCTTCTTAGCATTTCGGCTCAAAATCCCTTTTTTGCTTACTTTGTGTCTGAGATAATCCATGAGTCACATATGCTATGGGAAAGATGCATGACATTGATTGTCCTTCTTGTGACATTTGTTAGCCAAACAAAATGTTTTAAATTCTGCCCCCTGCCCGAGCCAAAATGTCTAAAAGAACTGTCAGAAGATGTGTATCACCACTTTTGAAGTGTTAAAAATACAACAGTGAACTGAATCTTTATAATTCGCCCAAGTGGAGTAATATTGGATTTAGCCTGTTTACAGCTTAGATATATTTGCACTATTTTGCTGACACATCCGAACTTCACTGGGAATTTTTGTTCAGGTTAGCCCTTTTGGTTAGTTTTGTGGGAAATCGCAAAGCCTCATTGTTAGGTCATCATCTTTTCCATCCACCCTACAGAGGATGCTATAGTTAATATTTATGAAATAATTAAAACGCACTAGAAATGGCTTTTTTTTTATTTATTTTTTTATTTCACCGTCTTTATAGTGCAAGTTGGCTGCAGTATTGACTACTAATTATGGAAATATTATGTGGTGGGGTCGCCCTAATATCTCCCTGTGGCCATCTTCTAGTTGGTCTGCCTCTTATTCATGGTACTATGCCTTCTGCTATTATTTTGTGTAATCATCCATGGCGCTAGATATGACAAAAATATTTCAGCTTCCGAGACAAAAGGCTTTTTACTAGCCAATCTTCCTTGATGTTCAGATCTTTTAACATTTCAGTATTTCTTCTCGATCTTCGCCTATGGTATTTTGAGAATCTTTCCATAGCATTTGAGCTCAAAAGCCTCTATTTTCTTTCTTCAGGACTGGAAGATAGTCCACGACTCACATCCGTATGTTGCTACAGGGAGGATTCATGCTCTCGAAATGTTAATTTAGATTTTCTTGTTGGTACTTAACAATAGACTTTTTGTGCAGAAGATGTTATTAGGCAAATATGCAGCCTAACCGACATCATACCTGGTGCAGAATGGATACCTGTGCCTCAGGCGTTTATTTGTACATTTTCCTGTATTGTCACACTCAACAGGCGATGTAGAGAAGAGAATCCTGTTGCTGTTAATGCAGAGGTCAACGCTCTCATCTGTGAAAATTCAGACGAAGCAGATGCAATAATCTATACAGACGGATCCGTTATACGCCAAAGAAGAAGCGCATGGGCATTTACAGCACGCTCAGCGGGCAGAACAGTCAAAGAAGCCAACGGCGCCTTCTCCATGACAACCAGCAGCATGACGATGGAGGTGATGGCAGTGACACAAGCGCTTGCCTGGCTTGAAACACAAAAATACACCCGCGTGTGTATACTCAGTGATTCAATGAGTATGATCCGGAGGGTTCAGGCAGGTTCAGTGCGAAGACAATGGCTTGAATCATTACAGAAGTCCACTGTCCGTGGAGTCACCTTTATTTTTGTTCCGGGATACGCAGGCGTCGATGGAAATGAAAGAGCTGACAGGTTGGCTGGATCCGCTATCACTACCGACGGTCAGCCTATGGATCATGCTGATATTATCAATGCCCTCAGAGAAATGGGAAGGATAGACGACTTTGGTGGCAGTGAATCCACATCACTCGCCAGAATGGCAGACTTGGGAATTAAGATCGGCACAGCAAAAAACGAGACGCACACCAGCTACGCCAGAAGACTTGTTAATCAACATAGAACTGGTACTATTAGCCATCGGACGTTGGGGTTCATACTGAGGGGAGGATCTGAGCACCTATGGACATGTCCGGAGTGCAATGAGGATAACCCAACTAACTAACTAACTAACTAACTAATAGACTTTTTGTGCTGTTTAATGTTTGCATTACTATGGTCATCCTCCTTCTGATTTCTGTCAAACAGTCTCCATTGCTATTTATTGCAAAGCCTAGATATTCAAAGTTTGTGACATTTTATGTTAAAGAAGCACTTAATTTCCTTCCCCTTATGGGTTTCAGGGCCCCATTCTTGAGAAAATAAGAACAGACCTGCTGCCTCCCCAACAAGCATGTTGTAAGAGTCATCTAATTGGAGGCTTCCTTCAAAGTCAGAGCGCATATGGCTAAGAGGCAAGGAACCAACAGTTTGCATACAAATGAGTCAGATCTGTAAAATGGATGTGCACACAACACTTAGGTTTGGGAACAAGGCTTCGAAACAGAGGTGGAAAAACAATCAAAACTTTCCTCCGGAGTTTACAGCCGGTGAACGGGAAGAACTTAATTTCCTTTCTTCTATAATATACACAGTATTTTTTTTACGACATACCTTTTAAGTTACTAATTTGTATTCTCATCTGAAACAAAATATTTCAAGTCACTAGTTATTATCTTTTTCTCCACTATTGTTTCATCATTCTAGGCAAAGCCTGATGTAGATGGAGCATTAAGACTGGAGACATGTTTAATCAAGAATGCTGATAACAAGAACTGTACCCCTCAGACTTCTAGCTGTCTGTTGAATGACTCTCCAGTAGAAAATAAAGATTTAGACATAAAGAACAACACATGTACGACTGTTCCTTCTCATGTGCCTTCGCCACAAATAGAAAGTTTATCAAAACGGTCTAGTGAAACTCAACGATCACAGTCAGCAAAAAACAAGCCACAAAAAAGTGTTACTGCAAAAAACAATTCAGCAGCCATGGAAAAAAACAAAGAGTCAAAGCAGGAAAACCGTCCTCATTCACATAAACCTTCTAGCAGCAGACCCCGTCATATACCAGCACACATGTTAGCCCCTTTCAAAACCAACAACAGTTATAGTCTTCCAAAACGTAAGAACAGTTATTTATCAGAGTACAGCAGCTCTACAAGAGCTGCTAAAACATCTCTCTCTGCGGCCACCAAAGCATACAAAATCCTTCCAGAAATTGCCACTAGAGATTCCAAGAAAGTAACGCAACCATCTGACACATGTGAATACCCAGCCACTAAAAACAGTTACCCTAAAAGCAGCTGTGTTAGGGAACCTTCTTCGACATCACTTTGTAATAATAATAATACAAGTTCTGTCGAAGAAGACAGGCCTACCCATTACCCAGATTCAAATGTGTCAGCAGCAGATACTAAACTTAATGAGTCTTCAGCTTTGGATTTGAAAGCTTCAGTTGACAGAACTTCTGAACATTCAAGTATTTGTACAAAGTCTACAGAAAGGGACCAGTCCTCTCAGAGTGTTAATGAAGCACAAACAAGTTTACCAGAAAATGAGCTACAACAGTTTACCTTACAAAAGAATGGGTGAGTCTTTTCAAACAGTTTATGAGTTGAGACCCAACAATCATAGCATTCGAGACACTCCCATTAGGGCTCTGTCCCCCTCTTTAGCAGCAAGCATAGAGTTCCAGTTCTGATAGTACCAGTAACTGATTGTATGCCTGTCTCACCCCTCCCCTGAGCCTTGAGCGTCAGCCAGATGCCCTGATCACTCCTCGCTGCACCATTCTGTTCATACCATGGTTATCTGTGTGTGCCTCCACACTGTTTACTTGCTCCCAAAGGGCCCTTACAACATCTAGCTTGTCGTGGATCAGTTTATCAGCAAGTGGTACAGAACCAGTTTATCTATCTTCCTGTTTATTTCCCAACACACTGGCATTTCCTGGAGAAAATATCCAAAGGACGCTGACTACCCAGGACCTCAGAGCCATGCTTGCCACTCTGCAGGGAGCATACTTTAAACAGTTTTGGAGAAGATAAACAAAAAGAGTGTTGCCTAAGTGGTTGGAATCCTAGGCTACCATTCATGAGACCTGGGTTTGAATCCTCTAGGCTGTTTTATTTCTGTCAGGGCAACAGTGTATTCTTAACCTTCACAGTTTTTTGCACCCACTCTAGTAACACAGCTCTAAATCCTAAAGGGGAAAAATGATTCCCCTCACTTACACAGCCATACAATGGGATATACAAATGGCAGTAAAACTGTTTTTGTTTTTAAGAAAGGTTATGCAGATTCAAGCTAAAAAGTTATTAGCAAAATTTAACATCAGTGTCCTAACAGGCATGTTGTACAAGGCAGCTAAGTTAGGGTTTGCTGAAATCAGATGTGTTTGACAGAAGGGTGCATATATCACAGCTTAGTCGTAAACCACACACAATGTGCCAACTGTCAATTCAAGGTTAAATGTAGAAGAAGAAGAAGAAAATAGAAATATATATTCCTTTTAACATTTAAATAATACCAAAAGACATAAAGCTGAGGTCAAATTTGCAGATATTATGTAAGTGCACCCATTTTCTATTCTGGGTTGTTCCTCATAAGGAAAAAAAAGAATTGACCCTCTGCCCCTAACAAGCATGTCGTAAGAGTCGCTAATTAGAAATGTTTCCTTCAGAGTCGGAGTGCATCTATAAAATTTGCATGCAGAACTCAACATTCTAGAAGAGAAAAGTCCAGAAGTAGATGAACAGTCAGAATTTTCTGTTGGAGTGAATATGAAGAACAAGTAGAAGCATTCTGGGTTGAAGTGGGTGTACTGATCCATCCTAAATTTGCCTTGATGGGGATTTGAACTCATGTTTAGCATGAGGATTAAGGACCACTTGGTTAGTGCTGTCACCATGAACTACACAAGTTTGAACATAATGTGTCTCACAGACAGAAAAAAAAATCATCCTGCCACCATACCCCAAGAATCGAACCCAGGACTCTTAAATAAGAACCTGGTCTCCCACCTTCTGTAAATAAGTTAAAAGTTGAAAAAAAAAAATAATAATAATGCAATGCTGATACTGTGCCATTTTTTTCTCTCCCTTTCAGTTCTAGTATGAAACTTCCACACAGGTTAATGAAGTTAGTTAATGCGAACAGATCTCTCAAAGAGAAACTTGCTTCTACAAAACTGGCAAAGAAGACATCAACAGTTCTTGCTGCTCAACAGTTTATAGAAACACTCTGTGCTGAGGTAAGAGTAATGTTTGTAGTAAAAGAAAAAAAATTAATTATGGTCATCAAGTTTTCTGTGTGAGTTTGAGGCCCCAAGTGGGGGGGGGGGGGGGGGGTGATAAAACAAGAATAGACCCACTGCCTCTTTCTCTTTAACAAGCAGATTGTGAAGGTCAACTGGTTAGGGGTGCTTTCTTCAAAGTCTGATGGCAATGAATCAACAATCTGCATTAAAAAAAAGCAGTATCTGTAAAAATGATGTGCACGCAAGACTGAAGCCCAGAAGTGGACAAAGAACCAGAACTTAACTGCTGGAGATTACAGTCAGCGAACATAAAGAATAAGTCATCAAGTGTCTTTTTTTTGGCTTGAGTGATCATGGATCTTCGCATCTTGCTTGTATTAGTTATTTTACCTAAAGTGGGTTTCAGAGCCCCATTATGGGAAAAAAATAATATACCATTGCCCCCAAGCATGTCCTAAAATGGTACTAATTAGGAGTTTTTTAAAATCGCATGTATTGGGCCGAAAATTTAAGATGACACAGTCTTACTGTAACCCCCAACACACCGACCATCCTTTTAAGGGTTACTATTGAAGGTTTTTTTTGCTGACACCTTTCTGTGCCATAGCAGAAGACTCAAGAATCATCTCTTGTTTTCCTTTATCTCTGCCATTCCATAAATTATATATATATATATATATTCTTTTTAAAGTCAATGCCATATGGCTTTGGTAGTCATGTTTATCCACAACTTTCTGTCCCATGTACTTTCAGTCAACTATGACACAGATGATCTTCCATGCCATGATGTCAAACTGGTCAGCATGTGGTCTTCCTCTGCCTCTCCTGCCCTCCAGCTTTCCTACTGTCACCTGCCCTCAAAGAATGTAGATTGTCTTTTTCTGATGTGGACAATCAGTTCTCTTCGTGAGTCAGATTCTTTCGAGATGTGTTCATTACTCTTTTTATCTGTCCAGGGTATGCTCATCATATATTTACAGTGGTACCTCAGTGTATGTCCGTTTACTAATAATAGCCCAACTTGGTATTTTCACTTATTAACATGGAGTACAAGTAGTGAAGAATTGTTATTTTTAATTATACAAATATTTAATCTGTCTTTGTCTGTGTATATTTATTTGTCATTTTTGATCACATCTGTGTAATACACAGATATATATATATATATATATATATATACACAGTTTAGTATTATATTTCCACAATATTAGGATGACGTAAGCCCTGAGCTTAGAACCCGTGTTTCTGCCCTTACCTGTCTGAGGTCTCATCACATGCTGATGGACACACTCCAGGATCTTCATCTGTGTCTTTTGTCAGGTGAGTCTGTAGAATTGCCACTATAGGCAGTTATGTATAGACCATGTGGAAATTCTTCATCTTCTTCTCCACATTCACCGGCTGTAAACTGAAGGGGAAAGTTCTGGTTGGTCATCCACTTCTGGATTTTAGTCTCATTCCAATATAAATGTTTTGTATGTGCATCCATGTTAGAGATCTGGTTTATTTTTGTGTAGACTGTTAGTTCTTTGCCTCTAAGGCAGATGCAGCACTCCGTCTTCTAAGGAAAACATAACAATTTAGTTGACTCTTATGCCATGTGCTTGTTAGGGAGCAGTGGATTTATTCCTCACTCTCACTGGGGGCTGGGATCTCACACAGGGAATCTCTAACTATAGAAAGAGGGAGACAGTGTAAATTATGGACAGATCTTATAACAGAGTCCCTGAGATCCCCACATACGGCACTCTCACACCGTTAATATTTCATTAAGATTCCCCAAGGTACATATGGAACAAGATGAAATTAGAAATCTGTAAATTTTACACTAGTTTCATCAGGAATTAATAAAATTCTCAGACGATGACATGAAATCCCCACATACTTCTGATGTGGGATTTGAGCCCTTATTTTGGGGGCAAATAGATTTACTGCCTCCTAAGAGGCAGGTCACAAGAGGCGACTAAATAGGATTTTGCTGAAATTGGATATGTTGGGCTGAAAGGCACAGATATAGCAGTCTAGCTGTAAACTACAACACAAACTGTTTAAACTGTTACTATAAACCACCGTACAGGGTCATCGAGAATGACTGTCAGGATTTTAAACTGTTATTATAAACCACCGTACAGGGTCATCGAGAATGACTGTCAGGATTTTAAACTGTTATTATAAACCACCGTGCAGGGTAATTGAGAATGACTGTCAGGATTTTAAACTGTTATTATAAACCACCGTGCAGGGTAATCGAGAATGACTGTCAGGATTTTAAACTGTTATAATAAACCACCGTACAGGGTCATCAAGAATGATTGTCAGGATTTTAAACTGTTATTATAAACCACTGTAACGGGTCATCAAGAATAATTGTCAGGATTTTAAACTGTTATTATAAACCACTGTACAGCGTCATTGAGAATGACTGTCAGGATTTTAAACTGTTATTATAAACCACTGTGCAGGGTAATCGAGAATGACTGTCAGGATTTTAAACTGTTATAATAAGCCATCATAAGGGTCATGAAGAATGAATGTCAGGATTTTAAACTGTTATTATAAACCACTCTAACGGGTCATCAAGAATGATTGTCGGGATTTTAAATTGTTATTTTAAACCACCGTACAGGGTCATCGAGAATGACTGTCAGGATTGTAAACTGTTATTATAAACCACTGTAACGGGTCATCAAGAATGATTGTCAGGATTTTAAACTGTTATTATAAACCACCGTACAGGGTCATCAAGAATGATTGTCAGGATTTTAAACTGTTATTATAAACTACTGTACAGGGTAATCGAGAATGACTGTTAGGATTTTAAACTGTTATTATAAACCACCGTGCAGGGTAATCGAGAATTACTGTCAGGATTTTATACTGTTATTATAAACCACCATGCAGGGTAATTGAGAATGACTGTCAGGATTTTAAACTTTTATAATAAACCACTGTAACGGGTCATCAAGAATGATTGTCAGGATTTTAAACTGTTATTATAAACCACCGTACAGGGTCATCGAGAATGATTGTCAGGATTTTAAACTGTTATTATAAACCGTTGTACAGGGTCATCAAGAATGATTGTCATGAATTTAAACTGTTATTATAAAAGAAGAATTTAATGGATATTCACATGTGGCATCTTTAAAAATTCAGAAAAATCTAAAACCTAATTTGACCATGTATAACAGAGGCCCATTCTTCTGCTTGGCACAATATAAACAATTTACGTTATGCTGATGACACAGTCTTGATAGCAACAAGTCAGAAAGAACTACAGGAAATGATAGACATTGTGGTGTTAGAAAGTGGAAGAATGGACCTCAGTTTGAATAATGGGAAGACAGAAGTAATGGTGATATCAAAGAAACGAATTATTCCTAAATGTGTAATAAAAGTTGATGGTGTTATTTTAGGACAGGTACAGAAATTTAAGTATCTGGGCACATGGATAACATCAGATGGAAGATGCATGACTGAGATGAGAAATAGAATAGGACAGGCAAAAACTGCATTTTATGAAATGAAAAACATCTTGTGCAATATATCCTTGTCATTGAGAGTTAGTAGAAGAATTCTTGCTTGCTACATACATCCAGTTTTAACACATGGCTGTGAATCCTGGACAATCGGTAGGCAGGCCAAACAATTTCTGGAGGCCTCAGAGATGTGGTTTTACAGAAGAATGCTTAGAATACCTTGGACAGCCAAAAAGAGCAACCAAGAGGTTTTAAAAGAGGCGGGAGCCCGAAGACAACTTATCACAGACATCAGAAGGAGACAGTCATCATTTTTTGGCCATGTTATGAGAAGAGGGAAAATAGAACATGTTGTGACCACTGGAAAGATATGTGGAAGGAGAGATAGAGGAAGACAATGAGAGAAGATGCTTGACAGTCTTGTTGCATGGCATGGAGGTGTGTCGGCAAACGAACTGATACATGCTGCAGGAGATCGCAGATTATGGAGAGGCATGATCGCCCACGCCAGTCGGCAAGGCACCTGATGATGATGATAACTGTGAGGCTTAAAATGACGCTGAGAAGATAAGGAACAACTAGCAACTTAAAGAGAGTCTGGCTGTGGCAATTGCAACTGTAACTCTGGACACTACTGAGAAGAGTGACAGGAGATTCAGTAAAATCTAGACATCATTAGAGCTACTATAGGCGCCTGTATTAAAGTGTTCTAAGTTAAGTCTGAAATTGTTATGAACAAATTAGGACACTACATGCAAATAGCCGTTAAAGACTTCTTTTATAAAAATAGTTTAAAATCATGGCAATTCTTCTCTTCATCTCCTTCGCGTTCACGGACTGTAAACTCTATCAGAAAGTTCTGACTGTTCTTCCACTTTGAAACTTTAGTCTTTTTTCAGAACCTGAGTAGTGTGTGCACACCTGTTTTACAGATCTGACTTGTTTGTGTGCAGATTGGTGGTTCCTTGCCTCTCAGGCAAATGCACTCTGACTTCAAAGGAAACCCCCCAGTTAGTCGGCTCTTACATCATGCTTGTTGGGGAGGCAGTGGGTCTATTCTTGTTTTCCCCACAATGCGGCCCCGGAACCCACATGGGGAAACCTGGCAATCAGTCTTGATGTGCTAACTGCCAGTTAAAGAATTAATTCAGAAGAAGAGGAAAATAAGCATGACTATTGATTTTATATTGATGAATGCGAATGCTAACCTGAGTTCTGTGATTGTTTTACAGAAAATTCTTCAACAGATGTTCTCTACCGAGCAAAAAGAATCTTAGAATATGTGCTGGCAGCTTTTGCAGAGCTGCAGGAAAGAGCCAATTACCTTTCACGAGGTAATGTGTTTGATAAATTATTACATTGTACTGTAAGTAAAGTAGTAAAATAAAGATCCCCTTTCATGCCTTTAGGTGCATTGGAAAAATGAGAAGAGCACCCATATTTTTACAGACTAATCAGCACTAGGTGGGTAATGTGGTCAGCATTACGCCTGCCGTCTTTACTTCTCCAGGACATACATGCTGGTACCCATTTTAGGCTGGGTCGACCTGCTATGCCCCATACCACGATAAAAATCCACACAGCCAGCTACGACATTCTACTGTAATGTTGACTAACCACATCAACAACCAAATGCCGATTGGTCTACAAAAAATAGCTCTAGTACTATATGCCGAGTACGTCTCAACTCATGGAAAAGGATCTTTTACATACATACCTATATTGTACTGTAGATACCAGAAGCTGAGTATCATGCTGCATTCTTTACTTTCCTGGACATTTCCCGGTATTAATTTTAAGCTGGATCAACCTGGAAGCCTAAATCAGTAGGAAAAAAATTTTCTGTCTTGAAGTGGATTCAAAATATTTTTGGGGTAATTTTCCCCTTTGGGATTGGTGCCTGAAAGAGTGACATCCAGTGACTCACGAAGTCACTTTTCAGATGTTATTGAACAGGGACATGCAACAGGTGCAGTTTAACCTGCTGTCCATTTCAAATACATATCTATCACTGCTTGGCAAGAACTCTAGCCACTGCAGCTGTAGAACACTTCATTTTTGCATCCACTGACTGTAAACTCCAGTGGAAAGTTTAGGTTGTTCGTCCCCTTCTGGACTATGGTCTTGTTCAAGAACTTGAGTTTTACAGATCTGGTTTACTTGTGAATTAGTCACCTTTTACGACATACCACATTAGAGAGGCAGTGGGTCTATTCTTTTCCTCCAAAATGGGAACCTGGAACCCACATGCGGACCTAGAAGGCTTGTTTTAACTATTTATTATTCAGGTCATTTAAGCTTTTCTTCATGCTTTCTGTGTTTATTCTCAAATGGGCAGTTGACACTTTGTATTGTGGTTTACATCTAAATTTTTCAGAGCCCAAACATTGTTTTTTCTTATTAGAGTATATTGGATTTTTAACACACACACACCCCCCCCCCTTCCCATCTTGGAACCCTGGAACAAGTTGATGTAGACTTCTCTCCTGCCTAATATAAAAAATGGAGGCACTGTTCTGCAGGGCTTTTCTTCCCTCTCCGGTTTAGAAAACTGTAGAAAGGTGTGGGGAATCTGTGCTGGGAATTTACATCTGCAGACAAACAGGCGTATTAGGCTGTAACCACATACAGCACAGCATACATGGACTGGTTGGAGTAAGGCCTCGGTCTGTCATGTTTTCATCATAAAAGGGACCTTTGTGAAGAAGTCGCATCATGCATATAGTGCTAGACATATATTTTTATAGATCTGTCAGCACTTGGGCGGCTGGCAGATCAATTAAGAATGCAGGGCTCTCGTGTGGGTGCCCGGGTTTGTACCCTCAGTAAGGTTAAGGAATTTCGTCCTCTTAGAGGCGAAAATAAAATCCTAACCTGCAGTCTGTGGTGAAAGCACTGGCCATGTGAGCCTAAATAAATACTCAGGCTCAAACCCCCTTCCTCCACCAACAACAAAATCAGTACTTGATGGATGATGTGGTTAACATTACGCCGATTGCCTTTACTTCTCTGGACATTTGCTGGAATATATTTTAAATTTCGTCAATCTGGGAGCAAAGCACAATTTTGAAAAAAAAAAAAAATTTTATGCTAATTTGCATCCTAGACCATTGGATCGACAGGCAAGTATCTAGCCACGATGCCATCACAGTTCCTATTTTCTTCTTTTTCTTAGTGTTCATCGGCTGGAAACTCCAGCGGAAAGTTCTGGTTGTTTGTCCACTTCTAGACTTTGGTCTAGACTGGCCAGCAGGTGCCACGGAGATGGAAATTCAGCAATTAATTCAAGATAATGATCCCGCAGAGGATTTGATTACACAGATGATTCAGTGTCGAGAGGCAAAAGAAGTGCTTGGGGCTTCTTAGCAAAAATTCATGATCGACGTTTGGTGCAGGAGAGCCTAGCATATGATACCACAACATCCAGCTTAAGAGTGGAGGTGGTCACTGCAGCTTTCCGCTGGCTAGAGAACACAGCACACACACATCGTGATTGTAACTGATTCAGAAAGTATGCTGAGGAAGATCAGAACAGGCATGCTTCGTTCAGAGTGGCATGCTTCGCTGCGGAGGACACTGGTGAGGAGTTTGTCTGGATTTTTTCACCTCGTTACGCCGGTGTGTTGAGAAATAAACAGGCCGACTGGCTGGCTCTGCACAACTTGGTGGAATACTGATACATAAGGCAGACGTGGTTAGTGCCTTGTAGGAGAGCGTGTACATTTCAGAGGAGCAGATCTGATGAGATTGATGCAGGGGGGAGTGATGAGAGGTTCTGACAGATGCGAGGCTCAGAGGAAAGGCAAGACAGCGTTTAATCAGAATGCTACTGGCACCATTAGTTTTGGAACTCTTCACTGGCTGCTGAAGATGGGGACGGAGCGCTTTTGGGAATGCCCCGAGTGCTGTGATGTCACTTCTTCATCAAATAAAATGAAATAGACTTTGGTCTTGAGTTTTGCGTTTATTACTTTCCTGTTACCTAGATACACTCCAACTTCAAAGGAAACAACCATAATTAGTCATCTTCTATTACATGCTTTTTACGGGGCAGTAGGTATATTCTTGTTTCCTCCAGAATAGGGACCCTGGAATTCACATGTGGAATTTTCCTCATGAGTTATAGGTTTTTATTAATAAACAAACTGCTACCCAATACTGAGTAGAAATATGAAGCGACAAATAGCACTAGAGAGCTGTAGTTGTGAAGTTATATTTCTATGCCAGTTAGGCAAGGTAATTGATAATGATGGTGAGACTGGTGGTTTTTTTCTGTCAGCTATTATATTTTACAAAGTAGTGCTGTAAATATCACAACTGAACTTTCTTCATCAGTAAAATACAGAGATGTTGCACCAGTCGCAGACATAAGCAGACAATGTGTGGAACAAGACATGAAATTTTGGTTGGACACTGGTCAAAAAAGAGGTGTGTTCTGTGTTATTTTTTTGTCTGATCACCATCAAGTGATGTAGGGGTGAAAGGTTATAGGAACGTTTGCTATCATCTGTTACTGCATGGGTCACAAACAGGAGGTAGTGCTTGAGGTTCTCCACCAATGCCTTATAGATTATTTCTGACTGGCAAGTTTGTTTACTTTGGTGCACCACAGCAACATGAGAGCCTTTCTGTTTCATGATAATTTACACAATTAATAGAGTGGTGGGCATAGTATTGTGGTTTGCAACTAGGCCACGACATCTGCACCTGAAGGCCCAATACATCAATTGCCGTAAATCAGATGTGTTGGGCTGAAGGGGTCAGATATCCCAGCCTAGCTGTAAACCACAACACAATGTGCCAGCCACTCTTTTAGGGGCAAGCAGAGAAGTAGAACACCGTCTCAGCAGAGAAGCAAGTAACATGCAGACATGGGTCCATCTTTATGTGTTATATGTTATCTTTAGATGCAGGAACAGGTCTTTTTTTAAATGGAGGTGTGCACTCCCGGTACCTTTTTAGGCATCATTTTTCTTGTCAGAGCTGCTGTAGTAAACACTTTATCTGGCACTTTTTTTATACACTTTGTGATGAGTTAAGGTTAGTTGCGTATCCTTTACAGGACGTTGCAGAACCAACCCCAACAGCCCCTGGCTGTTGTGTGGTTTTTCTAGGCAAATTTACATCCAGTAGTTTGCCATTGCTTTCTGGACGGTCAGCTTTCTTGATACCACTGTCGAAACCAAGGCAAGGCACATGGCCCGCAGCTGGGATCAAACCCGGCATTAGGAAGCGTTCGCATCGACTTAGCCACAGAGCTGACTTGTGATGAGTACCAGTACTTTTTTTTCTAGGGGCAAAATATAACCTGTGCAGGACTGACACTTCTTTTTCTGTGGATTTCATTTAGCTGATGAGGCGGATCACTATGTTGGTAAAAGAGCCGACCAACTACTTTATTACCAAACGTAAGAACAGAAGAAAAAAATGTTAACATGTTTCCTCAGATTTCCAATATGGCTGCTGGGAGCATTTACAAACCAGCAGACGTTGGAGTCACTTGAAGTTTACAGAAAAATATTTGCAGCTGAACATCTCCCTCGTCAAATCAGCGCTGGCCGAGTGGTGGCATGTTTTGTTAGAGAACAGGTATGCGAGTCACTTTTATGTAAAGAACCATTTTCAAACCATTGATGCGTTAGGTGTATGTTGCTAGATCTATATTTTAATAGCAATAATTAGACCTTGATTGGTTGGTTAGTTATTTAATCAATCAGTCATCCTCATGGCACAAGTCAATAAGTGCTCGGTTCCCATCTTATGTATCTCCTTCATCGTGGGGTGACTGGAAACACCATTGGTTGGTTTACTATCCTTCTTTGGCTGCCTGAATAGTGTTCATGTCTGGCTACACTTTTTTTGACATAAAGTTTTTGTAGTCTTCTCAAGATTGCCAGTTCGCCATTATCTAGTAATCCTGCCTCCTTAACACTTTGCTGACCAAATTTGACAATTTGTGAATTTCTGATCATATCCTTTGGTGACCAACTTCGCCAATCTCGTGACATTTAGACTGCAGACAGCCTTACCGGTAGTTTTCGAATTCCGGGTATTTTTATTTTTCCAAAATGGCTGCATCTACGATAGATATCGCTTATTTTGCTGCATGGATTCACTTATTTGCTTCATTTATGCAAATGTTATTGTAGTTTACACCTGACAAGATACAGCGAAATATGCCAGGCAATAAAGTGTGCAATGCATTGTTTTGTGTCTTCTGTATTAAAATTGAAAACAGTGTGACTATTACAGAAGTATTATGACCTGATACTCAGAACTGTCCACCCCCGTGTGGGTTCCAGGGCCCCATTGTGGGGAAAACAAGAATAGACCCACTGCCTCCCCAAAAGCATGTCGTACGAGTCGACTAATTGGGGAGCTTCCTTTGAAGTCGCAGTGCATCTGCCGGATAGGCAAGGAACCAACAGTCTGTATCCAAGAGAATGAGATCTGTAAAACTGATGCACACGCAACACTCAGGTTCTGGAGCAGGACTGCAGTTCAGTAGTGGACGAGCAACCAGAACTTTCCGGGCCCTTATGACAACCACTCATAGGAATGACATTTTTATTTAGAGGAAGTCACTTGACAACCTCACCTAGACTCTTACACACCTTACCTCATTTAAAAAAAAAAAATACATTCTCACATGTGCACTCTGACTAAACTGGACAGTAACGCACATGTTAACTGGTACAGATGGAGAAATTATTCATACATTATTGGAACCTGTTTTAAAGGAGGTAACTGTAAAATCACTACACTGTATTTCCCTGTGTGGGTTTCCGGATCCTCATTGGGGGGGGGGGGGGGGGGGGGGGGGGGGGGGGTGAGCAAGAACACTCATTGCCTCTTCAACCAACATGTTGTAGGAGTCAACTCATTGGGAGCTTACTTCGAAGTCAGAGTGCATCTGCCTGAGCGACAAGGAACCAACAGTCTTCATACAGTTGAGTCAGATCTGTAAAAGTGATGTGAACGTAACACTCAGATTCTGGAACAAAACAATCAACCAAAACTTTCAGCTGGAGTTTACAGTCAGTGAACGTGAAGAAGAAGACTACACTGTATCGAATGTAGTTTGTGAAGAACAATTTATTTATCGCAATTTTTCTTGCTTGAATTCGTTTTTAGATGAGAGGAATTTCTGATAAGATTTATTTCTTGGGTCCCTGTTGAGTTCTTATCAGATCTGCACTGTACTTTATAGCCACAATGTTCATTTTGTTGTATGTAATATTATGAAGCTTCATTTCTTAAAACTGTAAGATTAATGCTTTATTTCAAACTTCACAGAGACCTCAGTGTGTTCCAGGGAGTGTATGCCCTCTTGACAAGCCATGGCCAGTTTTTACCAGCCCTTGTTGAGAACCCAGTGACATAAAAATAATTAAATGCAATTTTTCCTTATCCATCCAGTGTGTGATTATTAAGTTTTTTTAATTGTATGTTTCTGAACATCAAGGAAACAAAATTGGCTAATAGCATCTTGTCCCAGAAGCTGTCTTAGGTTGACAGGGTTACATAACATCTTTGTTTGATTCCGGGTTCCCTTTGTAGGCAAAACAAGAATAGACCCACTGCCTCTCCAGCAAGCATGTTGTAAGAGTCAACTAATTAGGAGCTTTCTTCAAAGTCAGAGTGCATCTGCCTGGGAGGCAGGAAACCAACAGTCTGCATACAAATAAGCAAGGTCTGTTAAATGGACGCACTCACAAAACTCAGGTCTCGAAACAAAGCTAAAGTCCAGAATGGACAAACAACCAGGTCTTTTCTGCTTGGTTTATAGCTGGTGAACACAAACATCTTTGTTGACACCTGGCTGTACATTTTACACAGCTGATTAGATGCTAAATATAAGACTCATGCAACAGATTTAAGAACTCATTTTAATCCCAATGAAAAACTGTTTAATACAATCAAAGACATTATAAAAGGATAAATTGCTAGATGCTTGTAATCGTGCTGGCTCTTCAAGTTCACCAGCTAACTCCAGCAAAATGTTATGGCTGCTTGTCCACCTTTTGGCCCACAATTTGAGTATTGCATGCACATCAGATTTACAGATCTTACATAATTGTATGAAGACGGCTGGTTCCTTGCCTCTCAGTCACATGTACTCCGACTTCCAAGAAAGCCAGCTCCCCAATTAGTCAACTTGTCACACCATCCTTGTTGGGGAAGGCAATGGGTCTATACAGGGCCCCATGCAGAATGAAAGGCAAATGTTTATTATACACCAAACAAACCTTGCTTGTAACTTGAAAAGCTATAGTGGTGTGATAAATGTGCACATGCCAATCTAGTAGTCCAGGATCAAGTCTTAACTGTGGCAAGACTGAATGTGAATTGTATTTTACAAGTATGACCCGATCGACCAAACCAGCCTCCTTAAATAGTTGACAGTTGACCTCCAGCGTGGGTTTTGGGGCCCAATTTTGACAGTTACACACACACACCACACAAAAAAAACCTACTGCCCTATAAAAAGCATGTCACAAGTCTACTATTTAGGGGTGTTTTCTTCCAAGATGAGATGAGGAACCAACAGTCTGCACATAAATGGTCCACATCGGTAAAAATGGATCTACACACAAGATCGAAGCCCAAAAGTGGTCAAACAACCAGAACTTTCTGTCACAGTTTACAGCCGTGAATGCCAAAAAGACGACGAAAACTTTTTTTTAAAACGGATGTTCCAGACCAGGTTAATAGTGCTAAATTTTCATATTTCAACTGGCACTCAGCGAGTGATGTGGACACCATGCTGACCACCTTTACTTCTCAAAATATTGCCTGGTACCCATTAAGTGTGGGTCCAACTGGGAGCCAAGATATACAGTTGAGTCTGGATAAGTAGAAGTTGCAGGGACCTAAGAAAATGCTTCCACTAATCAGGATTTCTACTTATCCAGACAGTAGACACAATAGAGAAAATTCCCGGGACTAAGCTGGTCATGTCGACTTGACCGAAATTCAACTTATCCGAGTTCTTAAGTGGAATTTGACTATATTTTTAAATATTTTTTAAATTTTATAGTTAACTTTACAAACACCTTCAGGAGAAAATAATGCTTTCCGTCAGCAAAGTGTTTCTGGTAACAAATAAATATTCACCTTATAAAAAAAAAAAAAAAAACGTTTTTACAAAGGTCATACAGAGAACAAATTACATTCCAGAAGGACCTTACCGGGGGAAAAAATACAATTTGCAATGGTCACGCACAAAATGATTTCATTAGCGTGGATTGTGTGGCATCTCAGGCAACAGGATTAAAAAGAACATTCTGGAAATAATGTCTCCAATGCATTAACACAAACTAAATTTTACTGTATTTGTTAAAAAATGTGATCTGGTCTATTTTTAGGAAAATGAGCTGCTTTAACTACAGCAAAACTGGGATATACACAGAGATAACATAAATCTTAGATGATGTTGCAACTATAAAGCCATCAAATGTATATGCAACAAAACAACATGTACATGAACAATTTAAGTGCTCGACTGGTAAGTACAGAATAAAATATCCCGACTTACAACCAATCAGCTGAAGCTACCAATAGCACTCACTTTCATGGTTACGCACTTTCTTAACTGTGTAGCCGGTGCCCAATTTTTTTTATTAATCTGCTAAGGACAGATTGACTGGCACCGTTTCCTCTTTCCAGACAGTGTTATACTGCTCTACGAGGAGGCATGGAACTAGCAGCCCATGGTGATGGCGTGTGTGACTAGCAAGACATGCCCATATAAAAAAAAAAAAAAAAAATCTTCCACAATTATAGCATGTGATTTCAGGATCGCTGTTGTCAACATTCGTGTTAAGACTGTTTCTTCTCAGACCCTCAGCCTTTCTGCAATAGTTTCTTCCTTCATTCTCTTCCTGGTATGCCCCCTCTACGCAACAGGAATACCGTATCATGTCATATTTGCACACATCTGTATGCCATGGTAGAGGTCGGCCTCAACATCATCGATCCTGTCTTTTACCATAGAGGATGTCCCTAGGGACTCTGCCATACTCAATGTGTGACCAAGCCTTTGTAGGCTGAGCATTGCTGATAAAGACAAGCTGCATTAGCCATTTGTGGTCATGCTTCTAATTTTGACAGGCATCTCTTCTGATTGCCTTTCTAACCCATTACTGTTGCCACTCTGCCTGAAAATTTCTCTACCTGCTTTCGAAGTGACAGGTTTCCTGATGCAACTCTACCCGGAAGGTGGCAGAATTTTCTTCTTGATGCAGTTCTGCCTACAAAGCAGAAGGTCTTTGTCTCTTGTCTTATTTCTGAGAGATTACAGGTAGCAATGCTGCCATTTGTGTAAATCTTGCAGCCATAAGTATCTCTAATGCTGCCAGGTAAAAACGACAGCTGTTCTAACTCAGCTTTTCTGTTTTCCAGGGTCTCCTTTCCGCTTAGTCAGCAACTGTGGCTTATGTACTGTGAACGCATTTTGTAATTCCAAGGTACCGGGTTCAATTTCAGCAGGGCAATTTGGCAGCACTGATTCCGACAATGGCACTGACTTATAGAAATGTAAAAACTGCCTGGTTAAACCAAGCAACCCCAAAATAGTGAGGTTGGATATGCAACTTATTTAAGTCTGCAAGATGCCACAAACAGCAACATATTGCTCCATATGTCATTAAAGATTCAGCTGTATAAATACTTGTATTTTACTCTGTGAAATGCCTTGGACAGATCAACTTGCTAGTTTGGTCTGAAATTGTCAAAGTGCTTGCTTGCTCTGTCCATAATACAGAAAGTCACAGTTCATGTGTGCCTAATCTTTCCACTTTTTTTAAAACTAAGTGTGAAATTTAATTAAAACTAGTTAAAACAAACAAAATATCACCCCTTTCAAATCTGAAGCCATTTTTCCTTGTGAATCCTAACTACTAGGTATGTATATAATCAGATACCTTAGTAGACACGTTGCTTGTACGGTTGACAAGCTAACAATTCATTTTTCTTATCATTCACTACCGCTGCAGGTTTCCCATGTCAAGAGCAGTCAGGCCAGATGCAAGATAAACACAATGTGACGTCACCTAATGACAATGCATCTGTCTACTTCTCTGGAAAAGTTTAGTTAAAACTATTCAGACATTGCGCAACCTCACCACTGTTCTGCACACACAAAATATTTCATCCCAGCAAAACTGCTTTTTAAAACTGCCTGTTGGACTAAAATGAAAAGTAACCCTGTGTCACTGGGCACCAAACCATCAGGTTAGTCTTATCTGTGGGGCAGGGGTCCAAATGAACTATAACGTAAATTTTAGTGACACATAGACTGTTCTTTTGATCAAGGTTTCTAGTTATATTTCCAACCCCAGTGGAGGACACAAGGTTTACCAGTTGTTAACTCCAGCGGACAGTTCAGGTTGTTTGTGCACTTACTGTCTTCAGCCTTGTTCCAGATCTTGAGTTTGCAAATCTATTTTACTTTTATTTGGATGCAGTCTGTTGTTCGCTTTACAGGCAGTTGCACTCTGAAGGAAACACAGTTAATCTTTACATTTTTATTAAGGGGCAGTGGTCTGTCCTCTTCTCCCCGAATGGGGCCACAGAATCCACAAGGCTGAGTTCACAATCAAAAAAAAAATTTTTTTTTTTAAATGAAGACTGACCTGAGATTGTATCTGGCACATTACTTGTTGCTCTTTTTTAGTGACAGACAGCTTGAGTTTATGTGCTCCTATCCAAAATGATTGTGATTTAAACCAGGGAAAGTCAACATTTTCTTTGGTGCGCATACCAAATGGGCAGGGGCATAAAGAAAACTTCCACTATAAAGATAAAACCGAATTTATTTGCAATATTTTTGTGGGATAATATAACACCTTGTGTAAACACTCTTTTGATCTGTAAACTTGCTGTCAGAGAAAAATAAGTCATAGCCTAAAATTTTCTCACGCAGACATACGCTGTCTCCTAATGTCCAAATTTTTCTGCAACAAGTTTCACTAGCAGGATACAAGATTTGGCAAGTTTCTGTTTATCAATCGGTTTGGTTTAAACAACGATCAACACCATGGCACACAAGTAGTAAGTAACACATAAGTGCTCCGTTTTTACTTCTAACTCAAGCCTGAAGAATCTCAGCACAGTGCACGAGCTCAGTAGCACTGGCGAGGATTCTGGAAAACTTTGGTCAGATTTTAAACTCCAAATTTTTCCCAGGCGGCGCCGTCAGGCCACTCTTTTCCATTTCCAGCTGCGGAGGAATTTTTTATGTGGGTGAAAATACATGTGGCCGTCTGATCTTACTACCCAGAGACCCGGGGAGACTTCTAGAAGTCGACGTGAAAAAAATCCCAGCTTTCACCCCCGGTCCTCTAGCCCCAGAGGTGTCTAGGTTATACATTTTTTCTTCATGTGAACATATGATTTGTGCTTCATGAGTTTCGTGTGCAGTTTAGATATATAGACTTCGAAAGAAGTCCCCAATTAGCCGACTCTTACGACATGCTTGTTGGGGAGGCAATGGGTCTATTCTTGTTTTCCCTGGGACCTAGGGGAATGGTAAGCTCAAGGGTCAGATAATATACGTATAGAGGTAGCAATTTCACACCAGCCTAGTAGGGGGGTAAAGACTGTTGGAAGAGCCAGTTTTAGCCCACCTCAAGCTTTCAACTAATAACAGCTGCTTCTAAAGGAGTTCAAAGAATAAATCTTTTGAAGGATTAAACTGAAAAAAAAGATAGCGTAACAAATGGGATTTGGTAAAAATCATAGCAATTTGTAAGACAGCCAGCCTGTTATGAAAGCATGCCTTTGGGGGAACAGGATACTATAGGCTATGTAGCATGGAAAGGGGAATCAGAAAGGGAATGATTGCATATAGATTAGTAACTCAGGAACAATTTAAATGCATGCGATAGAAAAAATCTAAGTCACTCCTCTTCTACCTTTGGGTGTAGAGGTATGCAGAGAAAGAGACTGCCATAGACACCTCTACAAGGACTGAAATCCCATGCTCCTAATTTGAAAGCTGAGTTTGCTTTCATTGATGTAGGGCATATAAAATAACCAGAAGTCAATGCTGAATTGACGACATTCAAGGGACGACAAGAACTTCAGGTAAAAAAAAGGCACTGCAAGGCAAGAGAACTTATGCACCTGTCTGGTGTGCAATGAGGATGATCTATCGATTAACTTTCTCAACCAGCGCACGTCTGGCTAGTCACACTGGATATAGCAAATTTCTGGGGAGATTGAGGAGTACCAGCAACATCGAGCAAAGGGAAATCAATGGCTGCACAGTGAGCCAGGACTGTCATGGCTGAAAGTCTACTAAGGGAAATCACAAAGGGCAAAATTCTTGGCAAGTAATAAACTAACATTGTCAAAAACTAGCATATATACTGGACTGAAGCCAGCAAATACAGATAACACTGTCAAAGGAAAATAAACGAATTCGTAGGCTGAAACATTTTTTTAGCAATCACTGTGGCTAAGCCATTTGCCTTGTGCTCTAAAGGCTGTGGGTTTATTTCAGGCTGTATCTTTCAGATTGTGAGTGCATTTTCACTGAGACTTCTGGGGATTGCCATAGCTAGTGCTCAAGCTCTGTGTGGCGATCTTGGCAGGCGCCTGCCTAGGTATTCTGCTGAGTGACGGAGTCATCTGGGATTAAAAGCTGAAGTTTATCCTCTCGAATGCATTTTAAACAAAACTTTCTACTGCAGCTTAGTCCAGGCATTAACTATATAGCCCTATCTGGAATTCCTGTTCATTTAATGTAAGTGCTTATTTTAAAAGTTAAAGTCTGGATACAATTCATAGCTACCATATACTCACCGTAAGATATGCCAACATGTCTGTAACTGAGCATTCAAAGATGTTCGACAAATGATGCCCTAAGGCTCACACACGTTAAATATCTCAATCCATTTCAAGTTTATAAGAGTGAAACAAATGCTCTATTTAGTGTGATGAATAGTATATTTATGCTAGATAAAATGTAAAATTTTTTTTAGGTATGTATTACACTACCTATGAAACAGCACATGATCAAATCTGAGAAACACTGGCCCAAACTAGTTTTATTTAATATGTTTATCGTCCAAAGGGGCAGAGTATGAAGACGAGGAGGGGAGGGCGGTCATCAGTCTGATGATTAAAGGCTGTATGTACAGCTAGTGCAAAAGACCAGCTGCGCTGATCCGCTTAAGATCATATCCTTAATGTTTACACTATGAGACTAACTTTTGTGAAAAAAGATCAGTTCTGATATGGATGCTGTCTTTCATACCATGATTAAATGGTGACAAGAATAGCTCAAATAGGTATACCTTGTAAGTTTCTCTGCTAATAAATCAGTTAATAAACATTCAATATGTCTTGATACTGGCCTTTTTCAAAGAAATTTATTTTTGCTCTCAACTACATTTTTCAGCATTATATAAAAATCCCATTTCTGCAGTCATATTTGTTCCATGTTTTGTAAGCAAATTATGGATTCACAGCAATTTAAAATTAGCTAATTGTTACCCGGCACATCTGAATTTTATACAGTAGTTTTTGCTACTTATATATTGTATTTTCTGTGATGTATCCACCCGATTTAATCCTATCCATGTTCCGAGTACATGAATCTGTATTACAACTTGAATAAACTTGACTGTTTCGAAGTATATCTTGGATCATGTATCCTCATAGGGTCTCCTACGTTTAGAAAACCAAACTGCCAAAACTACATAGACATGGCCATTATGCAAGCACCAATAGAAAATGGCCTCAGAAAAAAGTTCCTGGCGGAAAGTTTTGTTCCAATAAAATCTAGTCACGTGAAACTCAGGATTCTAGACCTAGTTAAACATGTTCAATATGAGCATTACACGCCAGATAAGACATGATAAATGTCTCCAAAATGGCATTATTTGTGGTAACAATTTCAAAGCTTGAATTTACAAGTGTTTACATCGTACCAAGCATTGAAAGATTCAATTATGACAGCTGCCTGTAGTTTGTCCGAGAGATCAACAACATGTGGCCATTCCTAACAGACAAAGCTTGAGGGAAACCTAAAGAGTCTCCAAGCTGACATTCCAGTTTATGGCCCGTAGTGCAATACCAGAGATTGGGTTTGTATCCTGGCAGAACCGTCTTTCTTTAAAAATGACCTTAGCCCCTGGGTTGACTCAGTCTTTAGTGGGTACCAGGTGCAGTCTTGGGAAGTGAAGGCAGCCAGCATGTTGTTGACCACATCACCTATCAAATTCCAGTGGTCTATAAAATATAGATATCTAGCCCTATATGCCTGAAGATGTGGAACAGGACCCTTTACTATTTTTATTTTTTACCTACCAGAGACCCCACAAGAGATGTTACACCAGTAGTTTAAAGCCCTGGCACCAATTTTAGCATAACAGGATATTACAAGTTTAAATGCACCCAATTTCAAAATTGCTTGATGTCCACCTAAACCTTTCTTGCACCTCCAGGCTGAAAACCATTGTTACATGGACAACAGTGCAAATCCCTAATATTTCAGAACAGAATATTCCCTTTATTTCTTGTTCTGCATTTATCCTTATAGGGGTGGTTGGTGGGAACCCTGTTTATTGACTTTCACAGCATGCTTGTTAGAAAGTAGTGCATCTTTCTCTCCCCCAAACTGGGTCCTAGAACCCTGTTTTTTAATACTTGGTTCTGCTTATAAGTCTAGTTGGATCCATCCTGATTAATTGCTATCCTTGGCCACTACAAAATTGCGCTATTTTTTGTTTATTATCGTAACCAAAAAAAATTTTCAGTTGTGTTTATCCCGATTTATCCTGCTTAAACTAAAATAAAAATGTATCCTTAACCTGTATAATTTAATTTCCTTTTACATGTGGTATTTTAAAGAAAGCTTGGGGGCAGGATGTTCAAAACTAAATCATTTTTGTCCTTTTAAATATGGTGCATTACATACCTGTATTTGAAGTAATATAATAAACTAGTGACTCCAAATAAAATAAAGCATATTCTATTCTATGTAATGAATTTTAAACTGATTTATATAAAACTGCAGCTGAAACAACCTACTTTATATATTACTGAGATTAAATAACAACAAAGTTACCATTTAATTATATTTATTGTCCAGAGAATAGGACAACTGTGTGGTGCTCAAAACCTACATTACTGCCATGTGTGAGTTAGGAAACCTGTACGCCAGAACAGCAGCTGAAGTTATGCAGCAACAGGCTTTCTTTTGCAACGGCTTCTGCGGGCTGGCCAGGTTAAATGTAGCTGTCAGAACTGCACCCCAACTGACTGCAAACAGCACCAGCATCGGACTGCAACTACCAACAGCACAGGACTGCAACTACCGCCAGCATCGGACTGCAACTACATAACCATCGCAGACTGCCAGCCGGATTAGCCACACATCTACTGCATGCTGTCTCCAGCACCATTCACGCCACCCCGCAGCAACCTGCTAACAGTCACGACTGACAGCGGCCTCTGCACTGCACAGCAACAGCATCAATCACCGACTGCTTCAGCCATTAAATACCCCTCCTTACCAGCTCCTACAATAACAGGGAGATAAAAAGAGATTGGGGTTAATATGCACTTTTATTTTCATGTGAAGCAATGATTGATGATGAGTTAGAATCTGCAGTAACTAGTGAAATATGGTTCTTTTAAACAGGTTTTGTTCTTTATTAATGAGACCTAAACAGACAACAAATTATTGTAACAATGTGGCAATAACAAATTGTTTCTGTTGTATGGTTAAACTAATGATCAGGTATACATTTTTACAATGAAACAATGCAAAGACATTCAATGTTTGTAACTTTAAAAAACCAAGTGGATATTTACAACATACTAAAAGTTCATTATTCTGACAAGCACCTTTTTTTCAGTCAAAAGCAGATGTGCCCTGCAGAAAAATGGTTGCCGGTGACTCTTGATACCACAGGAACGTCAACACAATCGACATCAAATTCAGTCAGAGGCTTCTGCTCCATCCTTCTCAAAGGACCTTGAACGGCTGCGAGAGGCGACTGCTTTGCCCCGACTCCTACTGCGAGATCTGCTGGCTGAGCGACTGCGAGAATGACTTCCACCAGATCGGCTTCTAGAACGTCTGCTGCGTCTTCTGGGTGATCGGGATCGAGATCTAGGGGGAAAAACCACAATAAAGTTAAAAAAGACTTAAATTTATATTTGTTACTTTTCACTAAAACATGAGCATGAGAAACATAGAAGCTTATTTTATTCTCACTGTTTTAACTGTGGTTAAACAGGCCTGACTTTTTTTTAAAGCAGAAATTCCATTACATTTTAAATACCTTAGCAGAATCTTAAATAGGCTCAGGGTTTACACTCAGCTATTTAACATCTATACAAAAGCACCTACAGACTGTGTATATGTCGATGTGAATAGGCAAACGACAGAAGAAATACACCCCACCCCCAGCAGCAAAGCAGTCTGCTGCCAGAATGGTGGCCTTAATTAAAACACCAACTAAACCTAAACTATGAAACCAGGAAACAGCATGGAGAGTAAGAGCAGCTGATGTCAAATGCTTTGTTCAACCAAGACTCTATTGGTCTTACTTAATGAGGACAGCACCCTATGCTAAACACTCACAAAGACATGAAGTATACAATGTTTCTATGTTTAAATACTCTATTCAAGGTGGTTGACAAGATTTGTATGGTAGGTTTCTTTATGTTTATATACATTATTCAGAGTGGCTGAGAGGACAAAAGAATTGTATGTGTTTCTATATGTTCATATACTCTATTATAGGAGGAAGATATGTATAGTCTATGTTTATATACTTTACTCATACTGGCTGGGAAAAGAGACGAATTGTATTCAAATGTTTTCGCTCATCCCTGGGATGAAACTGGATGTTTTGTCTGACTATAGCACAGTATATGTTCGCATTTATTGGCTGATAAGGTTTTTCTGAGTGTTCAATGAGTGTGAACTAAAGTCATTTCTGAAGTTCAGAATAGTGTTTCTGCTTTGTTTTAATTTAAAATGTAATACACTTTATAAAAGGAATTTTTTCCAGATCAAATGATAAGGGAAAAGGTCTAGAACTGCTCATACTACTCTGACATTGATGAATCTCAGCCAGATAGTGAAAATAGTCTTCATATTATTAATGATAATTCATTTGCCAAACCTACTGTCGATAACAGGTACAAGTTGAACAAAATATTGCAAAGCAGATGTTTTGATCAGCTGTTTTCCCAATTTCGGTTGTGAAATCTTACATGTCATACAATAATGGTTAGTGTATGTTGTCCATCAAGATGATGACCACCCTTTTTCATCAAGTATAAATACGAAGATGACTGATGAGGCCGATGCGGGCCCTAAAAGTTCTTGGACAGTGAGGACAGGGAATGAGCGTTGTGCCAGGGAGGATCTCCTGCAGTCGCCTTTCTGCCCATTCTTTTCGTATTAGGAAAAAATAATGGTCATACCAAAACATCAAAAGCCCTGAACTGAAATGTTTCAAATAAAGACAAGTTGATACATAATTTAACAAAAAGGGCATGTGAATTCTTAGAAACAGAGTAGTAGTGTTGAACAAGTAAAAAGTAAGGTAAGCACGTTTTCTGTAAATAATCATTTGTGTCTATCATCCTTGATTGCTATCATACAAATACTGCCATTTAAATAGTTTTATTCTGCACTCATTTTCTGTTTTGAAATGTATCTATACAGCCAAAAAAAAATTCTTTAGGAGTGTTTTCATGTTGTAGTAAAAAAAATTATGGCTTTCCTCCTAATAACAGTCCCAAAGTATCAAGGCTAAGAAAATACAGGGCCTCAGTCATGTGCACCTCTTTCTCCTGGCGACGGCTGTCCTCTGAATAACAGTCCAAAATTATTGAGGCTAAAAATATACCATAATAGAGCCTCAGTCACATGTCAATTGCGGGCTTCCAGGGACTATACGGCCAAGAGTATCTCCCACGCCGCTAAGTGTGGTGTGGATTAGGGCTAAACTAGATGGCTGGGACTCAAAAGCAAATAAAAAAAAGGAAGCTGCAGGAGATGCAGTAGCTGCTGCTCGTGAGTCCCAGCCATCTAGTTCAAACCTAATCCGCGCTGCGTGTAGCGGAGCCGCTGAGATACTCTCTGCGGTGGCAGAAGTCGCCAGAAGTACGCAATTTAAGTCGCCGGAAGTGTGCAATTGACGTGTGACTGAGGTCCTGTTAGGGTATATTTTCGGCCTTGATAATTTGGGACAGTTATTCGGAGGATAGCCCTGGTGACAATACCACCACCGCCAAGAGTATTCCAACACTTACGCTAGGCTACGAAAATACCATAACAGGGCCTTAGTCATATGTAAATTGTGGACCTCTTTTCGGCCACTATACCGCATACGCCGAAGAAGCTTCCGCCAAGTTAAACTCACTGCGCGCGTCACGGCGATGGGCTTAACTAGATGGGTGGGACTCCGCAAATATAATAAAGGAAGCTGCAGAAGCTGCTGCTCGTGAGTCCCAGCCATCTAGTTTAGCCCCCAGACGTGACGCGCGCAGTGAGTTTAACTTGGTGGAAGCTTCTCTATGCGGTATAGTGGCCGGAAAGTGGTCCACAATTTACATATGACTGAGGCCCTGTTATGGTATTTTCTTAGCCTTGATTATTTGGGACCGTTATTTGGAGGATAGCCAAAATTCAGTTTAAACCCCAGAAAAAAATATCCTGAGAGAGTTAAGATGATGAAATACGTAGTGAGTAGGTACTACGTTTTCTTCGATCGATCGGGCACTTCCGGAAACGGAACGGGCTGGGTTGCTACCCATAACAATGTCCGTAAGTTGTCGGTGAATTTTTTCACGATGATGATTCGTTATACACATTCGGGAAACCTCGGGGATTCCGACGAGCTATATATAGCCCAAGTCAAAGCAAATTGGTTGACTTTCACATTCCTCGTGGTCTGAAAGCATTTGATCGTGTTTTGCTACTGCCGATCGTGTTTGAATATATAGCGGTAAGTAGCCACATTATTTGATAGCGTTCAACGCATTTAAACGTAATATTCTTGTAATTATTCGATTCTCTGTCCAATTTAACTTTAGTTTGTAAAATTTTATTAGTATATTCTATGGGGGTGATTTGCAGTGGGATTTTCAAGATGCGATCCTGAAACCATCGTGGGTGAAGAAATTGGCGTCCATCTTGTTGCTTTAGAATAAGCCTTCAGCGTGTTTTAATTATCGGTAGTTATTTAATATACAGTTATTTTGTAGGCTCTTAAAACTGATTAAAACTGTGAAATGTATTTTTATCATCCATAATTAAGTCTATTTAGTCAGTTTACACCCAACGACGTGATAGGGGAGATATACAGAAATGGTTTTTAATTAAATCAGACTATCTGAGGCGAAAAAGGAAAAGGCCATTTTGTTACTTTTGTGGAAGGCGTTACTGCAGTTACCATAACAACAGTTAATAGATGTAAAAACAATGTAATTACTATTACAATATTACACCACCCCCCTCCCTTTTCCCATATGATGTTGCATACGCATATAATATGCTTATATAAATATTACTTTCTTACACAGCTCACCATGGAAAATAAAACAGCTTCTGATATGAGAGCATATCTGTCATCCTTTGAGCCAGAGTACCCAGTTAAGAAAGGCTATATAGCCCGACTGATTGTAAATGAGAAATTGACAACTGTAGATATTTGCAGGATGATCAAGGGCATGGTGCAGGTAGCTGAACCAGACAAGCAGATACATGAGGGGAGAGTGAAGGCGTGTATAAATGATATTAAAAGAAATGCTGCCAAAAAAATGAATTACACCAAGCAGTGGGCTGATCTCATCAGTTTTAACCAGCAGCCATTTTTTGTATCCTTTTTGTCTGGAGAATCATTAAGTTCTTCTTCTGCAACATCTACATCAGTTGTGCAGCCTGACCATACATGTGCACCACTCATACAAACTGATCATTCATCCCCACCACTAATTCAGCCAACTGATCATTCATCCCCACCACTCACACCTGTGACACCAGCTGACCATACAACTGATCATGCGCAACACACTTCTGCAACACCATGGATTGACGAGTTACCCTTTAACTCCATTCATAATCATAATGTTTCATTTTCTGTTTCACTGATCTCCAGGTCACCATCACCAAAGCGTTTAAAAAAAGACTGTGACAACTGTGTAGCTAAGCAACGGACAAGTCTGAACATGCTGAAGGAGAACAGGCACTTGCGTTTGCAGATAAGAGCACTTAGAATTCGACATAGAGAGGAAAAGAAACAGATGTCACTGAAAACATTGAATTTGACAATAAAGAGGAAATCGGCATCAGCTGAACTTTGGAGAGTCAAACATTCAAATTTGAACAAACAGTTCCAAGAACAGGAAATGCGGCACAGGAAAAAGGAAATGTCAATTAAAGCAAAACACGAGGAAGAAATAAAGGAACTGACAATTGCCAAAGGAATATTAGAAAGCAAACTGAAGCAATCTGAGAAAAAAATCACTGATTTGGAAAAGAGGAACAAGCAATCGAAAGAACAGTTTTGTGAAATCCAAAAGAAGATTAGCAGTGAATTAGACTATGTAAAAACCAGACTGCAAGAGGAGACAGATCGAAGTAAATACTGGGAAAACGAAGCAGTGGAACAGGCAGATTCTAAGGAAGACAGTGAAGACAGTGACAACATTGTTACAACAAAAGAGGCAGGGAAGTATGATTATAGATTTAGGCAGTGTGTTTATGACTTTTTAATGTGTAATGTTAGTGTTGGGAATATTTCTCGTTTGTTGTCTTCTGTTGCAGGGATAATTTTTGGTAAAGTTTTTTCTCAGATTCCATGTGTGACTACAATAGCACAGATGGCTTACGAACTCGGGGTGCTTGCTAGCATTCAAGCTGGCCAGATGCTGCACGAGTGCGATCTCATCACATTAGCCTGGGATTCCACAACAAAGGCAGGTATACATTATAACGAAGTTCATGTGTCCCTCAAAACAATACTAGGTAGGCAATCATTAACTCTCAATATTAGACCCATTTCAGGTTCATCAGCAGAGGAGCTGTACCAGCATGCAATGGAAGCCTTATCTGATGTCTGCGAGATCTACTGTGCCGCCTTCCAGTTACCCGCAACAGCCATCCTGGAAGAAGTGAAAAGCAAACTGCACAGCACCATGAGCGACAGAGCTGCTGCAAACCACCGAGTATCTGAACGACTCAAAGAGGACTGTGGAGACGGAGACGTGGCCGATTTAAAATGTATGGTGCACCCATTAGACGGCCTTGCCAGATCAGCTCGTGAAGCTCTGCGTAAGCTGGATACTAAGACAGACCAAGATGGTCAGAAATCCTCCTTGGGCTGCCGGGCCGCAACACTGATTCATCAAGTATCCAAACTGAGGTAATGTTTAGTCAGTTTTTATCATTGTGTAGCAAGTCCTGTCTCATGACATCTATTTTATATCATTTTTTTCATGTCTGTGGCAGATTATTCAACATACATGTATTTGGCAGTTTGACAACAGGTAGATATATCATCATATATGGAGCGTAGTGATAATCTGGAAATCATACTAAAAATAATGTAATTTTCATTTTAATGCCTGCAGTAAATCACATAATCATGCACATAACAAGACGTTTTTAATTTTTTTTCCCAGGTACAAAGATGGGTCTGGTGATCCAGCTGCATTCACAGCCTTTTTGAAGACGAAGAATATCAATCCCGGTATCTTCAAACGCTATGTTGGGAACCGTTTGAATGTCATGTTCAGTATGGCAGCGGTGATATACCTGCATCGAGTCCAGCTGACAGAGTTTGTAAAATGCAGGCTGGGAAAGTTTGTGTGCGCAAAAATTTATGAAGGCCTGACTGATCCGAGTGTCCTTCTACACTTGCAAGTAATGGGCATGTACTCCCGCTTCCTCACAGGACCATGGATGCAGATATTTTACTCAAAGGAGGATGGAAGAGGACACTTCGAAGCAGTAAGAATTTGCTTGTGGTTAATTTTTTTGTCGGCCCCTCGCTGGGGGCTAGTTGGATGATACAATTTGTTTGTCTTGCTTCAGTTTTTGTCTTGATTCAGCAATCTTTCCCTCTGTCCTAGTGTTTTCATATGATTTGCTTATTTTACAGGTTTATTAGGGTACTAGTGTAGATGTGTATTGTTATAAAAAAAATTTTTTAACAATATTTTCTTTATCACTCTTTTCAACCAGGTAAAAGAGATAACATCATGTCTTGGCCATCTCACGTCAGTGGAGAAGACTCCGGAATACTTGATCCATGCTGTAACTGATGCGTTTGACAGGGACATGGAGGAGTCTGAGTTAACCAAGCTTCACCATTCTACTAAAGATTACAGTATAGTAGCAAAAAATGTATCATCTGCGTTTATTAAAACATTGCAACAGCAGTTTAAGCCATATTTTGCAGGGGCCTTGTCTAATCCATCTGAAGAAATGATAGCAAGGACATCTTCCGCCCCGGTCATAATATGGAGGCTGAAAGAATTATGGCAATGTTGGATAGAGCTTTGCAAAGAGCCCCAAATGCCTCCATAGGATTTATTGATGCTAAAATAAAGGCTGTGCAAAACAAAACTTTGCACTGGCTACAGTCATTTGATGACGACTACCAAAACTTTTTGGTCCGTTTTGCAATCCGTTATGGGTCTAAAGTGAGGCAGCATCAAGCTGAGCAACAGAAGAAAAGACAGCAGAAAGATGTCCAGAGGTTAGACAAGACACAAAGAGATGTACATGAAAAACGATTATCAGACTTTGTGCGTACAGAGTCAGTGTTGTCAGTTCTCGACCTAGAGCTATTTAAAGATGTAGAGTTGAACACAAAGGAGAAGTTGAAAAATATTCTCAACAACGCTAATGCACTGCCAGGTGTGTTACTGCGACACGTCTGGTATGAAGAAGGAGTAGACACTGTCTATATTGAAATGGTAAAGAGCGTGAAAGAAAAAGACAGCCTGAAGACAGTAATAGAGCTGTATTACTGGAAGGAAGATGAAGGACCAACAGATGCCACCTTCAAGATGACTATGACAGAATTTCTGGTAGACTTTGCCACAAAAGAACTGGCATTTTATGAAGATTAAAAATAAAACATAAGTACTTTAAAAAAGAAAACCGATTTAGAAATCATAGAATATTTTTAAAATAATCAAAACCTTATTTTTGGAACATACAAATTTATATCAGAATTGTAATTTTATTATAAAGCTGTCTCAAAGTTTTATTTTAGTTGACGCTCAGTAAAGATAAAGGCTTCTAAGAGTGCAAGTCATCATCACGCTCGCTTGTCAGCCCAATCGACAGCAGCTTTCGTCGGCAGTCAAACACAGACTAATGGACATGGTGAGTAGCTATAACGACATGTTTAATTGTTTAAACAAAATGTAATACTTTATAATAATCATTACATACCATCTGGGACGTATGAACATATATCAGCTGTGAATAGATTTCAAACCCTCTTTTTTCAGGTGTATATTTTGCAATTTTAATTGAACTATTTTCTGAAAACCCCACTTAATCATGTGCTAATAGTTACATTCCTTCTTTAAGAGCCAAGGTAAACAATGTAAACCCAGTGAAAACTTGATCATTACAGACAGACGTGTGAGTTGCTTTGTGGGCACTCCAACCAGAAAGGAATGTGGATACATGCAGGATTTGTTTGAAAAAAAAAAACATGAAATTATTGGCTTTTGACGATTGCATATCTTAGCTGTCACAACACATACACAATACTGACAATGGTAATCTTTTTTTTTCAAATCTGTTTTGCTAAGTGCATTTTTTAAATTGTCTACTATTATATGTGTATGTTAATTACTTTTTTTTTTTTTTTTGTGTTTTAGATTGGCATTGGATAGCAGAAGCAAATGATGTAATCCTTATGCTGGGATATGAAATCTTTCTAAAGTACCGGAGAGTTTTGGGGAAATGCCTTTATGGTCTCATAACTCGGTGAAGGGAAAATCCCAACTGCAGTTCTGCGCGGTAGAGGATGGGCAAACACAGCTCTGGGGACCGAGTATCCACCGGAATAAGTGGACAACTCTGCACTTAAGCAGAGCAGGGCACTCACTTGTCCTGACAGTCAAAAATTGCTGTCAAAGGTAGAGGTAAAAGAACCCCCATGTGGACGTGGAAGGCACTTTGACAGTATGCTTTATAAATAAAAATAATCAAATGTTGAAATAAACCACACAAATTGTTTGTTCATTTGTGATGACTGGATTATTCAGAGTGAGTCAAGGGGGAAAATGTCAGTGTACTTCAGATTTGTAAAGATGGTTTCGCTTACTTAGTGACAATGGTTATTTTTAGTTAATAATTAGTGGCCAAAATAACATAAAATAAGGGGGAGGGGAGAAGCACATGATACATCACCAGGACTAAGGGAAAAAAAATTCATCTGTTCCGAAATTTGATGGTGATTGTGAAAAAAAAAAAAAAAAATTTTTAAATTAATTAATTAATATAAATATTCAATAAGCGACCTAGTTCTAATTTGAGCTTGACATGTGCTTATGTCTTTAGCACATTTAAAGCTTTTTTTCTTTTTCCAATAAACGTACCAAGGAAAAAAAAAATGTAAAGACCGTTATAAAGTTTATAAGAACATATTGAGTAATGATTATGATAAATGGCGGCCATTTTGAATAATTATTAGTCAATTATTAGTTGATATTACGTAACTACTAAAAATTTCATCTTTATTCAGTTAGAGATTGTTGTCCCGAATCCAAAAATATATGGTTTCTAGGGTCTTTTTTAAATACTTTTTAAGTAAAAGCACTTTTTAAACACTCCTCTAAGACTTACGATTTTAAGGCGACAAGTTTTATCTCACTTTTATTTTTTCTTCTTTGTTCATTTTTTCCACAAAAACTTCAATAACTTGGCTTAGAATTGACATACAGGCATGAAAGAGGTACCGTTGGAAAGAGCTTTTCAATATGTATGCAGCTGTACTGGTTTTATAAGGAAAAAATGATTTTGAAAATTTGACTAAAGTGGCTACGTAGTGACACCGCTGAATTACAAATTACCACACTTAATAAAAGCAAACTAAACAAAGTATCTAAAGACGAACTTAGTATAAAAGTATTAGTAATTCAAAATTCAGCTAGCTTACCTTCCTCTTCTTCCGCCACCGCCGCCACCACTTCCACGGCGTGATGGTCCCCGTCTGTAAGGTTCCGATGGTCGACCATACCTCGCCATCTGACATCTCACTTCTCTGCCGTCGAGCAAAGCTCCATCCATTGAATCCATCGCGTCTTCGGCATCGCGTTTGTCATAAAAGCGAACGAAAGCAAATCCTCGGCTTTCTCTGGTGAATCTGTCTCTGGGAATATACACATCTCCAACGTCGCCATATTTTTCAAAAGCACGGCGCAAATCCTCCGGCGTCGTTCTGTACGTCAGATTATCAACTTTCAACGACACCATACCTTCAATGGTTGGTGGGCCTCTGCCATATCCTCCGCTCATTGTAGCTGTTGTGATATAAAATATAACGAATGTCTTTTAACTAGAATTAACAAATGGCTGCTTCTTGACTCTCTCTGACCGTCCACGCTAGGCTAGGCTTTCATTATTCAGGTCACCGGACGCGCTATATGGGCGTATTCGATACGGTAAATATGTTCGTTTGAGCCAATGAAAATTGGCGATACGGAACACACAGGAACTAGTTCAACTACTCGACTTCGTTCTTTTTCTTCCGCTTTCTCTCCTCCTCAGTCTCGTCCCCCCCCCCCTCCCCCCTATTTTCTTTATTTTAATATTTGTTAAATGTGTAAAACCTGCTATGGGAATTCATAAATTACATTGACGTTCTCTAAAGTGCATGAATGAAAATCAAATAGACCATCTCTGTATATATAACACGTGAAAGCTCTTTGGTGGACGTCCGAGCATTTAGTTAAGCAGAGGTTAAATCTTGAACTGAGAATCAACATCACAGCACTCGGGGCACTTTCTTAAGTGCTCTGTCCCCCATCTTCAGCAGCAAGCGAAGAGTTCCGATCGCCAAAATGTGGCAAAAGACCCTTCAGATCATACAGTTCACACCTTCAGATTACAGTAATCGTCCCATTTCTCATTCTTGACCTGCTTTGCGCACAGCTTGAAAGTCATCGTTGTCTTATTGACTTTATCTTTCTGGTCACTCATGAGCTCATACTGCGACGTGCTACTCTTCCTGACCTTCTGCCACACCTTGACGGCCTGCCTCTTTTCCAATCATGCCATGTTAACCTCTTCATCCCACCACTGTGGCTTTAGTCAATGTCTAAAGTTGACACTATCGCACACGGTTAATGTGAAGACTGCATTTCTGTCTCTGCTGAGAAAGCCCTGTATTTCTAAACTGGGGTCATGTTATGTTATCACAATCGACGTCTGTGTACACTGGGCATCCCCATGCGTTCTCAGTCCTCCCGTGCAGCAGCCACTCCAAGGCACCTCTACTCACTGTTGTCATGATGAGTTGGTTATAATTTCTCCTGTCTTACCTCGAAGACGACATAGATGTGCTTCAACAAGCCTCGTCACGCAGTCGTGTTAACGTTAAAAATTTACCGTTATTTCCCAACCTAGTCCGTACAGCGTTGATAATACCAACTCTGTCCATGCTTCTTCTAGTTTGCATTAGTGCATTGCTTGCCAGCTGGTCAGCTCTCTCATATCTAATTAGTCCTGCGTGCCCGGGTGTGTAAATCCAGAGGATGGAGGTTAACCAGGACCGTCGGTAGTACGGATGGTCCTGTCTCGACTTTCGAATGCTTTCTATCCACTTATGGCGTAGACTCTCTGAAACGATTTTCTGAAGCATGTCATTAAAATTGGGAGCCTGTTGAATGTTGAACGTTGAATGAGGCAAGAATCGACATCACAGCACGTAAGACACTCCCATAAATGCCCAGTCCCGATCTTCAGCAGCAAGCAAAGAGTTCAGATTCCGATGGTACCAGTCACCGTCTGGATGTATATCCGTCTCATCCTTCCCCTGAGTGTTAAGCGTCAGTCAGATCCCCTGGTAAATCTTCGCAGCAAGAATGATATCCTGAAAATAATTATCATTCATAGTGTTAGACAGATTATCTCTAACTGAATTTATAAGCTCCCTATCATTATGATCAGTTTGGGCTACAAATCTATTAAAAAATGCTTCCCCTTTCTCTTTGTCTGTTTTCATTGGAATACCATTATCAGAGTATATAAGCCCTGTTGTGATAGGTCGATCTTTCCTTTACATATGTCTGTCAGTTTACAAAACCTACCTAGTGTTTTATCGCCTCCAATTTCACTCATAAATTGTTACCATTTAGCCTTCTTTGCATCTGCTACACACCGCTTGAACTCTTCTACCTTTCTAATTTCTCTACATCTTCTTGTAACCTGTGAGGTGCCTTTCGCACTTTCTGTAATTGTTTAACTACTGCTCGCTTCGCTGTCCGTGTCTGTTCTACTTCTCGGGCTCAGCACGGAGGCTGCACAAACGCAGAGGTGGTAGTTCTGTTGCATACCTTATGTCGAAGGCGTCCAAGAAGTGTACTGGCCCTCTCATACTTAAAAGTCTTGCGAGTTCTCACAGCCCTGACCTTGCTAGCTTTAGAAATCAAGACTGAGCATGGCAGATGGGGGTCAGTTGATAGATTACATTATTGGCTTGTTGGATTCTTGTTGCAATCTCTACGCTGATTCTGGCACTATGTGTAAAATATTCCCAAGTATATAAAGTGTTCAGCTTGTTTTAAACTTTGGTCTTCAATCTTTATGCGGATTGTTTGATCTTATCTTGCTATACACGCCACTTCTGTCTGTTTTCCCCCCTGTTTATTTTCATATTATGTTTGAGGCAGCTGATGGTTTGTGTGGTACTGTAGATGATTAACTTGATTGTGGAATAGACATTGATCGTCGGCGAATAGGAGTTCGTTGAAATTGTCCTGTTCATACTCAGCTGGTGACATTTTGTTGATATTTTTAATGAATATGTGAACAAGCAAAAGAGATAAAACAATTTTCTCTTACTACTGATCTTACTGGAAACCAGTATGCAAGGCCAGCTCTTGTTCTGACGGCCCTTTTACTTTTCTATGTAAAGCGCTCTTATGAAGTTATAATAATGTTCATTTTATTCAAAAAATTTATAGGATTTTTGAAGTAATTCTTTGGTTACTTTATGTATGTATGTATGTTGTACCCCGCCAGGACATCACACAAGCAATAAATACCCGGTGACACAAAGTGCCTCCATGCGGATCACCCGTGGAGATGTCCCAGAAACCCCGTTCAGTCGTTAGGCAATATTTCAGACCAGGTTATATTTAGGGCCCCCGGCAAAAGCCAGAGTGGGGCTTCGAAATAATTAAAAATTGCATTTCACAAGAGGACGACAGGATAAATAACTGACTGACTTTCTACCCCACTAGGACATCACACAAGCGATAAACACCCGATGACACAAAGTGCCACCATGTGGATGAGGATCACCGTGGAGAGGTCCCAGAAACCGCGTTCAGCCATTAGGCTATATTTATGGCCTGGCTATATTGCGGCCCCTGGCAAGAGCCAGGGTAGGGCTTCAAATAACGAAAAATTTTATCCTAAAAAGGACGATGAATGAAGTGACAGGATAAATATATTTTCTCTCTTTTACAATGAAGGCAACATTTATTTTTGTATCCGTGTTCCATCGTCTTTTCGCAATTTTCTTAGGGCAAATATAGCATCAGTACATCCTCTTCCTCTTCTAAATCTAGCCTGTTCAGATTCGGCCCTTCAGAGGATTTTTTTCGTTGCACCAGAACCCTGACAAACATTTTAACAACGCTACTCAGAATAGAGATTCCTCTATATGTGTTAACAATCTTGCTTATTTTCCTTTCTTGTTCACGTCGGCACAGTGATGGCTCTGCCAATCATCCGATACAGCTCTTTGTAAAACATCGGTGATGTCGCTATATTGTGACATTTGAGATAAGACGAATATAGAACCAGCAAAACAGGGTCTGGAATCTGACATATAGGGATTAGGGAAACCAGGACGTCCAAGAGAAACCTAAGACGGACATTCAGAGATGCTGGATTGGACTCCATCCATGATATCGAACTGATTGCACAGGATAGAAGGGAATGAAGAACTAGTCGGTGAGCACTATGTGACGTACAATGTCACTTGGAAAGAGTAGAAGGATGTAAATCAAGAGGTAGACCAAGAACAAGATGGGAAGATAACATTATAGAAACTCTGCAACAGCACACTGTGACTATGGTCGAGGATAAGAAGAATTAAAGATCTGTTGCATGTGCTATTTTTTTAAAACCTTTTCTTCTTCTTCGTCTTTTGTACCTTTTGAAATACCACCTTCGCCTCTGAAATATCCTTTATATTTTCTTAAATGCCACCTTCGCCTGCCATATCCTGCATAAAATATTTTTTATTTTTTGAAATGCCACCTTCGCCTGCCATATCCTGCATAAAATATTTTTTATTTTTTGAAATGCCACCTTCGAGTGCCATATCCTACCTTTAATCTCTATCGCACAGTTTCCATCAGATGTTATCACTGTCCCCAAATAATTGAACTTGTTGACCTGATTAAGCACTTTCCCTTCTATTCTAATTTCACATTTTAGAGTTAGTTTTAGTTTCAGCTTTGTTACAATTATTCTTTCTGTCTTCTTTATATTTAAAAACGCCCTTCGTAATGCCCGGTTTGATCCCAGCTGCAGGCTATTTGACAGCAGACCGTCTTGCGTTGTTTTCGAAGTGTTATAGGGAGTCGACCGTTTAGAAAGCAATGGCAAACAAGAGCAATAAATACTGCGGTTGGTTCTGCAACATCATGTAAAGGATACACAATTAACTTTTCGGGCACTCTCAATAAGTATTATATTGAGCTTTGAGGAGGCATGAGACTCACAGCCTAAGGCGATGGCGAGTGTGACTAGCAAGACCCGCCCCCGTTAAGTACAGTCTTCTACACGTAAAGCATGGGATTTCAGGACTGCCGTTGTCAACATTTATTTTTAGTCTATTTCTTCTCAGACACTCAGCTCTCATCTTTCTGTGGTCATTTCTTCCTTTATTCTCATTCCCTTCCTAATGTGCCACCTTTCTACAACACGGTCCATGGCATTTTGTTCCCACGAGTCAACCTCAATGCCTGTATCGTTCATGTCCCTCTTTCTCCATCAATGTCAAAAAGTTGCTACACATCTTATGTGTTTTCAGCTATCAATACTGTGTCATCTGCATAGGTTGTTCCTAGAATAATCGTCAACTCGTAATCCTGGTCTGTCTTTTATTATTTCGTTATAATAGTGAGCGAGCGAGCGCTCGCGCGCAAGATAGAGATAGATAGATAGATAGATAGATAGATTAGATAGATAGATAGATAGATAGATAGATAGATAGATAGATAGATAGATAGATAGATAGATAGATAGATAGATAGATAGATAGATAGATAGATAGATAGATAGATAGATAGATAGATAGATAGATAGATAGATAGATAGATAGATAGATAGATAGATAGATAGATAGATAGATAGATAGATAGATAGATAGATAGATAGATAGATAGATAGATAGATAGATAGATAGATAGATAGATAGATAGATAGATAGATAGATAGATAGATAGATAGATAGATAGATAGATAGATAGATAGATAGATAGATAGATAGATAGATAGATAGATAGATAGATAGATAGATAGATAGATAGATAGATAGATAGATAGATAGATAGATTAGATATATAGATAGACAGAATAGATTAGATAGATTAGATAGATAGATAGATTAGATAGATAGATAGATAGATAGATTAGATAGATAGATAGATAGATAGATAGATAGATAGATAGATAGATAGATAGATAGATAGATAGATAGATAGATAGATAGATAGATAGATAGATAGATAGATAGATAGATAGATAGAGAGAGAGAGAGAGAGAGAGAGAGAGAGAGAGAGAGAGAGAGAGAGAGAGAGAGAGAGAGAAAGAATGAGAGAAAGCGAACTTGGCGTAAAACACATCTTTGTCTAATTCGTTGTTTTATGTGTTTATAACTGCCCACTATATTTCCTTATTTAATTGCTACTACTTATTTATATAAAGGCTTAGATAATATAATATTTTAAATGATTTCTTTTAATAAAAATTAAGCGGGCCTTTTATTTCTGTTATCTATGCACTTAAAAGGCCTATATATTTTAAAACAGTGATTCCCAAACACGAGTTTTTATTTGTTTTGATCTCTTACATACGAAAAGTGATTCTTTTACTTAGGTTAGGGCGCCGTGGAAAAATTTTAATTGAAAAAAGGCGCCGTGACTAAGAGAGTTTGGGAAACACTGTTGTAAAGTTTTCTTAGATAAGCTGGTGTAATTTAAATACTGTAGAGACCTCAGGGTAGTACGTAGCTTAGGGTTTCATAAGTCTAAATCTGGCACTGCCCCCGGACACACACATACACTCATTGTTGTTGTTCGGCCATCACAAGTGATGATGGCCAGTCCTTTCATCTAATGGTGACTGGGTTAGGTTTTATAAGTGCGCAAATGGCTGATAAGGCAAATCTAGCACTGAAAGTTACCGAGCAGTGCGGACAGGGAAAAGAAATCTCATCTCTCTGGTGATTTGCTTCAGTGTCTTTCCTCGCTTGTCTTGTCTGAATTGCTACTGCAGTTCTAGCAGCTTCATGGGCCACAGCTCCTCGATGAAGAGAGGAGCGCCAGGATGAGCCGTCACAGGCAGCGACTTCCCAGGTTTTAGGATCAATACAGAAGTCTTTCACTGAAGTCTTGAGGCTGTCCTTGAAACGTTTCTTCTGTCCACCTTGAGAGCGCTTTCCTTTAAGTAGCTCACCATAGAAAATTCCCTTTGGCATCCGGTGGTCAGGCATGCGAACTACATGACCTGCCCAGCGAAGTTGTGATTACTTTAGAATCGAGTAAATACTGGACAGTATTTACACATGCTCATACATACACGGATACTCCCAATTTGGGGTTCGATGTCCCACTGTTGGGGAGAAATGATTAGACCCGCTGACACCTTAGCATGCATGTAGTAAAAGCCGACTGTTTAGATGTTTTTTGTTTCGAAGTCTGAGTGCATCTGTCTGAGAGGTGAAGAACCAATCTGTCTGCAAAAAAAAAAAAAAAAAAAAAAAAAACGAGTTATGTAAAACTGACGTGTACGCTAAACTTCAGTTCTGAAACAAAAAAGTCCAGGAGTGGAGAACAGCCAGAGGTTCTTTTCTGTTATTTCACTACATCAGGACGGCTCCCAGATTTGTTAAGGTAATCCCTAGACCGTCCAAAAGTATAGGGGGGGGGGGTTAGGGCTAGTGTTTAATGAATAGCTACTACTATTAGGCCTAACCTACCCGTCCCAATACTGTGGGACGGTCTGAGGATTTCCATACCAAATCTTGAAGCCGGCGTGACGCGGTGAAAAAATAGAAAAGAACCCATGAAGAACTTTATGTCAGAGTTTACAGCCTGTGAACGCAAAAAAGAACTAGATACATACATGGTTGCACGAAAATGAGAATACGATTGCCTGCGCACCTCGGCACTGCACAGGACGATGGTAGAATTAAGAAGCATGGTCCAAGTATCGATACAAGCGCCGGGTCCTCATGGACGTGGCCCACCTGACGCATGCCTTATGGCGCGGTGATGTGCGCATGCGCTGATAGGATACAAATCATGTGACAATTTGTTCAAGATGGCGGATGGTTATTTTGACTTGCGCTTTTATAACATTATAGTTTTAGGTATTTCTTTTATGTTAATTTTTACAGCTTTCCAGACATGTTCTATGGTAGAGGTGAGTAGCAAATGTCGAGATTACAAATAAGTTTAAACTTAATAATATATGTTACAGTTAAGTCATGTCTCACTCTGGATACACGCCGTACGGTACTGGACTGGGCTACTGAGTGGGTACTGTAACTGTAACTGTCTTCGAGTCGAGTCGGATTTTGGGTTCATGTAATGTTTTCTCGGTTGATGAACTGCATTTTCATTTCTTCTGGTCCACAATCCACATTCTGTTTATATTAAATTACCTAGTCAAGAACGTTTTTCTTTTTCTAATTTCCCAATAAAATGTAGTCCGGTGTCTTTCTTTTCAGCTTTCTGCACAGTGCATCAAACTTCGTGTCGTGCAGAATTCCCACTGTTTATCTTGATCAACTGACTTTATTTTTGCAAGAGAGAGACAGAATTCTTAACATTTTTCATTCCCCCCCCTCTTTCTTTATTTTCTTTACTTTATTATTGCAGAGCTATTTTCTAAAACAAAAGGTGCTGGTACTAGCCACAAAGTGAAGTATCCATATACATATAGTGTCATTACTGTCTGTCTAGACACTTTTACTGAAAGTAATACATGTAGTATGTACTGCATGGGCAACTAATAATGAAAAGTTATGCATGACTGTGGTAGTCCTTTATGGGATATAAAGCAAAAGAAGAAATGATAAATACCATAAAAACTGTCTGTCAAAGCTAACTTAAGGTAAAGTTGGGAGATATGAACCAGCGTCATTGCACATGATTATAAACCATAAGTGCTCTGCCATCAGTACGGACAGCTGATAAGAAGCTGTCCACCTGTGTCACCATCTGCACATAACTCTGTAGCTAGAGCGCCATTCCTCCATTTACCCCAGAGTGTCACTCTGGTACCCATTTCCTATAGGCTGGGTGAACCCCATGAACCGCTCGGTTTTGAACGCCGACCGTGGCTGCAGTGAGTCGCAGCTGGATTTGTAAGCGAGCCTCCTGTTGACTGCGCTAATGCGGCCACCGCTGTCAAAGCTAACTTAGAAAACAAGAATCAGGAAAGAGTCAGATTTGCTGAATAAAAGACATACATGGGCTGTACATGTACGCAGACAGTTAAAGTAGCATCCTGTAACTTATTCATATGAATAAATAAACACAAAAGATGTAGAACCATTATTTTATTTTGTTAAACTGCATAAATCATTACAAATGTTATTACAAATTTCATTAAAACATTATCCTATTCTCAGAAAACTGTCCTAGACAGTGCAGCAAAAAATGAAAACTTCACTGGAAATGGTTATACAAGGTTAGTCCTTTGTTTAATTTTATTTAGTTTACATAGCCTCTGTAGTGAAATCATATATCCGTATTCGTATTCCTTAAGCAGAAAACTGCCATCGGAGGAGCAGCTGGCTGAATAGGTTAGAATGCTGGGCTCTGGCACTTTATATTAATTGATAAAGTAAATTCTTACAGAACATTGGGGAGCTTTGGTGGCTTAACAGCTAGATGCTCGCCTGCCAACCTGAAGTTTCTGCAATCAGATTTATATCATCTTGTTTCTTTTTCAAAAACTTTTTTCCCCCATCTCTGGCAGGTCAGCCAAGCCTAAAATAAGTACCAGGTAAAATCCAAGAAAGTAAAGGTGACCAACATGATATTGATCACATAATCCATCAAATAGCAGTTGATTTATAAAAATGTGAGTCTAGCATGGTATGCCTGATGCGCCGCTGGCACAAAGTTGGCAGAAAATAGATTGTGAAACAACCTGAGAAGAAATTACAATTAGTGTGTTACTGCTTGCTATTCTCATGTTAATAAAGCTTGAATAACTTTAATTTAATTATTATGCAAATTATGCAAATTACTAAAAAAAAAATACCTTAATTCTCAATTAGACCTGACTGATTACAAAGTACAATAGCAAAAATAACTTTTTTGAAAATGATTTGTTTTCCTTCCTGATGTTTCTCCCCCACAGTGTTGTAGAGAAATATGTGTTTTAATGACCCTAAGAGAAAAATGCTAATAATAGCTTAGCTATTAATAGTTTCCCAGTGAACAAGTCAGGGAAAACAAACAAGACAAAGAGACACATACTGCTTTGTGGGTAGGCTTGGAATAGGCCTTCAACAATACTTTTTTTTTTAAACAAAACAAATATTTTAAGTCACAGGTTTGATAAATCAGTACAATAAAACCGGCTATAAGATAATTATTTTTTTTGTTTGGGATGTTGAGAAGGGTGACAGCCACATCCTTCAGGATAGTCTGAATTTATAGGGCTACATTTGTTTACCTAACTAACCTGTAGCTCCTTGTGCCAGACCCGGGGTAACAGTGTTGACTGACTGGTAAAACCAAGTGAGGGAAAACTTTTCTGGGCAAATAAAGCTCAGAAGCCATGAAAGGCAGTTCATCTAGGTGACTGACACACCAAATCCCAAACCGCTACTGCCTTGTGGAAGATCAAGGATTAACAAAGGCTAGGGAAACAAGGCCTGACAGAATATTTAGGTAGCTTGTAAGCCCTGGAAGGCAATCAGCCTGTCAGGGGATGAATCCTGAAAATAAACCTCAACTGTCAGAAGATGTCAAATTTCTTGGGAAGGGACTAAATTGGCAATATATGCAGATATGGCAATGAAATCAACTATTTCTGCTAAATCAACCATGTCAGTATAAAGACTAATATAATATTTGTTTATAATAAATAACATAAAAATGTTTATAGTGTATAAATTTATTGTACCCTGGGGAAAAACAACAATAGAGCCATGTCATAACAGTCGACTAATTGGGAGCTTCTTTAAAGTTGTAGTGCATCTGCCTGACAGGCAAGGAACCAACTTCTGCATACAAATAAGCCGGACCTGTAAAACAGATGCACATGCAAAAATCAGGTCCTAGAACAAAGCCAGAGTCCAGAAATGGACAAACAACCAGCTCTTTCTGCCAGGGTTTACAGCCAGTGAATACAAACAACAAATTTATTGTTTGAATGTTAATGAGATAGTTTTCCCCTGACTTCTGGTAATGTTCGTTCACATGAAATAGCTCATTTAATTCATTGTTTTGAGCCCGTTAATCCCATAAAAGTCAAATGTAAAAGCCTTTACATCAGGGATAAAAAGCTGGATTCATATTTTTATATGCAGCACCACACCTACCAACTTTACTTCCCAGGATTTTACCTGGTACCCATTTAAGGCTGGGTAAACCTGTGGGCCAAGGTCATGTCTGACAAAAAAAATCTTGCGCTAAGTAGACTTGAACACACTACCTTTGGATCTACAGGCAAGTGTCTGGCCACCACACCACAGCGGCTCCCTATTGAATCCATGCGTGCAGTAAAAGTAATTTATATTAATTTTGTGGGTTCTGTTTTGAAAATAAAAAAAAAATTACAATGTTCTTGATTTCAGCTTGGGTATCCTTTATGCTGTGTTTTCCATTTCCAACTGGGCAGCACCTTCCTTTGTCTGTTTTGCAGGGCCAAGGGTATCCATGTTTGTCGGATCATTATTTTACTTGTAAGTCCACTTTATATTTAACTAGCAATTTAATTAATTGTGACATATTTCACTTGAATTGTAGAGCTCATAAAAATAAACAGTGCTATTGTTATACCTGCTTCCTGTAACTTCAGATATTTATTTCTAACAAAAGTGACATTTAAAGTCAATTTGGTACTTTATAATTAATTCAACCCAAACAAAGAAAATCCTACATTTCCTGGGAGAATGCAATATTCTAGGGGTGATACTGGTTAAGTTTAGAGTTAGGGGTAGGGTTAGTCAATGTCTCTGAGGCGGTCATGGCTGACAAAGATCCTAACCCTAACCCATGAACACCCCTGGAAACTCTAGGATTTCCTTTGTTTGGGGTGAATGAGAAATAAAATACCACCTTGTCTTACAACACTTTCTAGAATATTCATTATTTAAAATGTTTAAATGGTAAAGTCTAAGGAAACTTCATATCATTATGGATGTAACATTTGGTATTTGGGGAGTCATGATATCACATTGGCTTTGTTAGCTGCTTTCCCAGAGGTCATTTCTCTGACCCCTAATGAAGTTAAACAAAAAAAATACTGGTGCTCCAAGACTGATAGGCCCCAAAAGGGGTAGCACAAAATGATCTGGCAAGTTAAGGTGTTTGACATGGTGCAAGCAACCTTCACCCTTCTAGGGTTTGCAGGCAAGCTTGAATGATTAATAAAAAATATGAAGCCAGCCACCATATACCAAAATATGCCTCCAGATCTTGAAAAGCAGATTAATTATTTACTGTTGCGAATACCTTGGACTGTGAGAATAACTAACAATGATTGCCTGGAAATGGCTAATAAGAGTAGAACATTGTATACAACAATGGGGAGACAAAGTTCTTTGGTCATGTAATGAGAAAAGAAGCACAGGAAAAAATCGTGACGACTGGAAATATCACTGGTAGAAGAGGCAAAGGCAGACCAAGAAAAATGATGGTGGAGGGCTTAAGACAGTGGCATGGAGGAATATCATCAGTGGGATTGATCCAGAACACCAAAGACTGAGATCTGTGGAGATGCAGAAACACCTGTACTAGCTGGCAAGGTACTTGATGATGGTGATGAATTATTGCTGGTATTTAAATTTGGGAGCTGCATGGGTTCTTCAGGGACAACACCTGTAGGTAAAGGGACAAAGAAAGACCACACAAATAACTGTCTGGGAAGGTAACCTGATCAGAAAATGCTTAATGAGGTCAGATGTGGCAGTCGAAAGGCACAAATATTGCAGCTTTTTTGTAAACAGGCACAATGCAGTTACGTCACTCAAACAAAAAGAAGAAGAAGAAATTTGAAGACCGGGGTGGCCTAACTCCCAATTTAACCCAAAGCTCTATGGTTCATTCATATAGGGGCAGATAAAAAAATGACTTCGGCTCCAGGTCAACCCATGTTGGGAAGTAAATGCATCCGTCATGATGTTAACCACATCACTAATCAAGTGCTGATTGGTCTGTACAAATATAAGTGAAATTGAAGCTCGCCTTCTTCTTTCGTTTGCCTTCTATGGCGTGTGTGCGTGGCATCCTGATTGCTGTGGTGCGCCTCCTGGCTGGATGCCTCCGACTTCAGCACCTTGTTTTGCTAGGGTAGACTGTGATCATACTCGAGGAGAGTAGGCTCATCCTTTCGTCTTTTGCCCTTACCTCGTTTGTTGTCCCATCCAGTTTCCCGCTGGGGGTTGAGACCCCAACCTTCAACTGGATTGCTGGGAAAAACAGGGTCCACCACGTGAAGGTGAGGTAGGCTTGAGCAAGAGAGGCTAATAGACATTAAGAGTCTTGTATTGCGCATCATTGCTCCATTAGTACCCCTGAAGCTTGCGGATCTACTTTTTGTTTAGTTTTATATTTTTCTATGATATAAAAATATAGATCTAGCATTATATACCTGATTTGCCAAAGGAATGAGGATCCTTTATTTTTATATTTTTTCACAGCCTCTTTGTATTGTCGTTCCTGAAACCTATGGTATGGTCCCTCTACTTAGGATCAGTTCTCGTTGGTTTTGGAGCAGCCAGTGAGTATATTCAGTTTTGTTTATTTATGTGATAAGAATGGAGATATGAGAGTTTAGTGACAGTACTTCACTTGTCAGTTCAGCGGTCTGAGTTTGATCACCACCAGTTGCAAGGATAGGCTCTTTTAAATTAAAAGCCAGTGTATCTAGTGTTGATCCAGTCTTACAGATTCAGTACCAGAGATTTTGGGAAAATAAAGATGGTTATTCTTGCACATCATTCACTTGCTCCCAGGGGGCCTTAGAAATGATGTCTTCTATAATTATGAGAATATTTGGGCGGTTAATGAAGCTTAACTCTTTCTGTCTCAAAAAACGCATCATGCGTTCATATGTTCCTACCTTGAAGCCCAATGAACGCAAGATGCACTGATTTTACGTCTCTCTTGATGGCCTCTGATGCTAAACACCCTGGGACTGAAAGAGTTAATAAATATGTCTTGAGGGAAATTCACCAGGAGAACTTGAACACACACACATAATTTCAAGATTAGTTCCTACAGCCTTCTCATGTGGGGGAGGGGGAAATAGTCCACTGCACCCATAATTGACATGTCATACAAGACGACTAATTATTGGAGTTTCCTTTAGAGTGCATCTGCCTGAAACACATGAAATCGGCAGTCTGACACAGAAAAACCAGATCTGTAAAATGGAAATGCACACAAAACTCAAGTTCTTGAACAAGACCAAAGTCCAGAAATGGATGAGCATCCAGAACTTTCAGATGGGGTTTATACAGCTGGTCAGCGCTAAGAAAAAAAAAAGAATAAGAAGAAGACAAGAAAAGGAGGAATAAGTACAATTAACATATCACACTGCTTTCTATAATTTATTATTTACCAAAAAATTTTAAATTAGTTAATAAAATCCTTTACAATGTTTTCCATGGTAGGGGTGGGGTATGTGGGATAGTTTACTGAACACCTAACAAGCATGTCGTAAAAGTCAACTAACTCTGGATGTTTCCTTCAAAGACGGGGTGCCTCTACCTGTGAGACAAGGACGCAAATAAGCTGGATCTGTAAAACATTCATGCAAAACTCAAGTTCTGGATCAAGACTTAAGTCAAAAAATGAACGAATAACCAGAGCTTTCCACCTGAGTTTGCAGCCACCGAACATAAACAACAAGCTTCCACACTGTCGACTTACTTACAGAGAGCCTTGATAAAGCAACCAAGGTGTTTTTATAAAAGAGGCATTTATATTATATTACTTTATAATGACCCATGTTATTCTCATAATTTTTCTATAAAATCACAACTTGATTAATTAGTCAGTGTATTAGTTATAAGTCGTCCCCTTGTGGGATGCAGTTTTTCGTTACTTTAAAGCCCCACCCTGGCTGTTGCCAGGGGCCCTAATATAACCTAATGGTTGTACAGAGTTTCTGGTGCCTTCCCACGGGTGATCCTCATCCGCATGGTGGCACTTTGTATCACCAGATGTTTATCACTTTGTGTAATGTCCTTTTTGGGGTAAAGTCTACTTACTTACTTGATCATGGCCCTTTGGTAGCAAGTGAACAGTGTTAAAACAAAAAATTGATCATCACAGTCTGAAGAAAAGGATGCAACAGGGACCTGGGAATCTTGCTGACATAATGTTGAACATAACACTCTGAAGAAAGGCAAGGTGGACATACAGTCAGACTGGTGCCTACAGAATTAAAAGTCTGTGCTGGCTGCTGAAGATGTGATGTAGCATTTATGGGAATGTCCCATGGTCTGTGGTGTTGGTTTTTAACTCAGTCTTAATTGCGTCTACATAATTTCTCAGTAATCTGCAGTTCACTTCCATACAAACGCATGGTATGCACTCACATGTGCCCACACCTGCAAATGTTCACAATTTCAAGATTGTCCCTTGAAAACTTTCTCACCTCAGTTGACCAAGATATGTATATTAAAATACACATATTTTTTAAATTTATGTAAACGTTCAACAGTTCTGTATCTCTTTCTTTTACAGTTCTATGGACAGCACAAGGAACATTTTTTACTATCAATTCTGACTCACAAACCTCGGCACGAAACAGTGGCATTTTTTGGGCTCTCTCACAATGCAGGTACATACCTCGCTTATTTTGTAAAATCAGAGAAGTTTACTCATATATCTGTATTGGTTTGATAAGTGACACAATATTCTCCCTGGCCAGCGATACTATGCAAAATTGGATGCAACGATGACTGTCATGTAGACAGAGTTAAATCTTACATTCAAGAGGTATTTCAGAATGGGATAAAATAAGTCATTTCACAGTGGGACTGAATTTGTGTGAAAGTTATCCTTCGACTTCATGGAAGTGTGTATGGTAAGATAAAAAAGGCATTCAATATCTGAGTTGAAGATACAAGGTCCAACAATTAAGTAATGAGACTGATTTTATTATGGTCAAGACAACATTTTATTGAGAGAAACCATTGGTAACATTTAATGGAAGATTTGTGCAAGAAAAAAGTTGCTAGCTGGTTTGAACCATATTCGTTGTCTGAAGACCATCAGCATGACGAGTACCCAAAAGACATCATCAAAACATGTCGCAGAAAAAAAAAAAAACTTCTTAAATTAGATTGTTGCAGAGGATGAACTATGGATTTTCCACCATGATTCCACAACTAAACGCCAAAATGCTGAGTGGAAGTCATCATCACCAAAAGGCACCAAAAAAAATATGTCATCAAAAGTCTAGAGTGAAGACAATGTTGGTGTGCTTCTACTACAGCAAAGGCGTTATTCACAAAGAATTTATTCCAGAGCGACAGACTGTCACAGCCACAGTTAATTTAGATATTATTAAACATCTGTTGAAAAGGATTCTCCGAGTCCAACCCGAGCATTTAACACCTAGCGGTTTTTTTTCCTTCTTCCTGGCAATGCAACGGCTCACCGGCCAGTAGTTGTACAGGAATTTTGCGCCCTAAAACAAGTATGTGTTTTCAGCCATCCAGTATTGTCTCCCTGTGATTATTTTCTAATCCCAAAATTAAAGTTACCAGTGAAAGGACACTTCTTTGATGATATTAATGACATCCAAAGGACCGTAACATCAACTTTAAGGGCCATAACAACAGAACTACTGAGGATGTTCCAGTGTTTGTTAGATCGTGCCACTCGCTGTATAAGTGCACAAGGGGCTCACTTTAAATAAAATACAGGTTATATCTACAACCGTTGATTATTTTAATTTTTATGGAATTAGTCTCATTACTTAATTGTCAGACCTTGCATGATCTGAGGAAAAATGCTATTCCTGGTGAATGATGTGCTAAAAGGATGTGAGCACCATACACCTGCCTTTATTTGAGCAGCATTTGATGCAAAGTCTCACTAAGTAAGTATGTAAAAGTCCCATCTACATGACGTGCATTTTAAGCCTAAGCTAAGATATACAAAATGGGCACTGAAATGAGAAACAAATGGACTGTGGTTGTGAGGACAACAGGAGAAACCTTGATGGAATGTTTATAATGAACCAAAGGTGCTTAACTAGATTTGATAATGATATTTAAAAAATAATGCTTGCAGGGGATTAGAGGAATCATTTGTGAGCCTAATGTGAAATATCTAGACACAGGTGTAACATTGAGTAGAAGATGTGTCACAAAGATTAAAAAAAAAAAAAAAAAAAGTCAAAACTGCATTGAATAAAGTAAAGATTGTTTGCAATAAATCCATGTCATTGGAGGTTAGAAAAATAATTTTCAGGTGTTATATAGAGTCATACGGCTGTGAATCCTGGACAACTAATAAACAAGCCAAACAGTTTCTTGAGACCACAGAGATGTGGTTTCACAGAAGAATCCTTAGAATTCCTTGGACAGTTCACACAAAAAAAAAAGCAACCCAGATGATTTGAAAGAGGCGAGGGCTAGAAGACATCACAAACATCAGAAAAAGATAAAGGGGTAATTTTATGAGAAGAAAGAAAATAGAACATGCTGTGACCACTGGAAAGATCTGGGGATAGAGTCAGAGGAAGACAGCACAAGAAGATGCCAGAAGATTCTTGACAGCCTTTGTTTTTTGTTGAGAGGCATGATCGCATGACTGTAGGATGATGAATGAATCCGGGAACTTTGGATTTTATTATCTAGCAGATCGGAGAATATATCATCTTTGGATATTGCTGTTCTACTTTCATTTTGTAGCATAATATAAAATCCCCCTCCCCCCCCCATCATTTTTATGTAAATTTCAAAACATAGATATCAGTGTTGAAAAAAGGTATCACCTATTAATCTTAGGTAGGCAGAGAATCACTATATATAAGCCGTCCCCTTGAGAGATGCAATTCTTTGTTATTTTGAAGCCCCACCATGGCTTTAGCCAAGGGTCCTAAATATAGCTGGACCTGAAATATGGTGTAATGGCTGAACAGGGTTTCCAGGACCTCTTCACGGGTGATCCTCATCCGCACGGTGGCACTTTGTGTCACCGGGTATTTATCGATTGAGTGATGTCCTGGTGGGGTACAACTTACATACATACATACATACAGAGGATGGTCATCCATGAGACATATTAAAACAGCAAATTGGTTAATGCAGCTGAAGGTAGTCACTGTGGACCTGTTAAGAGAAATATACCCAAAAGCTTGGGGGACAACTGGCAAGCTCGATGGAAAAAGAACAAGTGAAGACAAAGAGACAAATATTTGGATGGCTTCACTATATGGCCAGGACAAGAACCCTGGCCTTATACACAATTCCAGTGATTGTGTAAAAGGATAACCCATGATCACCTGTTTATCTGTGATGAAAATATTGATCAGCATTTAACTCTGTCAGTCCCAGAAGATCCTAGCTAATTAATATTTGAAAGAGTCAAGAACGACACCACTTAACTCATAGATATACTGCTTCCTTAGGGGTCAAATACCCAATCCTTTAAGGAAGCATATTTTGTCTTTAGTTTATTATAAAGAATCTATGACTAATCCTCACATATAAAACATAGAAGACTTACTGAGTGGTTTACATGAATCATATCCAGTAACACACAGTGCATTGATTTAGACAGAAACAGTTAAAACAGATATTAGGCTTTTTAAGTATGATTCTTTGTAACTAGGTTTCGTTTTAAAATGTAAATGTTATGTGAATATTTTCTTTGTTTCAGTCTTCTGTTTGGGAACCTGTACTGCTACTTTGTCTTCAAAGGACAGTCAACAATAACAGATACTGAACGCACAAACTTATTCTTGGCTCTCAGTGCAGCTGGTTTAGCTGGCAGCCTGTGTTTGCTGGCGCTGCGGAGGCCGAGGATTGTCAGCAGTGATGATGCTCTTAATTTGAATGCAAGGTGTGCATGTTGTGGGGTTGTCATGTTGGGTAGGGAAGTCATTAGTCAACGGGGCATCCTAATAGCACATTGAACTATTCAGTTCCATAAGTTCTCAAATCCCCTCCTCAGTAAAGCCCACAGAGTAGTGGTTGAGGAGATCCGTTCTGTGTTGGTTTATTATTTTTCTTTGGCTTCCTGCAAAGAGCTGTTATCTGGCCTCACCCCTTTTACCTTTCTATTTTTGCAGTCATCTTCTGTCTCCTGGTGAATTCAGTATATCAGCCTGGTCCATCCCTTGTCCACCTTCCCTATCAGCCTTACCTGCAAACCTATAGCTTATTAATTTCCGTTCACACCTGCATTTCACTGGCATGAAAATGAAAGCGATCTTTGTCACCTCTTGTCATTTCAAAGACTCCAACCACTTCTTCGAGGGGTATCATTGTGTTACCTAAATTAAAGGACCCTTTCCATGATTTGAGTCAAATATGGCATTTGGTGCTAACTTCATATTTCATTGAACCAACCAGCCATAATAAAAGTTGGTTGCAACGGATCCTTGCCGATGCTACAGAGCCTGTGCACTGTGCTGAGCTTCTTCAGGCTCAGACTTTAGTTAGAAGAAGAACGGAGCACTTATGGGTTACTACCCGTGTGCCATGATGTTGATCTGTTGTTCAAGCCTCAAACCTCAATCTTTCATCTTGGATGTACACTCTTTCAAATTATATAAACCTGGCTGGTTTATGATGATTGATACACAGCAGGTGTCAGAATCATGCCAGTCACCTTTACTTTTTCAGGACATATCCCGGTACCAATTCTAGGCTGGGTCAACCGGAGAGGATGGGTCAGTCTTTAAAAAAAATGCCTCAATGGAAATTTATTTTTAAGTCCTCCGGGTAAATGTACTAGATATTGTGCCATTAAGGCTTCCCGTTATTTTTGTTAATATAAAGTAATTTTTAGGGTAAGTCAGCACCTTTTTAGTGCAAGTGAAAGAAGCCATTTAGATGTCTGACTTTCTTACAAAATAATCACTAAATAAAAGAGAGGATTAGGGCTTTTGGAACTCATATGTTACTGGAAGGGGGCTGCATGGTATTGAGGCATGGTGTCCGCCTCGAGTGCTTGAGGTTCTGGGTTCCATCCGCAGTCAAGGCTGGGATTTTTTCCACGTGGACTTGGACTTCTAGTAATTCCCCGATCTCTTTGTAGTGAGATCGGACACCCGTGTGCCTCGTGTGCGTAAAAAATCCCTTGGCAGTTGGAAATCTAAAAGAGTAGCCTAATCGCGCTGCCCGGGCAAAATTTGGAGTTAAAAATTTACCCAAAGTATTTCAGGAACCTCGCAGGTGCTACAGAGCCTGTGCACTGTGCTGAGCTCCTTCATACTCAGACTTGAGTTTGAAGAAGAATAAAGCACTTATGGGTTACTGCCGGTGTGCAATGATGTTGATCCGTTGTTCAAAACCTCAATGTTACTAGAAGATTTCCTTGAATATCATGGACCAATAAGAGGAAAAATACAAACCTTCTTAACATCTGCATAACCTGTGATGTTTCATGGCCCTATTTATGGAAGAAAAAGAATGGACTCACTGGTCCCATAACAAACATGTTGTAGAAGTTAAATATGTAGGAGTGTTTCTTTTGAAGTTTGAGTGCATCGGCCTGAAAGGCTAGGAACAAACAGTCTACATAGAAATAAGCCAGATCTGTAAAATGGACGTGCATGCAAATTTCAGATTCTGGAAAAAGACAAAAGTCAGAAGTAGACGAGCAACAAGAACTCCTGAATTTACAGAAGAAGAAAACATCTAAACATTGAGACTGACAGACTCATTAACAGTTTTGTTTAAAGAAAAACTGAAATAATTTGCCCATATTAAATGCCATAATGGTTGTGAGAAAAAGTAATGGAGGGTTGATTTCTTTAAAAAAGGAAAAAAAAGGCAGCATAATAGTGAACATGGGATATAAAAGACACCCTAGACATGGCGGTTCAGGAATGTTGGCAAGGGGCTGGATGGCTTTCTGCCCTGTTGGATAGGAAGGGTGTTCTGCTAAGGACCTGCTGCATGATGATGATGATGAGGATTTCTTCTTTCTTATTAATTGTGAATAATCATTTTTCTTCTCAGCCTTCACCAGCTGTAAACTTGTATAGAAAGTTCTGGTTGTTCCACTCACTTCTGGATTTTAGTTTTGTTCCATAACTTAGGATTTGCACGCACATCTGTTTTACAGATTTGGCTTATTAGCATGCAGAATGTTGGTTGGCTCCTTCATCTCAGGCAGATGCACTCTGACTTCAAAGGAAACACCATTAATTAGTTGGCTTTTATAGCATACTTGTTAGGAGGGGGCAGCTGGTCCCCCCCCCCCCCCCCTTCCATAGTGGGACCCTGCAACCTACACATGGAGCTACTGTCTGAAAGCCAAAGAATGGTATTTGTATAAACTATCTAGTTATGGAATGGAACCCTAATGAACATCAAGGATTGCATTGTGAAGGGATTTCACCAACCTCAAAGCCGCAGACCTGCAATTATTGATAAAGACTGTTTGAAATATTTGTTTGTTGTTTGAGTGTCTTTCATTTTCCTGAGCATCCTAATTACTATTTCTTTAGGTCAATCACCGTAAGTGTATTCAATTTTAGTTTTTTCTGTACAATCTTTGAAATAAGGATATAACCTATACATATATGCCAGTTTGTAAATAAGATGTAATGGTTTAAAGTTTTTTTATTCTTCAGTATTTTTTATTTTTATTTCAGTGTTGCACGCTCTCCGGACACACCACTAACGGCCCTAAGTAAGTTATCTTGAGAACTTGTTTAAATTTTTAGTTTTAAAATATCTTTTTCCTTTCAATGAACAGGTAAACAGAAAAAAAAAAACACACTAAGGTCTTAGAGGTATTGACATCAAGAAAAACAGTCTATATTTTATGGAAACAAAAACATTCAGATGCAAAGATTTTAACCAGACTGGGAATAAATAAAAAGTTGTTGAAATAACAATAAAAAATAAAAAAGGAGAGAGAGAGAAAGTTAAATATTTCAGTCACATTAAAAGACAAGCTTTATTTTAAAAACCAAATTTGAGGGAACGCTGAAGGCAAGTTAGCATGAGATAGTCAGTGATAAAAGTGGAAAGATAGCATCAAAAGATTGAGGAACCGAAAAGTAATTTGAAAGAGTGTATCCAGGATAAAAGAAAGAGTATGTTAGAGATCTGTTGCAGCCAACTTTTATTATGGAGATGGCACCTGGCTGGCTGGTTCATAATGATTAAAAAAACAACAGCACACAAATAAGCATACACAGATAAATAAAACATGACACTGAATGACCAGACCAAGACATAAAATTGCCTCTCATTACAACAGTGTCACTGTCAAAGCGCACTCCAAACTCCTGAGCACCAACGCAGAACTACCCCCTACTACAGAACTACCCCCTACTGCAGAACTACCCTCTACTGTAGAACTACCCCTTACTGCAGCACTGCCCCCTACTGCAGAACTATCTACTACAGCAAAACTTTGGAGAAAACACATGGCTAGAGGGAAGAGGAATCCTGGATAAATTTTGGGGAACCTTTGGAGATTTGCTGCTGATGTCCCAGTTGAAGGAGGCAACACCTGTCATATGAAACTGATTTCAAAGAAGAAAAAGGTTATCTTTTCAGTTCAGAAAAGAAGAATAAATTATCTGTTTCTCCTCAGAAAAGGCCTTTGCCCTGATGAAGACAAAGGAAGTGCTGCTGTTGTGCCTCATGTTTGCATATACAGGTCAGTATGATGTCTCTTTTATTATTAATTTGTTTGTTTTGCTTTGAATGTAAGCTCTCCCTCTGTGGTTTCCAGAACCCCATTTGGAATGGCCAGGGGGGGGGGGGGGTGTAGACCCTCTGCACCCAATAAGCATGCTGTAAAAGGTGACTAATGACGTTTTTAAAAGAATAAGATGTGTTGTGTCAAGAAGCACAGATATCGCAGTCTGGCTGTTAAGGATAGGTTAAACTGACTATTTTCTTCAAAATTTGGAAATGTTACTTTTTTTTTTCTAATGCTACATGAAAGTTTATTCATTTCTGCACTGCATTTCTTGTTGTAGAATTTGATCTGAAAGTAGTTTTAATTATTTTTTTTTTTTTAAATTGGCATGGTAACCGTTTATTTTCCTTATTATGTATGCAAAATTTTAAACTGTCATTATTTATCAACCTATTTTAATAATTTGTTCACCCAATTGTTAGAAATTGTAGAATTGTGATAATCTAATCCATGTTAAAACTTACATGAAATATACTTTTTCATTGGCCAATTTTGAAGAGGCCACACAAACCACTGTTCAGTTTCAACCAGAAAGTCTTACAGACATTTTGTAAACAAACAATAGCTGATTCTCAAGGTGACCATATTACCTTGAGCCCAAAACAGGACACCCTGCTAATATTTTGGGGTGAAAACAGGACATCCCAGGCATGCCGAATTACCCCCTCCCCCACAAATTGGTATAGAATTTATTATTGTTATTATTGATCATTAAGAAACAGATTTTTAAAAAAAATGTGTTCCTAGATTTTTATAAAACTACAATTGGGTATTTTTGTTTGTTTTTGTGTGTGGGTAACAATGGGGCGGTTGGGACACCCCTAGAAGACAGGACTGTCTTGGTGAAAACTGGACATATAGTCACCCTAACCGCAACACAGTGTGCCAACCATTCTTTTATTGACTAGTGCAGACGAAGAAAGAGAAAGATTGTGATGTAGCACATACTTCTGCAAGAGGATTTCATGGAAACAAAAACAAAACAAACATTGAAGTTCTGGAGAGACTGATAATAAAAAGAGAGTTGCTGAAAGAAATAAAAATGGCAACTAGTGAAATATTTTGGCCACATTAAAAGATATTACCCTCTTAAAATTCATACTAGATGCACCTATTCTGTCATGGGTCACAGACAAGATAGCGTTCTTCAAGCCTCCATTAGTTTCTTACATTTGTTAATGAATGTGGCTTGGGCGCTGCGAACATGCTTCGTAATACCTTTTGCCTGGTTTGATCTCAGCTGCTGGCATTTTGCTAGCAGACCGTCTTGCGTTGGTTTCGACAATGGTATCAAGAGCTCGCTAACTGTTCAGTAAGCAGTGGCAAACTACTGAGTGTAACACAACAGCCAAAAAAGGCTGGAGTTGTTCTGCAATTTCCTGTAAAGGATGAACAACTAACTTTCAACTCTCCTGTGAAACAGATTTCCTACGTCAGACACAAAAACAAAATCTAAGCAGTCTTTTAGGACGTGCTCTGAAGTTTACATTAGTCCTGCACATCTGCATGGGCAGAGTCACTTAGACCTATTCGATAGAGGTGTGCTTTAAATGTAGTGTCCTGTTTTGGGTGTGAAAATTCTGGTCTGTATGTTTCTGTTGATCTTATTGAATATATAATAGTTTGGTCTTTAACTGTTATTTCCTTATATCTCGGTTTAATTATAATGAAGTATAATTGATTGTGATCACACTTACATGTAATTATTATTTCATTGTTTTCACCTTTATTTGTAATGATGTATAATTGATTACAATCAGACTTACATGTAATTATAATTTCCTTCCCTACAAGAAAGAACTGTACTTGATGGTAAACAAATGCACATTAATTCATACAGGTTTGGAGATGACATTTTACAGTGGTGTTTATGGAACCAGTGTCTCTCATAACTTACATTTTGGGAACAATGCAAATGGACTTTTGGGAATCAGCGGCATTTTCATTGGTGTTGGAGAGATTGTGGGTAAGTTGTTAATGGTAATTTCACTGGAAATTCATATAGACTACTTGGAATAAATAGTACTTTTATAGGAAAAAAGAATAGGAATGAATTTATCATCATCAGGTAGCAGGGTTGTCAGAAAGAAACTGTTTTTCAGCCATCTCTCCCGCCTCATGCTCTCTCCCACCCAAGGTGTCTCCCACATCCTATGCCAACCTTTGGGCTGGTTGGCCCCTGCCTTTCTTTCCTGAGAGCACGTGCCCTCTGCTACAGTTCTTTATGTGGCGCTTGAAATGGCTAGAATATTTCAGTTTCTGAGACAAGTTGCTGTCTGCGAGCCAATCTTCCTTGATGCTCAGGTCTTCTAGGATGTCAGCATATTTTCCCCCTTCTTGGTCCATGGTATTCTAAGATTGTTTCCATAGCATTTCCACTGAAAAGCTACTATTCCTTAATGCTTGTGAGATAGTCTATGACTCATGTCCATATGTTGCATCAGGAAAGATGCATGTTTTCAAAGTTCTGTATTTTATTTCCTTGCTGGTGTTTAGCCATAGACTTTTATTGCAGGAATGACTACAGCTGAAGGTATATCAAGAAGCAGTTGGGAGTCACTGTGGCGGAGCGGCTAGACGCTCGCTGTGGATTGGAAGGTCGTGGGTTCACTCCCTGGCAGAGTCAGACTTAAAAAAAAAAACCTTGGCTCCCAGGTCGACCCAGCCTTGAGTGGGTACCAGGTGCAGTCCCGGGAAGTAGAGGTGGCCGGTATGATGCTGACCACATCACCCATCTTGTGCCGATTGGTCTATAAAAATATAGGTCTAACCCTATATGCCCTGTACGCCTAAAGGCGTAGAAAAGGGTCCTTTACTTACTTACTTACAAGAAGCAGTTGTTGACCTTGTCTATTTTTTTTATTAGTCTGTTGTTTTGTCCAGTGATGAAGACCTAGGTTGGAATGTTCATTTATATTTGTGTGCATCGATTTCTTTCTCTTCATTGACCTTTCTAGTCAGTGTTGGGTTTCATCTAGATCACCTTGTTAGACCACACTGCACCATTGTTTTCAGACTTTGATGATCAGAGATCAGTTTATACTTCTGCAGTTTTAATCACTTCCAAAGACATTATTAACACCTAGCTCGTCATGTATTTACTACCAAGTTGTGCATAACCAACCAGTCTGTCTGTGTGTTCATTTCTCAACACACCTGCATGCCCTGGAGAAAATATCCAAAGGACGCTAACTACTGAGGACCTCCAAAGCCATGCCTGCCACTCTGTAGGAAGCACACCTGTCTTCTATTTTTCAATATGCTTTATGAGTCTTTTGAATCATGATGTTTATGTAGTGGGTTCTCAAGCCAATGGAAGGCTGCAGGGGCGTCCACCCCCCATTCTCAAATCAAATGTCAGGCTGTTTTTGTTGTTGATTTTGTTGTTGTTGTTGAGTAAGAGTCATCCATTCACCTTTGAACTCCATGCCCCTCTTCCACCTCCCAACACGAAGCAATTTAAATAGGTAATCATATTACCTGGGTGAGAATTGTCATATATCATTTAATTGATTTGTTAACCAGAAATTGTACTTGTCTTTATTGGTTTTTTCTTTCACTTTTACAATTCACAGGTGGTGGTTTCTTTGGAATGATGGCCAAGAAAACTAACAAGCATGGCCGTGATCCAATCATTGTACTGGGATATGTAGCACATATTGTAGCCTTTTACATTGTCTTTCTTAATCTTCCCGCATCATCCCCTATTGAGGACACACTGGGGCCAACTTATATAACATCAAAGTGAGTATAGGCCTGAAGTTTATTTCAGTTTTCTATGTCCACTAAAACATTATTAAACCATCATCATGCCTTGTTGGGCTAGTTTTGGTTATGTCTTTAGTACACTTGTTTCCATAATGAGCCACACACACACCATTTGGAGGTGACAGGTTCAATTCCCGCAACGGTTACCATAGCTTAACTTTTGTGTATGGCCTAGTGTGTAATTTTGTCTATCCTTTTACTTCTTTCAATGAGTGCCGGTCCATACATTGTTTGTGTATTATATATACAGTACATCATCATCAACATCCTGTGGTGCCATTATATGTCATTTAGGGTTTGCAGTTCATTTCTCGTTTGTTCTGTCCTATGAAATCCTTTCAGTTCTTCTTTCGTTCACTTGAAATAAATTATCTTTATCTGCGGTGTTGTCTCTGGTCTCTAAACTTCACTGTCTTTCATAATTCACTTAGTGGCCCCCACCAATGTCTCTCCTGGCCAGAAATTGTGTCTGGAAATGTTGTATTTGGGACAGTCTTGGAGGATGTGATCTGTTGTCTCAGGTGCCAGTCCATATGTGCACATGGCTGATTCTCAAAATCTCAAATTGTGTGTATATGTGGCTGCAAAGTTGATTGTGCCTAATTCTGAGGCATAGAATAATGACTTGCTCTGGTCTGTCCATGATTTGATAATCATCTTGTGCAGGTTTTGTTGGTTTTCTGATTGATTTGATTATTCTCTTCTTCTAGTGGTAAGAGACTGGTACATCAGGTTGTTCTTCAGAATCCTTTCAGTATAATGTGTAGCATGGGTGGCAAGCCATGAGAGGTAGATCGTGTAGGTCCGTATCATGTTGTCTAAAATTAAAACTGTTATTGTTGTTTGATTACCGCTAACGAACTGACATGTCTGCCTACAGTGGACCTCTAGTGGATTGGTAGAATGTTACCTGCTATGAATTGTATAATCGGTTTAGTCGAAGAAGAGGAGGGCAAAGAAGAATCTGGAATGACAACACCAAAATATGGACAGGACTAAGTTATCATACACTTATTCATTCAGCAGAAGACAGAGAAAGATGGCGGGCTTTATGTGCTAGTGCTTCCATCAATTAACCTCCATGACCCTAAAGGGTCAATGGTTATGTTACATAAGGGAAACACAACGCAAAATAATAAATGACAGGACAGCCTTAAACAAGCGGAAATCAACTTATGCAATACATTAGAAAGATCAGTCAGAAGATCTTTACATAACACTTCATTGAGGTAACTGGAGGAAGAGAAGTTAAACAGTATACACTATTATTATTATTTCATTATTCTTTATTCTTTACATTCAATTAGGCGTTGCGAGTCTGGCTCGTAATTCCAACGTACCACGATCGAAACCCACTGCAGGCTGCATGAATTTTTACCATGGTATAACCAAGTATTGGGACAGCTAGCCCCCCTCTTACAGCATAAGACAATCCCAATCAGCACAAAGAGACATCTTATTCAAAGCATATTTATTCCAACTCTGTGCTACCAGTGCCAGACATGGTCACTCACATCAAACCATAAAAGAAAATTAGTAACTACGGAAATGAGATGTCTGAGAAGGGCTGTAGGAGTGACCATAAGAGATAAGATCAGGAATGAGATCATAAGAGAACAATCGGCACAGAACCAATTCTGGATTACATACAAAGACAGCAAGTGAAATGGTTTGCCCACTTAGAGAGAATGCCTTTTGACATCATACCATACAAAGCATACATGGAAAGAGGAGAAGGACGTAGAGCACGGGGTAGACCAAGAACAAGATGGAAGGATAACATCAGAGAAACTCTACAACAGCACGATGTGCCTATGGTCGAGGCAGCCAGAAGAGCTAGAAACAGATCCTTGTATCTCCCTCGACACCCACAGCGGTAAAAGAGGAAGTGAAGAAGAAGAAGATGGGGCTGTACTGGAGAAGTATAGACGGCCGGCGTAATGCTGACCACATTACACACCTAGTGTCGATGGTCTGTAAAAATATGGGCTCTCTCCCCATGTAGCCGATATGCATTAAAGGCATGAAAAGGGATGTTTTCTTTACTTTTACTTTACTTTACAGTGAATATTTGGCCATTGTAGCAAGTTTCCTACTTGGTTTTGGAGACAGCAGTTTCAACACTCAAGTAAGTCAGCTTTCATCTTAGTAATATTTTATCTAGTATACTCAGTATGCTTCTCCCACAACATTTTACTGAGACTACAGTAAAGTAAAAGTAAAGGTCCCTTTTCCGCGCTTTTAGGCGTATTGGGAATATAGGGCTAGACCTATATTTGTACAGACCAATCGGCACTTGGTGGGTGATGTGGTCAACATCATGCCGGCCGCCTTTACTTCCCAAGACTGCACCTGATACCCACTCAAGGCTGGGTCCACCTGGGAGTCAAGGTCATTTTTGAAAAAAAAAAAGTCAAGCTTCATCAGAGCCCACAGCCTTTTGATCCGCAGGCTGGTGTCTAGCCGCCAACGCCACAGCGACTCCTACTATGAGTACATTGCAGATTAGAAAACAGAGTCCTGTAAACAACAAAACTGATGCAATGCCCACCTTTTGTAATAAGAAAAACATTTAAACATGTTCTGCTTAGTGACACAAATTTATGCAGGTTAGCAACAACCATAGAACAAATATTTGTCTTTAAACACCCATATGGGGTCAATGTTATGAGATTCTGCAGATTTAGATTGTTGAATAAATAAATGTAGACAAAAGAAGAAAGTATACATTGATAACATTGTAAAACAAAATAACCAAGAGTGTTTCTCAAAGAAGAAGATGGAATTGTTTGAAACTAGACCTAAAAGGAGGGAATATTGATAACTGAAGAATGTTATCAGAGAATGAGAGAAATGGAAATAGATGGAGCTGCAGACTAAGAACCTGGAGAAGGAAAATAGTTACCTCTGCTTTTTCTCTCTCTGTCTCACACACGCACACACACTATTATCCCTCTTCTCTCTTAAAAATTGTATTTTCAGTGCCGTCATTTCTATCTTATGATATATACCATTTTAAAACTTGTATATTTCCAGATTTATTCTTTAATCGGAACCATGTTTCCTGAGGATAGCTCAGCAGGATTTGCTATATTTAAGTTTATGCAGGTAAGTTGGCAGCAAACAACCAGACTGTTTGCCTGTTATGTTCAGGCTAGTAAGACGTGTCCAGGAAGGCAAAATCCGGTGAACAAATGCTCCTTGAAGATGGATGTTTCAGCGGAAAGGTGCAAATATCAGCAGTTTTACTGTAAATAGGCACAGCACAATTACGTCACTTAGACCAATGATGAAGAAAAAGAAGTCCGAAATATGACTGCACATTGAAAATAAATGCAGTATGTTACTCTACTTTATAGAGGGAAATTGTGAATGGTGTATAGAAGGTGCCCCATTTGGATTCTAGGGCCGTGTTTTGGTGGGCAAAAAGAAGAAACTACCGCCCTCTTAACAATTCCATCAGAAAAGATGTATAATTTGAAGTTTGCTGAAATTAGATAAGATGGGCCAGACGTCACCAGTTTTTGAACCACAACACAATGTGCCAGCTGTTCTTATAAGGATAATGCAAAGAAAGAAGCAGAGATAACAAACTGGAGATGTTCAGCTGTAGAAAGTCAAACTGAATATGAGTCTTTCAACCAGAACATCAAGGAGGAAGGTGAGAGGAAGACCAAAAAAGATAAGGATAAATGGTGTGGCAGAAACCTGCAAAAAAATTGATTACCTGAGAAGCGCACGACGAATACAGAAAACCATGACACTGGGCTACAACCTGGTATCAGTGAGATAACAAAAGAAGAAGAAGATGAAGTATTTAAAAAAAAAAGTTGAGATGTCATCAAAAGTATACTGCGTAACAAATAAAAATTTTTCTAGGGCCCTGCTGATTGTGATGCCTGAAGCTGTAGCTTATTTAGCTTAAATTCATCTCTGAATGGGACATGTGTATAGTATCACACTGACTGCCTTTACTTGTTGAGAAATTTTCCTGGTATCTATTTTAGACAGGCTTGACATAAAACCCTGAGTCTGTTGTTAAAAGTTTGTCTCTGAAATGAATTTAAACCTATGACTGCCAAGCAAGCATGCCAGCCACCGCACTCCCAATGCTCTCTCACACATTCTAAGATGCGGGCTGCGCTAGCGCAGTCTATAGAAGACTCACTTTCAAATCCATCTGTGACTCGCTGCAGCCCACGGCCGGTGTTCGAAACCGGATGGTTCCCGGTGTTCACCCAGCCTCTAGGAAATGGGTACCAGAGTGACACTCTGGGGTAAATGGAGGAATTTCGCTGTAGCTACGGAGTTGCGTGCGGATGGCGACACAGGCGCTCAGTTTCTTATCAGCTATTCGTACTGGTGGCAGAGCACTTATGGTTTAAAACCGTGTGTAATGATGCTTGTTCACATCTCCTGGCTTTACCTTGTATATTCTAGGACATGAGTTACAAGGTGGAGTTTCCAGTTGCTTTTCATCATCATCTTTCCTTTTCAGAAGCTTCCAAAAACCTTCAGAAAATTAACTATTGAATATTATTGTATTGTCTTAAGTGGTTATGAAACCTAAAGCAGAAGTAAAAAAAGGTGAAGCCCTAAAATATATTAGTTTTTAAAAACAGAGTCTTGCGACAGATCTTTGGACCTATTAAAGATGCCAACAGTGGGGAATAGAGAGTGAGAGCCAACAGCAAAAGGCATAATCTATTTAAATTACCATTGCTTCCTGGCATCGTGATGACTTATAGACATAACTCTTTGAGTCCCAGGGAACGCATCATGCGTTCATAGGTTCTTATCTAGAAGCCCAATGAATGAATGATGCGTCGATTTTAGTCTATTTTTACTACCCATTGGGCCTATGATGCTAAACCCCCTGGGACTCAAAGAGTTAAATTGGGTGGGTAATATAGAGGTAATAACAGGTGCCAAAACTGAACATAAGGGAACTGAATGGTCATAGTAGACCACAAGACAGACCAAGAAGATTGTGGTTAGATAACATTAAAGCAGACCTACAAACACTTGCAGCCAACAGCTGGTAGAATTGTAAAATTTATAATTTGTTTCTTCACCAGTCAGTTACCGCTGCTGTTGGCTTCTACTACAGCAATGTGCTGCTGCTCCAGTGGCAGCTTCTGATTTTAGTGATTTCTGGAACAGTAGGGATTGCTGGTTTCATCTTGGTAGAGTGGGGCATTGCACATGTCACTAGATCTGGTTACGAGCAGATTTGACAAGAGGATATGGAGGTAAACAGTTTTTGTGCTCTTTGTGATGCAGACAGCTAGTACATCTGCAGAGAGTTTAGTCACAGGGGATAAAACCTGTAGCAGTGCAGTCGATCCTCTCGACTTCTACTTGAGTTTTTGCACTTTATATACAATTATTTTTAATATTTACTAAAAGATAGATCAATGTTGAGAGCATCATGGACAGATAAAAAGTGTAAGGAAGATGGCTTTAAGTAAATTCACTAACCAAGAGAAATGATAAAGAGGTAGTCTACATTCAGTCTACTGTCTACATTGTGAGAAGGGGACAACTGAAGTAAGTATTGGAAATCTGAAAGCTGGAGTAAAAGAGAATGAAGAAATGAAAGAGAGAGGAAGACAAAGAAAGAAGTTACTGGACAGGATGGCATCATGGCACTGAGTAACATCTGTATCAGAAATGATTGAAAGTACATAAGGGCTCTTTATCTTTTGATGTAGCCAAAACTCTTTTCTTTTTTCGCCTTGTCCATCACACATGGGAGTATTCATAACTTGAGTTGTACCGTTAGTCCATCATTTGCAAATGGGCACTTTTTGCTCTGTTTCTGTGAAGCTCTTTGTGGGGCGCTATCTTGTAGTATTCTTGGTATGTGACATAACCTCCTGATTTGCTGTCTTTCCATGTATCCTAAAAAACTGATTTTGCCCCAACTTTTTCTGTCTTACCTTTTTTTCTCATTTTGTTACATTTAGAATTTATCATAAATATTCGTTTTAAATTTGCTGTTAGCTTTGAAGCTTGAAATTGATAACATAATCTTTTTTGTTGAGAAGATGATGTCGGGTAGTGCTCTTTTTTTCTTGTGCCTTTCTGCTGCTGTTCTTCCATTGATAATTATTATGCTTCTGAATATGTACTGACAAGAACCTGTTTTCCTAATTTTGATTTGCATGCTTAATTTTTATCTCCTTATTCTTCTTTGTGTTCATCAGCTGTAAACTTCAGCAGAAAGTTATGGCTGTTTGTCCACTTCTGGACATAAGTACTGTTTCACAGTTTCAGTTCTGCATTCACATCCACCTTACCCCTGTGTGGGTTCCGGGGCCCCATTGTGGGGAAAACAAGAATAGACCCACTGCCTCCCCAAAAGCATGTCGTAAGAGTCGACTAATTGGGAAGCTTCCTTTGAAGTCGGAGTGCATCTGCCGGAGAGGCAAGGAACCAACAGTCTGTATTCAAGAGAATGAGATCTGTAAAACTGATGCACACGCAACACTCAGGTTCTGGAGCGGGACTGCAGTTCAGTAGTGGACGATCAACCAGAACTTTCCGCCAGAGTGTACAGCTGGTGAACGCGAAGAAGAAGAAGAAGACACCCACCTTACAGATCTGGCTTATTTGTATGCAGACTGCTGGTCCTTCACCTCTCAGGCAGATACACTCCGAATTCAAAGGAAACCCCTAATTAGTTGCCTTTTATTACATGCTTGTGGGGGGGGGGGGGGGGGAGCAGTGAGTCTATTCTTATTTATTTATATTTCCTTAAAAATGGGGCCACAGATGTAGCGCTTCTCAGGGCCATCTTTTCTTAGACATCAGCATGGCCTTATTTACCATAAATTTTATTATTTGTTTGAAAACTTTAACAAATGTAATTAATGGTTACAGAAAAAGAAAATTTTTGATGTTTGCTTCCATATTATTTTGGACACAAATTTTCTTCGCTAAAAAATTATCAGTGGTAAACTAAAGGATAATTTTAATTGCCATATTAGGTATACAGAGCTAAAAACTTTCTTTTTAAAGACAACTATGTGGATTCAAACCCTAGGCTTTGGACAGAGAGGCAAGTCTAGCCACTATGGACAATACCTTGTGGCTCAGCACAGTGCAAGGACAAAGAGGCAAGTCAAGCCACTATGGACAATACCTTGTGGCTCAGCACAGTGCAAGGACAAAGAGGCAAGTCAAGCCACTATGGACAATACCTTGTGGCTCAGCACAGTGCAAGGACAAAGAGGCAAGTCAAGCCACTATGGACAATACCTTGTGGCTCAGCACAATGCAAGGACAAAGAGGCAAGTCAAGCCACTATGGACAATACTTTGTGGCTCAGCACAGTGCAAGGACAAAGAGGCAAGTCAAGCCACTATGGACAATACCTTGTGGCTCAGCACAGTGCAAGGACAAAGAGGCAAGTCAAGCCACTATGGACAATACCTTGTGGCTCAGCACAGTGCAGGGACAAAAAATAATTTCTCACTGTGAAGCATTTGGGAAAACACTTAAATTAACCACTCAAAGAGTTAAAATAAACAAGTCATTATGTTGTTTATATCATTGTATATGTGGCTGTATGCGTTTGTTAAAAGAGAATTTAAAGCAGCTAAAGGTTTAATGACAGTTGTAACAGACCATTTTCTTTGTATTATCCAGGAGTACAAACTGATTACTGCAAACATTCCTGGATGCCATGAAGCAGATATACGAGAACTCAGAGACTCAAGTCTGATGATAGAACCATGATATTTTTTTTTCTTTTTCTACTGACTCAGCCCCAATAACACAACCATGACTTTGGAAGGTTTCCCTTCTCTTATAATTTTATTCTCTTAAACATAATTTGTAAATGCAAACTGGCATGTAATATTAAAGTCTTTCAAATTGTCTCATGCAGGTTTTTTTCAGCATGTAAATCTAAATTTGCCACATTAGACCAGAGTTTTAGTTGAATCAGTGCTGTTTACTTAAGTGAGTAATTTTTTTAAATGTTCAGTTTTTTTAAGTTTAAAATAAAAATTGATGAAAGAAAATAAAAAATATGAATACAGCTGTATGCAGATTTTTCAGCTACGTAATCACGTTTTTGAATATATTTCTTATTACTTTGCTGTTTTTTAAGTTAAAAGATTCAATTAAAAATGCTTATAAGTAAACTCTGTATCTAAAATGTATTATACTGGCAACCAGGTTAACAGTTATAGGTATTTACAAGGCTATCTAAGAATAAAGTTTAAAGTGGCAAAATGTGTCTGTCAGTTGACTGTAGTTCCCTTCTTGTGATTTAGTTTTTGTTTGTTTGTTATAGCTGTGTCATTCTGACAGTCTTATGAGTGATTCTTCTAATCAGTATATTTTTATTATTGATGTGTATTCTGCTTAGTTTCAGTGGTCGAATGTGATGTCTCCTCTAAAACCGAAGCGTAATGCTTGAAGTCTCTTAGCATATGACAGAACAGCTTATCAAAGCAGTGACCATTTTTTTTTTGAAAAATGCAAAATTGCACTTATTTCTACATATCAAAAAGCCAGTTATCGTAAAATGTAGAATGAAATGAGAACATTGAATTAAAACCTTGAATATGTATGCAAACATGCACATGAAAGAATAGGCCATATTTTGTGGAAGCAAAAACACTTAATAAATCTCTGAAAACTGGAAATAAGAGTTAAGTATATAAATTTAAAAAAAAACAAGTCAAAAATTTTGGCGACATAACAATAATTTGACACTTATAAAAACATTTTTGGGGAGAATATTTGAAGATAAATGAGCATGATGTAAACCATGATACTGTTGGAAAGAAAGCATATAGAGATGAATAAACAGAAAAGTGTTGCGAGTAACTGAATTAAATGTGTATGGAGTATTTATTTAAAATTCTTATATGTGTCCACAGCCCTCTGTCCTGCATATTGTCAGTCATTTCTCATATAGATGTTCTTCCATGCCTTCTCTCTCTTAATCTTCTTCTGGCTCTTTACATTTTATGTTTTATGCAGTAATTGTTGTGGGAAAACTAACTTCTCTCTAAAGAGGGAGAGACTGAGCTTTATGGAATAAAACTCAGTGCAGTGAAATTGATCCTCTCACCTTTTAACCACCTTAAAATTTTCTGGGACTGGGCAGAAGGTATGAGGAAGTGTATATAACTGAAAAGTAATCAGTAAACATACGGTTCATGTTTTAATATCAGATGAGGTAATGAAATACTAGCAAATAAATGTTAGTTGCATATCCTTTACAGAGATATTATAAGGGTCCTTTGGGAGTGAGTAAACAGTGCAGAGGCACAAATAGGTCATTATGGTTTGAAAATTGTGCAACGAGTGGCCGACGCTGAACAGTCAGAAGAGGTGTGAGAAGGACATACAATCATTCACTTCTTCTTTTGCCTTGTTAAAACCCAGGGGAGCATAGGACCCTCAACCAACTCATGCCAAGTTGTTCTATCCTTTGCTATCACATGCAGCTCTTTCCATATCCTCCCCATCTCTTTAACTTTGCTCTCTAACTCTCTTCTCCATGTGTTTTAGTCTTCATTTTTTTCTATGTTCTTGTGGGTTCCATTGCAAAGACATTCTAGTTATACTGTTCTCATGTTTTCTCAATGTGTGTCTTATCCAACGCCAGCATCTTTTCTTCACCTCTGATCTACTTGAACTTGTTTAATTCTCTTCCAAAGTTCAATTTTAGTGATTCAATCGTACTATTTAATTCCCTCTGTTCTGCACAGGCACCAGTTAATGAATGTTTGCAGTTTATTATTAATTGCATTGGTTGTTAGTACCACCAGAATTGTAACTCTGCGCTTGCTGCTGAAGAAGGGATTTGGGGAATGTCCTGAGTGCTAGGATGTCAGTCCTCGACTCAGAACTCCTATCCTTTATAGGGCATTGCAAACAACTCTAGCATATGTTGGCTGTTTTTGTTTTACTAGACAATTTTAAATTCATTAGATTGCCATTGCTTTCTGAATAGTTGTTGCTGATACCAGCGTTTAAAATTAAGATACTGTTATCAAGTCACGTTACTAAAACAAACTGCGCATAATCTCCAAGCAACGGATACAACATTTGTGTAATTGACCCAAGATGAATTTAAAAAAAAAACAACCTTGCTTGACCTTGGTGCTCAGATTGACCCAGCTAAAAATTGATACTAGGAAATGTCTGACGAAGTAAAACTGGCTGATGTGGTATTGACCTCGTTGCCCACCGAGCACCACTGTGTCTATTA